TCGAACCCAGGACCTTCTTGCTGAGAGGCGAGAGTGCTATCCACTCAGCCACCGTGCCGCCCGGCATTATTATTATTATTATTATATTATTATTTATTTAATAATAAATAACTTATAAATTGTTCCAGGTCTACTGCAATATAAAAGTCATGAAGAAAAAAATAGTAGAAAATGGTTTCTATTATAAACAGCATTCTTCTCATTCTATCATAAAAAGTGCCTCATTGCTGCTTGATTTACTTCTACTGAGAAATATAGGTGAACACATGGATCCAGCAGGACGCCTACCTCACTCTCTTTCACTTACATGCAAAAAATGCGTCTCGCTAAATGTTTTCAGATTCCAGGAATGTTAAGCTAACCGATTTGAGCCGTTTTAGACCAGACGCTCATTATTCCAGGCACAAATATGGTATGACATCATGCTGGCAGCCCGAGTAGGGAGAAGCAGGTATAAAACTGTCTCCTCTTCCTCCCGCTGAGATCAAATAGGCCCGGGAGGTGGATCTGAAAATGATGGCTTTTCTGCATCGAAGCGGAGAGCATTTCAGAGGCAGCACGTCATGAGTCAGGAGTGGGTCACCTGCCATGACCTCATTCCACTGCTGAGTTTAATACAACAGGGAGGAAGGGCTACTGCTCCAGACTTCTACTGGAGGAATTAGCAGAGAGGGCTTCTTTCCCATGATCACAACAATGATGTCAAAGGCTCAACATAAAACAAACATTGCAAAATATGTAGTAAAACCAATGGCTGCTTTCCCTCCACTACAGGTTACTATTTATACTACAGCTATTTGTACTGCAGATTCGGGGGGCGGGGTTGTTTTGTATTGGTTGATCAGGCACAACCATGACCTTAGGGGTAAAAACTAACTTTCACAGACATCAATAGAGAATTTGCCATGAATTGGTAAATCAAAAAATCATTTGTAATCAATAATTTGGTAAAAACATGAAAATCCACTGCTACATACATAGTATACATAACTCATAATATGTCTCCTTTAACAACATTATAGTTCACTGGAAAGAGCCTAATTACTGTGGCAAAGCAATTTGTATAGAACATTTCATTCACAAGACAACTCAAAGTGCTTCACACTAGACGGCTTTAAGTTTTGAAAGTGTAATTACTCAGCTCATGTACATTTTAAGTCTTCATAACTTTGGGACTTCATTGTGTATCTATATTTAGTTTTTTCTATGTAATTATTTTTGATGGATTTGTTGAGTAGTTCTACAATTAACTCCTACAGAAGCCAGTACTAGTTACCATAGCAACACACGGTTTACTTTCAGCATTTGGCATTTAGTCTTTGTTGTATTTCAAGTTATATTCACCAGTTTTATTTAAAAGTGTGTAAAAGTAAATGCCTTGTAAATGAATTACTTAAATCGAACATTAAACAAATATTTTTGTGGGGAATTTGTCAGAATTTCATTGGTTTGAACGGGAGAAGTCAAAATGATGGGGGTCATGAGTTTTAGTAGTTTCAGAATTATGGGAGTTTGTTTACAATTGTTAAATAATCACAGTACAATACAAAGAGTGTAGATAGACTCCTTGAGTTGTATACACAGCTAAACAGAACTGTTTTTAACTTGAATTTCAACATTGTCAGAGTAGAAGCCTGTCTCACATTTTCAAGAAGACTGTTTCAGATTCCATAGCAGAAACACCATCAGCTGGGGCAGCAGTAGGTGCAGGAGCAACAGTAGGACTTGGGAAGTTTGTCTCTACTCTCTAATGGTCGATATTAGCTCAGACTGAGACGATGAAGGTTCATTTTAAACAGGGGTCATATATTATTGAACAAAAGCTCCACATCTCTAAAAGGAATGTTTCTGTTGGAGACAAAGCTGCGCAAATATCTTAGAGAAATGGGCAGTCTCTCATCTTCCAGAAATTTCCTGTGTGGTTTGAACGCTGCATTTGACTTACTCTCTAACTTCCCATTGCTTTTAATTCAAGTTGGGAGCTGCCCTTGTTTGCACAGCAGGCATTTAGCATAATAACACAGAGGATGCATCACACAAAATGTCTAAAATAACATGTTGAGCATGCCACAATTGAAGGTGGATTTTGTCTGTCTGCGCGTTCAAATGGTGCAAAATAACTCGTCAAAGCAGGCAGCATGTCACAGGGGGTGTGTCTGCACGCCCAGACCTCCCACACTCACACACATATCTATGATCTCTTTAACAACTTAAACAGTACTGTACAGCACTTGTCCATGTTCCCAAGTGTCTCATGCCAACCTCAAAACCACCTCGCCAAAGAAAAATGACCTCAGCCTTGAAAAATGCACAAATTAGGCCAAGTTACGACGCATACTTGCACATCAAACTAACACCAGAAATGCGTAATTGAAGAAGTATACAGAAGGGAGCGTGAGGTCTTAAGAAAAGCAGTGAAGGACTTGGGAGAGTGAGAAGAATTGGCCCTGACCACAGTGGACCCAAAAAAGATATACGCCACAATATTGACTTAGACTTAGACAGACTTCATTAATCCACAAGGGAAATTGTGTTGTCACAGTGACTCGCATAGTATTTTACAATAAAAATAACATTAAAGTAAGAATCTGAAAATAATAATAATAATAAGATTAATAATTTTCAGCAAAATTAAAGTAGCGATATGTAAGATTTTTATGTCAAGTCAACATTAAATGGACCTGATATGTCAAAAGGCATTAATAAACCATGCTCTTTTCAAACACTTCTTTAACTGATAACAGAAGTTCCGCCGAGATATTTGGATTTCAAAATCAGTTTTACAGCCCCCTTGTTATTGTTTTCATTTCGATGTCCCACCCCCCACCGTTTTACCAACCAGAAAGTTCATGATCCCGGTTGCCAGGACTCACTGCTCCGAGCTAATCTCACTAGAAAAGTAACATGTGGCCGCAGTACAAAAAAGGTCTTGTTATGATTCTCAAATCAATAATGACAAAACAAGGAATAAAACCAGGATTTCTATCGGGGCCTTTATGGAAAAGGTGTTTGTTATAGATTTGTTGTTGACAAAACTCTTGTCAATTCAGTTATTATTATTATGGTCCCAGCTGGATTTGTCTGCATATCTGGCAACCTGAGTCAGGTAGAGTGGTAGAGGTTGCAGTGCCACTTTTGGCCTTTTACATACTGCTCCTTTAAAATTGTAAAGGAGCATTAACTGGTTGCTAAGAATTAGTCATTGTGTATGGATATTTCAAACAGTGAGTGGAACTTGTGAGATTTTATAGGGAAATAAAATATATAATTAATCAATGATAGTTAGTTAGGATATTGCCAGCCTTTTCATCATCAATACCAGTACAGGTACTTTGGCTTTCAGTATGTACCTATTTCCATTATTATGGTCATTGTGATTATTGGCTGTGGTACCATTGTATTACCCGAATATGTTCAGCAGTGGATTTTGTTTCACGTCTAACAAAGTAAACATGTGAACAAATCAAACATTGATTCAAAGTTCTATATTTTTGTCATGACTGAAAGAACAAGCTGCAGTTGTTTCTCTAGTCCAGCCATTCCCAAACTCAGTAACACCGAGGCCCCCTTAAAAATCTGACGGGTCTGCGTGGCCCCCCCAAAATAATAACCAAGAAGACAACATTAAGAATAGGCTCTTCTGGTTATTTTATTTTGGGGAAATAGCCTCTGCTACAAACATTGTAATACAAAAATGATTACAGTGGATTATTCAAGTCAAATAATGAACACAAATATTTTAATATTACAAACAAAACATTATAAATTTAACATTAAATAATTATATATATATATCTTTTTTTTTTATGACCTCCCGCGGCCCCCCTGCAGTACCCCCACTTTGGGAGACACTGCTCTAGTCCATGGATCTAGTCAGAGTAAATATATATGTGAATTTGCTGCCATCTAGTGTTGATACATCAATCTAAAAAAATCATAATACGGTTCACTAATTTGGGCCAGAGTAATGGTTTATAAAGCATCACTACAACATAAGATACAATGTGAAATTAAAATAATAAATCTAAAAAAAATCCACTTTCCAACACTCGAGCATTTGTGTTAAAGACATTGAGATGTGTATTATCTAACCACTTAATTTCTCATCTTTTCTTTATTACTGTTCTATAATGCCATCATCGCCACAAAGTCTGGGCTCTCCTGTTGCTACGCTCTGAAACATGTATGTACTACCTTCATTTTCCAAAGAAGGTGTGAAAGGATACGGGGCCTAGTGACTGAAAACGCCTTGTCATTACATTGACTGCATGCCTCCCCTGGCTCCTGTTGGCCTGGGACTATTTATACAGGCGCAGAGGAGGACCAGCACAGGCCAATGAGGAGGACACAGCCTGGGCACTCATACTGTAACAGTTGATCAGGTAATCATTTTTACAACTATTCCAATAACAACAAAAACTCCATTTTATCAGCGAGCGAATCATTGGTGAGTTATGAGTTTAACATTTGAATAGAAACTAGAGGGGCCTTTGCTTAAGGGCAAAATGGCAGATGAATGGGTGAGCTACTACAATCCAAATTCTCACTGACAGAATCATTATCCAAATACAAAACCATAGATGTACAGAAATAAAGTTTAAATTAAATGATTAGGTATCGCCCACTAGTAAAGCTGGCAGTGTTGCCTGAACAGTGCTCCTCTAGAAACAAGAGAGCAGTGTATTTTTAGTTTCCTGAGGAACTGTCGCAAATAACCAGGAGCTGCCACCTTCACTTGCTCAAGCTGTTAGAGGCCCAGGTAAACAGGTAAACAAGCTCTTACACAGTATGTACTATATAAACACAAACATAAATCAGATGCACTCTTAACACCTGCCTTATGATGTATTTAAAGCTTGAAGCATAGCATCAAGCTTTAAAGCTCTATCCAGACTTTAAAGCTCTATTAACACTCTGTAGTACATTATACTGATGCACATTTTGCTCATCTAATACTGTATATAACTTCTGTGTTTAGACATTGAAATATCAGGCCTTACCTGACAAGGGGCAGAGGATTTCCTGTGACCCTACACTCCAGGCAGATGGGGCTGCCCTCCGCCACCTCTTGGCTCTTCAGTTTGTGAAGGAAGTGTGGAGGAGACAGAGGTCCACAGGAGACTGGAGCTCCAGACTGCTGATACTGAACTGCACCCGCTACTGGTCCCAGGGTGCTGGACAGAGAGCCTACAGTGGCCTGGCTGTATGGGACGTCCTGAGGTGGAGGAGGGAGAGGGGGGACACCGGCTGAGCCCTGGGGGACGGGCCTCTGGCTCCTGGGGGACAGGTAACCACTGTCTGGAGATGAGGAGTCCTCCTCCAGCGGCTGCTCTGTGTGAGCATTGCTCTTGAAGATGGAGGACAGCTCCTCGATGAAGGATGCAGCGCGGCTGCAGAACTCTGAGGCAGAACCAGACCGCTCCGACAGCTCCAGACCCTCATGGACCAGCCGAGGTTTGTCCTGTCGATACACAGGGGGAATAGGTTTGTGCCGAATCGCTTTCTGCCCTGTGGCTTCGCAGGGCACCTGCACAGCCCTGAGGGGGGCGCTGTGCGGGGACAGGTCTTTGACAGCACTGTCGTCGGGACAGGGGGGTTTGGTCTGGTGCTGGAGGTGTGAGCTGGGACTCAGGTCTATAGTCTGCGTAGGCCCTGGAAGAGCCTGCTCCTGGGGCAGAGGGGTAGGTCCAGTGTCCTCAGATGGATCACCAAAGGCCTCCCGGGCCAGGTCTAAACTGAGGTTTATCTCCTCTGCACTCAAAAAGGATGTGAGGTCAGCAAAGTCCCCATCTCCAGAGTCCAGCTCTGATGCGGGGTCCATGAAGAGTTCTCCCCCCTCCGGGTGTCCCTCTGCAGGGTCTTTCAGCAGCACTGACATAGGGAGTGGCTGATTCCAACTCCCGTCCTGCATCCTGAAATACACATGCCACATTTAGACAGTACAGTTCAGACTCAAATAAAGGAGACAATAATAGACAAGAGCAGTCATTCACAAAATATAGACAGTGTACAGTAATGGCCAAAGTGGCAGCGTGACCCAAGACTCATGAGGGGCATTAGCGAAGTCTCACTTTGTCTTCACCATGGGACTGTCACAATGTATTTATACATGATTAGACCTTGTGTTAATATAAAATCACGGCTAAGAAAAAAACAGCGTATGTTTTTCACTTACAAATGAGGTTCAAAATAGAAGGAGAGAGCAACTGTATCTTCCTTCAAAGACGTGCAAATGAGTTGGTTACTCTGAACTGAAGAAATGAATTAATGTCACTGGCACAAAGAAGATAGAACAGCTGAGTAATTAAGAAAAACAATTGTTGATTGTGTTTGTTTTGGTTGATCCCAATGTCATTATCATGCATTATGCAATTTGCTTGATACTGAAATTTGTCATCCACATATAATCCACATCATTCAATGCCACTCACTGGCTTCAATCTTCGTGACCCTTCTGAACTATCTGTCCTCATTCGTAAACCCAAACCCTCAACCTGCCCGCTTGATTTATTTGTTTTAGGGACATTAATGAACACTGATAAACACTTCTGACCCCCTTATATCTACTTCCTCAGTTCCTTGGCTCACTTCTTCAGCTTATCATTTACATCATCCACTTTCCATTGGCATTCTTCCTTCATTATTTAAACTGCCGTTGTCACTCCAATCCTGAAAAATCCAGTGTAGACCCAAACAACTTTGTCCCATTTCTAATCTGCTCTTTATTTCCAAAACTCACCATTCAACTCAATTCACGCCTTTCTCTGACAGCTTTTATGAACCGTTTCAATCAGGCATCTGACCCTGTCACAGCACTGAAACTGGGAAACTAAAAATCACCAATGGTCTTCTTATGGCATGGCTGATTCTAGCCTCTACACCACCCTCATTCTCACTGATATGAATGTGGCCTTAGACACAAATTCTCATACCATTCTTCTTAAATAGAGTCCTTCACCTGGCATCACCTCCACTATCTCTCAGCTCCTACAACTAAAATCTTTAAGACCCACTCATGTTTGGTGAACCCCAAGGCTCTGTCCTCCTTTGCAATATCTTCTTTGGTTCTAAATACTTGAAAGAGTTCTCACTCTTGCAAAAGTTTATCTTTCTCCATTGACAACACTGTCCCTGCCTCATCTGGATGTCATTATTGAGAACATACAACTGTTTTCAGTCACACATCAATAATATCACTCAGCCTGCTTACCTCTACCTATGAAATATGAACCGCCCTTGCTCCTCCTTCACTGTCCATGTCTCTGTCGCTGTCATAAACAACAGCCTCGTCACTAACTGCATAGATTACTGTAATTCACTTCCTTCTGGTCCTTCTGCCTCTCAAATCTCTCAATAAACGTCAACTGTTGAACTACTCCTATCGCATCATGCCTGTTTTTCAAGGTTCAAAGTTTAAATCCCCCCAAAAGGGACATTTCTGTTAGGCTAATAGCAACTGCACTTACTCATAGTTAAATTCAGAATTCAAAGTCTTACTCTGCACTTTAAATGCCATTCATAATCTCACCAGTCAGGGACCTGTATGATCTCCACATCTCCATTCCATCTCCTTCCACAAAATAATTATCGCAAAAAGTCTAGAATATGCTAGTTGACATAAACAAGTACATACTGTAGACATATGTATTTTAGATAATATAATAATAACTTGAATAATCCAGTTAAACTAAAATATTATCTAATGCTTCATTAGAGGTCATTATAGAGTAGTCAATATTGTTTGTGGTGGTAATTAAAACAACATTGACATTATAAATATGAACACACTGTACATTATGTAATAGAACAATATTCTTGTTGTTGGCAAAGGACCTGCTGATTTTCTTATTATGACCATTTAAATTGGATTTTGGTCTTTCAGTACTAATGTGCAGTCTGTCAACTGATGTGAAAGTATAGGTGTTGATATGTGCAATGCAGAGACGCACTAGGAGCCTCATAGCTCCTGACGACCAGCTGTTGTTATTTTTAATCCCTTGGGCAAAGTTTCACAGCAGCAGCAGCAGCATGAGCCAGCCCTGGACCTGTCTTCGAACCAGACACAGGTAAAACCAACAGATCTCAGAGTTGAAGGCATCCAGGAAGTAAATCAACACTGTTCTACAAATGGTCCATTGTGTCCACGGACAGGAAAGTTGATTAAATATGAATGTGGAAATGTGTTTATGCTTTGTTCATCCAGTCAGTCATTTTATCTTAACCAATTAATCCTTCATGACTGTAATAAACAAGGTTTGAATTTTGCAATACCATAAACAACATCTACAGATAAAACTCAGAACATTTAAATATTGTTTAAAAGTACATTTCATGTTTCATTCATTTATTTCTGTAAATCAACTTAAAATGTGAAATCAATAGACTCATATATAATAATATAATATATTATAGACCCATTATATGCAAAGTGACTTGTCAAGCCTTTGTTTGTTTGACGATTAGAGCCTTACAGCACATTTTTATTATGTTTGTACAGGTCAGGAGGCATAATTATCAACATTGCAAGAAATAAACCTTGATATATCGCACTTTGCATGTAATGAGGCTGTCATGTATGAGTTTCACAATGTCAGTTGAATTACAGAATAAATTAGAACAAGTTTCACCATTATTCCAAATCGTGAAGTATTTTAATGCAAAAAGTATGGATGCACCCATTCACATTGTTCATGTCCAATAGCAATGTTGATACTTTAATTGTCTATATCTATAAAAATATCTATAATATTCAATATGAACCAATAACAGATGGGACTGAAAAAAGTATTTTTCACCCTTAAATCTTAGCTTATATTTAAAAATATTATGAAATAAGAACAAAAAAGGTCCTTTCTATCAGTAAATGGTTTCATAACAATTGGTTTCAAAATCAATTGAAAATCCCCAACTGGATATCAGCTTAACCAATATCATAGAACCTGACTTCCCCACTATAATAGCACTGATATCTGATGCCAGTATTGTATGAGTGAATCCCCAGTAACGAATTTATATATAAAGTACAAATGAAGTCAAGATATCAATAACATTGCCTTTATGTACCATTCAAAAAGACAGGGACAAAAACAACAATCAGATCTTACCTTAAAATGTGAAAACAGTATTTCCACCAGTTTCTGTTTTGTTTCTTTGCCTTAATTGAATGAATAAGAGGCAAAAGGTACGTTCTGTCTCTGCCGACAACAGGAGCCTCGTTGGTGGAACAGCAGCTTGTTGGACCCAATGCGCGGTGTCTCTGCAGTAGCCAGTGTCCCATCTGTCTCGGTCTCTAACTTCTCACTGTGTGCAGCTATATTTGGCCCTGGCTCAGGTTTCACAGCCAGAATATTGGAAAGAAGACAGACCGTAAGGGAGTCTGAAGGAACAGAAGCCATAGTAAATATTTTAGTAATAACAGTATTATCATACAAACATTGATAACAAATTCAAAATTCTAATTCAATTTAAAAATGTGTTATATGTTTCACTTATGTACACCTGCCACCTGTTATTACGAAGGTTTTAAGAAAATATGTATTACTTTTTAAAATTAGTACTTTCGTACTTTTGATTAATTAGGACATTAGTTATTATGATGGTATATTTACAGAAGCTTGTCACACTGCTGGTGTCCAGAAGTGTTGACCCAAAGACCCCAGACCACCCACATATCTGCAAAAAAAGATGGGAGCAGAGTAAATAGTATGAAATAGAATATACATTTCTGAAGTAATAAAGTTAAAGAAATATACTGATTTGTTCTTTTATTTCTGGGACAGGAAAATATGACCGCTCAGATGCCAAAACACAGGCTTACAGGGAGGACTGTGCAGCCTCACTGCATCACTGGGTCTATTTCTAGGCCACTATCACATTTTGAGCCCCATGAGCTATTCTGGTTCTTTCGTCAAACTACTGATGATAGTTAAGTGCCACTGATAAGAGCATAAGGAATTTCAACAGGAGTCTAGCATCTGTTCACCCACGAGGACACAGACATTGCCATTGCCTAATAAGAACCATGGTCTGATAATCAAAAATACAAATATAAGAGTAAGTAGAGTAAGTTTTAAAAGGGTTTAATTGTGTTTTGAGCTAATGAAAATATCCATTAGGGGCGACTCGATTTTTTTTGCAGCACTGATTACAATCTGATTACAAACTCTTGTTTATTTTTACCTACCTTACAATCCCGCCAATCCAATCGAGTCATGATTTCTCAAGTTAAATCAAAAGCGTTTCCTACGAATAAACGAAGCGCATTATTGAACATTTGTCTCTCCTGACTTCCCGTAGAAGCGCTCTGATTGGTTAGAGGAAAAACATGGCGCTTTCCGCGTAAAAAAAACAACACCACATTATAGATCTAATATGAAATCAACATTTAAGCGTCTTCAGATAAAACGATCAAGGGGAAGGTCATTGCTATCCATCTAACGTTTGTGTAAGTCTCCGTATTTACACATTTCAAGACAAAACCCAGACACTGTTCATTTGCTAACCATGTTAACAGCTAACATTAACTTTACAAAGTACAACTGTCTAGTATAAAGATTTCAGTGATGACACTACCATTTGCATTGCTTACAAAATAAGTAGACATATTGATCACACTGTTAATGCCCAATGTATTTTCCTTCATTGTTTATGGCTTATTAGCCTACGGATCTGGCGAAACACAAGCTCTAGTGTGGCTATCAAGTTCTATAAAAAGGTAGTGTCTTTAGTTGCGCTTGATACTAGAGTATTTATTTTACACTTTATCCAGATTAAAGTTGGAATCAATCTACAACAAACGGAGCTGACAACATGCCTGCGTTTCGACAAGTGGGGGAGAAACAGCTCCCCAACCCTGTGCTGTGCATGGCATGGTCTCCTAAAAGAGATCTAATTGCCTTGGCCAACACTAGTGGAGAGGTGAGTGTCACTGTTTTGTGTATGTTTTGTTATCAATGTCATCAAATAAATGATTACATGCTCCGGCTATTTTTCAGCTGCTCCTCCACCGCTTGGCCAGTATTCAGCGAGTTTGGAGTTTACCACCAAGTGAATACACAGGGAAGGACATTACTGCGTTGGCCTGGAGACCTGATGGAAAAAGTATAGCACTGTTGTATTTGCCTTATAATCTCAATCTGTATAATTAGCAGACAGACTCTGCTAAATATAATGTGTATCTTGCAGTTCTGGCATTCAGTCTTGGTGACACAAAACAGGTGGTCCTCTGTGGTGTAGAAAAGGCAGAGATCCTACATGTGTTTCCCATACAGAGCCCAGTGACCTGCATGCACTGGATGGAGGTGACAGAAGAAAACAGGTACACACCCATATTCACACTCAAACGTTGTCAAATATACATGTTTTTCCTACTTTGTTACATCGTTCATTTGTCCCAGTGCATTGACTGCCTTTTACAACTCAGAGGATGAATCTGTACTGTTTTTGCCAAAGCTGCCATCACTTCCAAAGAGGTACAAAAGTCAGAGTTTTTATCTTTGTTTATTTATTTTTTTACTCATAATAATAATCTTGTCTTCTTTTTTTCAGCTATAGCACAACATCAAAAATATTCAGGTAATATTACTTGTATGTAGTTAAATTATAGGTCAGGCTTACTAAGAATATAAACAATTGTATTTTTCACAGTGAGGAAAAGTCAGACGAAATTACAAATCTTTTGGGAGAAGTCAGGTAAACACACATATAGAGGAAGCAAAATGTAATCTGAATTAAATGTATTGCTTGTTGCATTTAGGCTCAACATACTTGTTCTGGGAGGTGACAATGGCTCTGTTGAGCTTTATGCCTATGGGATGTACAAGATTGCCACTGTCACTGGAGTAAGTCACTTTTCACTTGAGTAGCATCTTAAGAAATCTTTGCTCGTACATGGAATTCAATCACAACACAGTTTGATTCTATTCTCCTGCTAGTTTGCACATTATTTAGCCTCTGTCACATTATTGTTAATCTTGAATGATGGGTCACATATTGTTTTCTCCATCTTGATTTTATAATAGATTTCTGGAACATGCTGTAGCCTCAGTCTGTCCAGTGATCTCAAATCTCTGTCCATCATCACAGAGGTGAAATCGGCCGGTAACAACTCTGAGATGTGTTATTGCCAGGTGAGGAATATTACATTTCAAATATGTTCTATCAGCTTTTCAACCATCAACTTTCTTGTCCTATAGCTGGACACAGGGCTGCTGTCTGACTGCCTGCCGGAGGTGACTAGAATGGCTCGCAAGTTCACCCATATTTCCACACTGCTTCAGTATCTGCACCTCTCGCTCACCTGCATGTGCGAAGCCTGGGACGACATATTGATGCAAATGGATCATCGCCTCACCAAATTTGTGCAGGTCTGTTGCTATCGTTGGGCACTTCACTGTGAAAAATCAATCTTGTTCACATGGTTTTTTTTTCCGCACATAGGAAAAGAACACAAGTACTAAGGTTCATGATGAGTTTCTGGAGCTTTTGCTGTGGGGGCAGTCAAGGTAAATTTGTTTTCTTAAATACAGTGTCAGCCAAAAGTTTAAGCCTAGTTGAAAAATTAAGGGGGAAAAAACATATTTTTCTTGGATTTATCTTAACAAAGTACTAAGTGGAGCTTCAAAATGCTACAACAATCATGTAGAAAAAAGATTATTTGTGGGTTTCATCTTATAACCGGGACTGCATATACTTACATATGTTGTAATACTCCGAGTGCCCTCTAGGTGGTCTCCAAATGCCATGTATAAATTGTGTGCGAATGACTGTTATTTCATTGATGTTGATTGTTGTTTATTTTGAAAAGCCCTGAACTCCAAGCGCTCCTTGTGAACCAACTCACAGTCAAGGTAAGGCCTAGTTCAGAGCATGTTAACAGCACACATGTAGCATTTAATTAGATTTATTATTTTTTATCTTTCATTGTAGGGATTAAAGAAGCTTGGGATGTCCATTGAGTCTTCCTACTCCAGTATTCAAAAGCTTGTCATTAGCCATTTACTAAGGTATGGTTGATAACTGCACAGTGCTTTAAAGGAATGCTTTAACATCTAATTTGTGTGGTGGAATTCTTTTTGAATGCATTGAGAAACACTTGTCCCTAGATTATTACTGTTTTGAAATACCGCACTGTATAAACGCACAGGGTTTTCCCAAAAACAATACTATATGTTCCTGTCTCTAGCGGCTCGGAGGCACTGTTGTACCACCTCAGTGAAGTGAAAGGCATGTCTCTTTGGAAGCAGAAGTTTGAGCCTCTTGGTTTGGACGCAGCTGCTGTAGAAGGCATAGTTTTTCCAATCAATCCAATAAACACAGATCTATTGTATGGAATATATTGAACTTACTTATTTCTTCTATGCAATTAGGTGCAATTACAGCTGTGGGCTCATTCTCATTAAAAGCCAATGAACTTCTACAGTAAGTCAAAACATACTGTCTACTTGCTTTAAGTTTCATGCATTTTCTTATTGTGAAATTATTGTTTTTGTTTTGTAGGGTCATTGATAAAAGTATGAAAAACTTTGCAGCGTTCTTTCGTTGGCTGTATGTAGGTATGTAGGTCTTTAATGTATGACAAATTGGATTAATACATGTTCAGTAATTTGATCATCACAGTGAATAGTTGAACCCACAGAGAGTCTTGCAGTAGAGTAGAGTATAGTACAGATTTATCTATAGATGTATAGAATGAGTCTGGTGTGTTTGTGTGAATGGTTGGTGGTGGTCAGAGGGGCCGATGGCACATACTGGTTGCGTCGCTTCTGTCAGTGTGCCCCAGGGCAGCTCTGGCTACAGTAGCAGTTTATCACCACCGTGTATGGAGTGAATGAATGACATGTGAAGCGTCTTTGATTGTCCAAAAAAGCGCTATATATTATTATTATTTTTATTATTATTATACATACAAGTATACTGCATATTTCTTAATAATAAATAACTAAATAAAATGAATTTCTATCTTTAATATAGAGATCTTAGATTGTGCTGTATTTAATATTCACTTGTGTTGTGTGATCCTCATTCTCACTGTTTAATAACTTGTGATGCAACACTGAAAATTCCCCTCTGTAGGACATATAAAGGTTCCTTTTTCCATCAAAACAAACTGTCCATACGACTTTTATGTACTTTGCTGGTGATTTTCTTAATTCATATTTGTTTTTCTGCAGCAATGCTCAGAATGTGTGACGAGCATGTGCCTCCTGAGCTCAATAAGGTACATATATACATGATAAATGTTATACAATTCTTCAAGTCACATTGATTTTAACTTTTTTCCATTCTCCAGATGACTCAGAAGGACATCACTTTTGTTTCGGATTTCCTGTCAGAGCATTTCAGTGAGGTCAGTGTTTTGGTAGATTGAAAAATGTGTACAATATCATCAAGTCAAATGAATGGGCATATTGATTTTTCTATTTGCGTTCACAGAATAAAGAGCTCTTCTATCGAAAAGGGAAGTACTTTAACGTTGAAAGAGTCGGCCAGGTATGTAAGATTGCTGATCAGTGTTTTATGATTTGGGTAAATAAACTTGGTGTTTTATTGATTCCTAAAACTATCATTTGATACAGTACTTGAAAGATGAAGAGGAGGACCTTGTGTCTCCACCAAACAACAAGGGAAACCAGTGGCTCAAGTTTTTACAAGAGACCACGCATTTGAAAGGTGAACTTCACAACACAGCCAGCAATTTGCACGATAAATAAAGATATCGTTGCCCCCGTGTGTTGTCACTAATGAGTATTATCTAGGCTACTTTTTCGTAAGTGTAATTCCAGTCCTTTAGTCCAGCAAAGACCAAGATTTTTTAAAGATTTGAATTATTCTCTTAATGTTACTGCTTTTTATCAGGTTTGAGAGCTCCTTTAATTCTTACTGATCTGCATTGTGCTCGGCAACGCTGCTTTTTCCCCGCTACAAGATTAATAAAAAAAAATTAAACATTTTTTCTTTCCGTCCTTTTTAGAAAGCACATTGTTGTTTCCCACCTATCCCCACAAGTCTCTGCACTTTGTGAAGAGAATGATGGAAGGAGTCATTGAGCAATGCTTACAGAAACCAGCGGTAAGTTTTGCTCCCCTTTTTGATAAATTGATAAAAGTTGACATGATAAATTGATAAAAGACAAAAAATATGCCTTTCTTTGCAGGAGGTAATAGGAAAGTCCATTCACCAGGCTGTTTGTTTACCTCTTTACACGGTGCCAGAAAGGTAAAGTTCCACATTTGTTTCTACTTCCAACTGTTTATCTGCTCTATTTGTATTCAGATTGTCTTATACATACACAGCTAAACCTGGATTTTCTTATTTTGCAGTGCGGAACACGCCCCTCGTTTGTTTAAGCTTCCATCTTTGTAAGTCTGTAGCAAACTTATGTTTACATTATTTTAATGTGTGAAATAAACACTACTCTTTTTAGGTGGAACGACAAGAAAGCCAAGATTCACAATATTGTTTTCAGTATGCCAGAAATTTCACCGTCCAAACTTTACCTTTTACGAAGAGCAACAGACCCATGCAGGTAGTCACACATTTGTTTTTATGTGTAATATTCTTTTCTATCCTTTTTGAGCACTTTTGAATTTATTTATGTGAAATAATGAGATATCTAATGGGGATTTTTCTCTCACTGTTTTTTTCTTTTGTAGAACCATTAAAAACAATGTGATATCCATTGACCTCCGCAACCTACTGGAGAACATGGACGATGACAACGACACTGCACAGTAAGTCAGAGTCGCCATTTTGAAAGTAAACCAGCAAGTTTTATTTGTTTATTTTGTGTTTGGGATTGACGACTGATGGAATGTAGGTAAAACCTGCAAACTCAGGCACATTGAAATTGTCCATTAATGTGATTTGTCCCTTAATCGAATAAATAAATCACATTGGGAAAGGATTCATCAAGGATTAATTCATAAATAATCAAGGAAATAAATCTGGGTTTTCTATGACTATAGATTTGACAATCAAATTACACAAACAATCCGTAAATTAATTGTTATAGTTTATATGATTAAGGATGATCCTGATTATATTTCCCAGCCTACTACGGAAATGGAAAGTATTTCTGTTTTCTAAAGATGTGTGTATTAGATCATTACATTTCTATATAAATATAGTATACATGCTGTGAAACGGGTGGCATTTAAGTTGTGCCAATAACTATATTGTCTTTTTGTTTCAGTCATGTGTACAGTTGCCTGGACGCTCGTTTCTATGACGATGAAATGTTAACCATCGTCTTGCAAGAAAGCAGTCGATGCATTCTGGCTCAGCTGCCTCTAACTTCAGCATTGAGCTGTGACACAGAGTTTATATGGGAACCCAACAAGAAGTATGTCTTAGAATAGAATATCCATCTATTATTCCTTCAATAGCACAAAAAATATGCTAAGAAAAGACTGTTTTATGAAGGATGTTGTGCTATATTTCCAGGTTGGATCAGCAAACCAATGAAATCCCATGTCAAGGGGTGGTATTGGGAAATCAGTGGCGGGAACTTGAAAACATAAAGGCTCAGTTTGTTGCAGTGAATGGAATCCGTAAAGTTGCCTGCGTGGTATGTCCTCCCTGATTTTATATTGACATGGATTTTTTTTTGTACTGTGTTTTGTCTGTCTTTATGAATATGGGATCAATAATGTAATGCACCAAATGTGGCACCTGGAAGGGCCAAACTGTCACTGTGTCCTTTAGGTACTTCATCCACATTGTCTATTAGTTTGAGTCTTGTCTGTGCATGAATGGTTGGTGATGGTCGGAGGGGCCGATGGCACATGGTTTTCTCGCGTCTGTCAGTCTGCCCCAGGGTAGCTGTGGTAGTATCTTATTGCCACGATTTATGGAGTGAAAGAACATTACCAAAAAGTGCTATATAAAGCTGATTATTATTATTATTTTGTATTATTATTATTATTATATCCAATGTTACTGTTCTGTAATTTTAAAATTAGGCATTGGATTTTAAGAGGTTGACATTTCTCTTGGCAGCTGAGTGCAAATCTGAGGCACATTCGGGTTTTTGAGATGGATGTTGAAGATGAGGATGACGAAGGAGCTGACTCTCAGAACGTGACCGCTGAACAAGACATCCTAGAGACGACCATGTCCAGCCTGGGGCAAGAGGAGGAGGGTCTCACTGCCAAGAATCCAACTGGAGAGGGCAGAGATCACAGTTCAGAGGACAAACTCGAATCGGAAGAATCACTGGAACTTTCCTAGCATGTTTTCTATTTCATATCCTGTGGTCAATCATTTGTAAAATCGAATGAATTAAATAAATGTTTTTATTATGTACGTTTGTTTTTATATACATTGTATTAATAATGCACTTTACATTTCAACGAAATCCAGAGTTTCCAAATATATAGATGTAATAGATCCATGATTAGACTGGATACAACGACATTTTCTACCATTTCTCGCTGCAAATCTAAACAAACAGACGAGCCTGTCTGTGCGCGTGGAAATAGGTGTTGGTTACGTGCGCGTCCCCGTTCTGAACGTGGTGACGTAGGCACTCCGCCTGTTGGTCTAGTATTATGAAAATGGCCTCGACCCTGAGCGCCGAGCCGCGGAGAAGATGACGGTGTTTGGTGATTTAAGTGAACTCAAAGGGCTGTGTCTTCACTGAAGACGAAGAGGAGACACACACACAGACACACCGGGCTGTGGACACACCAGACCACCGGAGGGCAGCGCGGTTCTGTCGCGGAGGCAGAAGCCACTATGGAGGATATCAACTCAAATATCAACGCGGACCTGGAGGTGCGCAAACTCCAGGACTTAGTGAAGAAACTCGAACAGCAGAATGAGCAGCTCCGGAGCAGGTCCACGATACTGTCTTCGTCTGGAGGGATGTCAGGCGGACACAGACCGCTGAGCGCGGGGTTCGACTCGCCCCTGTCCGCGGGGCTGGTCGGCTACACTGGGGTGGGGTTCGGACTGGAGAACAGCCGCTGTCGGAGCCCCAGACTTTCCTACGACGGCATCAGCTTTAGGAGATCCTACGACAGTGACGGGGCCCCTGAGGCTGGCCCTCTGTCCAGCACAAACTCACTATATTCAGAGACCTCGTTCAATGATGAAGGCGAAACGTCAATCTTAGATGAAGTAGACGTCATAGACTTGGAGGACATGGACTGTCTACATGAGGACGAGGACAGCTGGTGAGTGACAGGCTTGTCCCGGAGGTGTGTGGTGTTTACAGCCGTGTCTGTGAGCTCAGGGCTGGGCACAGCTGCCATAACACTACAACCACCATTTGCCATGTCTGAAACTTCTCTGAAATCAAAGGGCGCGTTATTTTAGTGTTATACCAGGAGCTGATGCAGGTCATGTGATCTGACCTGATCACTGCACAAAGATGGCCTCACCTCATTCTTCATTAACTAAATCTCTTATCTTGGGTACTTTCCTCAGCTGCTCTGAACCTTATCTGTTGCACCGCCTCTGTTGTGTTGTGACAGATTGCTTTGTTTGTCATGGCAGTCAGGGGTGACAGGAAGTTGGTGGCTCCACTTGTTAGAAGAGAAAGTCATTTTCTTGCCTCGGAGCCGAGAGGGAGAGCCACATGATTATTCCTCTCATGTGGAATCCCTTTACAAGGCTAAACATGCTCAGCCACTGAGACCAAAAAAGGCTCTGAAAGCATCTCAAGAAGTCTTTTGAACAATGACAAAATACTGAAACTGATATTGACTTTATTTATTTATTTATTTTTTGGGAACAACTTGATTTGCCCATTACAGTATGGAATTATTCTCTACACCCCTTATATCGAAAGCTACTTATAAGATAAACTTTTTTGATCTCACAATGGAGACATTTACTTGTCACATTTGGTATCACTCAGGTTGTGTAAAAAGATAGAAATGTGCCAACATGTTAAAAGGTAAAAACAAAAACATTTATTTACCCCAGAGTTGATCGAGATAGTATTTCACTTAGCTGCATATTTGGTGTTTGCTTTGGTTTTTGAGGCAGAAGTAACTCTCAATTTGCAAGTTTGTCACATATTTTATAAATAACTACTTCATAACTTGTTTTGTGTGTTTAGTTAGAAATCTAGTGGGCCTGTTACAAGGTACACAATTGTGTACCTTGTAACACAAGCGGTTTACACAATTGTAAACCGCTTTTTGACTCTGGTCTGTGAAAAGGCGTATATATTACTTACTTATAACTGTTATGGTTTTGAGAACTTCCGCTGTGCACCCTTTTAACGCATGTCCTTAATCGACTAAGAATTTTTCTTTTGTTTACTGCAGTTTTTATTGTTCATCATAACTTAGCTTTGAGTCCGATAAAGCCAGCCTTATTTTCCAGTCTTTGTGCCTGAATCCTAAATATTGATTTTTGATACATATTTTGGTGTAATTTAAAGCATTAGACAAAAAAATTGAAGTTGTTGCCTCACCAAATACTTAAAATACACCAAATACTTAAATGTGTGAGATCAATAAAGTCTATCTTATCTTTATCCAACTACTCATCTACATTATAAGTCATAGCATCGGAAGCAAAGTCTTTCCTGTAGTAAATGGGAATGTAGTGACACAGTTCAGAGCCAAAGTACTGTGGATATTTGCAAGTTTTTGCTGAGCGGTGCAACATTAGTTTGGCTTTCACACATTTCCTTCAAAAGCGTAATCCTTAAGCCTCTTGCAGATTTGAGCTTCTGTGTTTACATTGAAATGAGCTGTGGACGTATCGACTTTAGAGCTGGTCGAGGTAGTTTTCTGCTACACTGGGCAGCTTACGTTGATGAGGGCTTTTGTTACAGGATTAGAGACATGTTATCGGCCCTTGAACAGAGGTTTGGTTCGATTGGTCTCTTTTACGACCACGACGGGGCATTAATTGGTGAGAATGCTTTTTCATTCATGACATTGCAGTAGGCTTTTGACCACTTATTGGGGTCAACATGATCATTTTGATGAAGGGAAAATGTATACAACTTTCTTGTCAAGTCAAGGGGTACTTTATGGCATTATAATTGAAGCACTAAAGCAAAAAAAAGGAAACCATGATTCTTTGCGACAGTAGCTCAGTTGGTAGAGCATTGGCCTTCAGGCCTGAAGGTCGTGGGTTCAATTCCCACCTCTACACCTTCTCCACCGACTCCCACTGATGACTGCTGTCGTTGTGTCCTTGGGCAAGACACTTAACCCCACTTTGCCCAAAGCCCCCACTGAAAGATCAAGGCTATGCTCACACTTAGAGCAGCCGTCCTCCTGTGGACTCACCACCTGCAGAGGGTCAGTGAGGGGCTGGTGCTATGAGACTTGGGTGGCATCTCTGACTGCCACCCCCCTGACCCAGAAATGGATTAAAGGGTAGAATGGATGGATGGATGATTCTTTGCATCTTTTCTTTGATGGAGGACTGGTCAGTGTGTTGGAGATGACATTTTTATATATTTACTGGTACTACACGTGCTACAGTGTAAAGCCAATATTCAAACGTGTTCGAATTCAACTTTCGATTCGATTGACAATGTGCCAACAACACCACTGCTATGAAGTTGGATAATCAGAGTATACAAATAAAATGATTAAAAGCCTTGAGATTAAACAGACTTAAGACATAAATAATTAACATTTGGCTTTGAAAGTGAATTATTCCACCTTCTACTGTTTAACTTGTTTTGTATTACAAAGAAAAGAGCAAAAACCTTTCCACTATTGCAAAAAATAGATAAAGATTGAGAACTAAAAGTAGAGTGTTCCATATTTTATGAACAATGACTGGATAGTCACTGTTGTGACAGGCTCCTAAAGAGCTTTTTGTGGCTACAGCCTCTCTGCTCATTCACCCTCCACTCTGCGCCCAGTGCCCTGTAGATCTGATCTGGGATTATGCTTTTGCCAGCTTCTGCTATGGACTCCTGTAATCCCAGAATTAGTGTTTGACCAGATTTTAAACACGGCCCCAAGCAGCAAGTACACAATAGAGTAACCTAATTTCTTTGTTTACTCATTTTCAAATGAAACAAGACATCTTATGCTTGTTCTATTGACCGGTAATATTCAAAATATACTCCAATCAAGATACATCTTAATCAAAGTCGTTATTAACTTTTAGCAGTGAACCAAACCAAATCTCCAGCAGTTGAATAGAAAGACAAAACAACATGAATAATACAGCTGTTGTGATGCTGATGCACTGTGAGAGTTTGCAGTGTTCCCTGATCCTCCTCTGGCTTTGATGTGTTCTGTCTCAATGAGAAATGCTCCCTCAGAGCCGACAGCTGCTGACTCAGATCTGGTCCAAGGATAAACACAAACACTACTTTCAGATCCGTCAAAGCAGGAGAGAAGCCACGGTCATATTGTAACGTTACATCAAGCAGCGCTGGGCTTTTATCAAAGTCTGAGCGCTCTGACGGCTGTAATCAATGGAGCTGAGTTTACACTTTCTCCACAAACTAAAGACACTGCAGCAGAATCAGGGAGGTCCTCATCAATAGTCATCAAATGGAAACTTTGTATTTACTTCTCACGGAAAGGGGGGCTTCACTTTGTTTAAGGCTCAATTGGAATGGAGCATCAGTATTTTATAAAAAATCAAAATCAACACAGACAATACTTGAGCCAAAGAATGTATAATAATGTAGGCCCCTGAAGTTTGTAACAGGAAAAAATTACTAACGTGAAAAACAAAATGCTAAGTACTAAGTATTGCACTTTAAATAAACAAATCGCATGATCTGTCGTAAACATCTTAATTAGAAATGTTATGTCAATTGGAACAAAAATGACAACAAAGCCAATCACAGTATTTGTTTCATTATTGTACTATGTCGGTAAACAGAAAAATCACTATTTTACATACCAAAAGGGTTATGCTGTAGTGTACCCCATTGCCAAACTCAAGCTCAGATCAAATTGCACACAACGTAGCAAATGATTCACAAGACGTTCACTTACAAGTTCATTTCTTTCTTAAACAGAAAGGGTCTCGTAAAAGTAAAATGTTGTGAACAAAACTGACCACAGCTTGTCTTCTCTTATGAGCATATATGTTCCCTTTTGTATATTTGTAAGAAAGCCTATATCACTTTTTCACTTCTCTGTGTGAAAAAGCTGATCACTAACGATAGAACCAAACTGATTTAAGAGCAAATAACTAGTCAGATGGATTTTGTTCTGATCATAGATAATGCTTTCCTCACATTTGTCTTTATGTTCCTTCAGGTTGTATGAAGCCAAACTGAACAGCCCTCTGCAGAAGGCCCTGAGCCCTGTCGTGTGGTGTCGCCAGGCTCTGGACCACCCCAGTCCTGAGATGGAGTCAGCCAAACGCTCCCTCATCCAACGCCTGGACCTCTCCATGTCAGGTACAGAGGGTTAGGGTTGATACAATAATGATAAAATACTACTAGTAACCTTCATTAGGCCCGAGCCCCAACCGGGGTAAGGGCCTATTGCTTTTCCAACGAGTAATGCCTGGGCGAAGCCCAGGCATTACTCGTTGAACTGTCATAAGTCACAATCTCCGGGCGCAGCCCGGAGATTGTGACCTGCACGCGACGGCACGTGCCCAAGCACTGATAAATCCGTGCCGGAGGCACGGAATGGCTTTGTTCCTGCTGTAGTACACAGTGAAATGATTGAAGTCCTATTAAAGGGGGGTTCCTTCAACTGTTTTACGGACGAATGTCCGGGCGAAGCCCGGACATTCGTCCCCCAAGCCCGACGGCGCGTGCCCAGACACTGACAAAACAGTGCCGGAGGCACTGAATGGCTTTGCTCCTGCTGTAGTATACAGTGTAATGAATGGGGTCCTATGGGGGGGGTGGGTGACCTCATGATGGCGAGGTGATTGACGAGCGCGTCAGCGCTCGTCAATCACCGAGAACCCAATAGTTGCGTTCGTCTGGTCGTTCGCTTTAAAACGACGTATCATTTGTATTATAGGTTACTATGGAAACCTATATTGTTTTTGCTCAAAGATTTAAAAAAAAAATTCCTTGGTTTGGTTTATTTATTATTATTTCTTTTTTCTTCTGCGCTTTGAACCTTAATTTGACCCCCTGAACATTGATGAAAAGTTGTGAAATTTTGCCCAAAATTCAGAACCGGTGAAAAATTAATTTTTTTGGTGTTTATTTTTATGGGACTAAAAAAATGTCAGAATAGCGCCCCCTACAAAAGTCAGTTTACATTGCGCCTATGGGAGGGGGTCGAAGGTCAAGTTTGTCGTAGAGCCACGAAATTCGGTACACATGTTCCTCAGGTCAAGACATGAAAAAAAAGTTATTATGGCTCCGCCCCCTGACAAACAGGAAGCTCATTAATTTAATTGGAAAATGCTAAAATGAAAATTGAACTTTTTCACACATGTCGGCTGGAAATTATCTCCTCCTCGGCCGCTTCACCGATTTGTCTCAAAATCGCTCCACATGGTCTAAACCCATGTCCCATCTATTATTGAATATAGAATGTGGATCAGTTAAACGTTGTCCGAGCAGCGGAGCGGCAAAATGTGACATGTTTTTTCCAATTTTTGACAAAAGTAAATTTGCTCCCATTTGCACAAAAATAGTCAGATTTGCACAAAATTTTAATCCATTGTTCAGCTCCAGGGTCTAGGTCATTTGAAAGTTGAAATATTGAAAATGACTCATTAGCGCCCCCTAGAGACTATGTCAAAGTTTTACTTGGGCCTAATAAAATTTAGTTTTTTCAAAATGTTTGAAATTTTGCATATAATTCTGTTTTGTCATCTGGATTCAAAACGTCAATGACATCATATGGTTATTTTTTACCCTGTTGCCGTGGCGATGACCAACACTCCCCTGTCTGTGTCTATGAGAAAATCGTTAAATCTCTGAAAAGTACACCTCGCTCAAACATCAAACCAGCCGCGGCCGTTTCACTAATTTGTCTGAAAATCGCTCCACATGGTCTCCACACATGGACCATCAATAGTTGCATATAGAGTTTTAATTAGTCAAACGGTCTGAGCGTGACAGACCCCCAAAGTGTGGTCATTTTCATAGAGAGGTGTGAAGTTCCCATGTTATCCAATGGAGACTGTATGGACACACTCACAGATTGTATGTGTAAACAGGAGCACATTCACAAACTCTGATTTGCACTAAACTTGACTCGGTTGTTCAACTCCTGGGCCTAGGTCACATGACAGTGTGAACAATGACATTGGCCCATTAGCGCCCCCTACAGGCTGAGTAAAGGTTTACATGGGGATACAGGTATTTAGGTTTTATGTTGTTTGATCTCATATTTGACCCACATAACAAACACGAAAACTCACCAAACTTTGCCACAAGTTTTTTTCAGGCATAAAGTGTATTATTTTGGTGTTCTTTGGTATAACACTAAAAAAATTAAATTGTAGGGGGCGCTATTGTACAACATTAAATGCCACCATTTGCACATACAAAGTCCGATTTGCACAAAATTTGAATTGATTGTTCAACTCTTGGGTTTGGGTAAACTGAAAGTGTAAATCATGAAATTGCAGCAATAGCGCCCCCTACAGACTGATTTAAGTGTTACATGGGGAAAATGAGGTATATCTTTTGAATAGAGAAACACAATCACTAATCATAGTAATTCAAAATGCACAGTGTCGCTCCCATCAGGGGGGTAGGAAAATGGCGCGTCAGCGCCACCTCCTTTGCGCGGTGCGGCGAGGGCCGTTAGATGCCGCTTGCGGCTTTAATTATACTTGTTTTTTGCCAGGAATACCTGGGAAAGAACAAGTTTTCTGTTGTTTGATCTCATATTTGACCCCCTGAACATGCATGAAAACTTACCAAATTTTGCCACAAGTTTTGTTTTCACATAACATGTATTATTTTGGTGTTCATTGGTATAAGACTAAAATATTTTAAATGTAGGGGGCGCTATTCTACAAAGTTTATAGCCACTGTGTGCACATACTAAGTCCGATTTACACCAAATTTTAAACGGTTGTACAACTTTTGGGTTTGGGTAAAGTAAAAGTGTAAAACATGATATTGCAGCAATAGCGCCCCCTACAGACGCTTTCAAAATTTTACATACTTAGTTTGTTCAAAATGTTTGAAATTTTGCACATAATTCTGTTTTGTCATCTGGATTCAAAAAGTCAATGACAACATATGATTATTTTTTACCCTGTTGCCGTGGCGACGACCAACACTCCCCTGTCTGTGTCTATGAGAAAATCGTTAAATCTCTGAAAAGTACACCTCGCTCAACCATCAAACCAGCCGCGCCCGTTTCACTAATTTGTCTGAAAATCGCTCCACATGGTGTCCACACATGGACCATCAATAGTTGCATATAGAGTTTTAATTAGTCAAACGGTCTGCGCGTGACAGACTCCCAAAGTGTGGTTATTTTCATAGAGAGGTGTGAAGTTCCCATGTTATCCAATGGAGACTGTATGGACACACTCACAGATTGTATGTGCAAACAGGAGCACATTTACAAACTCTGATTTGCACTAAACTTGACTCGGTTGTTCAACTCCTGGGCCTAGGTCACATGACAGTGTGAACAATGACATTGGCCCATTAGCGCCCCCTACAGGCTGAGTAAAGGTTTACATGGGGATACAGGTATTTAGGTTTTATGTTGTTTGATCTCATATTTGACCCACATAACAAACACAAAAACTCACCAAACTTTGCCACAAGTTTTTTTCAGGCATAAAGTGTATTATTTTGGTGTTCTTTGGTATAACACTAAAAAATTGAAATTGTAGGGGGCGCTGTTGTACAACATTAAATGCCACCATTTGCACATACAAAGTCCGATTTGCACAAAATTTGAAATGATTGTTCAACTCTTGGGTTTGGGTAAACTGAAAGTGGGAATCATAAAATTGCAGCAATAGCGCCCCCTACAGACTGATTTAAGTGTTACATGGGGAAATGAGGTTTACCTTTTCAATGGAGACACACAATCACTAATCATAGGAAGTAAAAATCCACAGTGTCGCTCCCATCAGGGCAGTGGAAAAATGGCGCGTCAGCGCCACCTCGTTTGCGCGGTGCGGCGAGGGCCGTTAGATGCCGCTTGCGGCTTTAATTCTGAATTGTTCCTTGTATTAATTGTACTCTATGTAAGGTTGAGAATTATGGTCAACATGATGACAAATGCTAATAACCACAATTACTACTACTGTTGCTTTGCATCAAAAAGTATCTAGAAGAGATCTATTAGAAATGTCCAATGTTTTGTGTGTGTGTTTTCAATAGACCGCAAATACAGTCCCAATCAAAGGTTTAGTCATCTTGTGCATGGGTGGATCTAAACCAGGTTCCAAGATGAGTGAGAAGAGGGGGAAAAAGTATTTTATTAGATGAGGTCAGGCCAAACAATGGTATTTCACATGTAAATAACTGAAACAAAAGAGATCTAGTGATAATGCTGGTATTTTTTGGTTGTTTTTGATTATGATAAATTGGTCTTGTGGTTGTCAGTGACAAGAACATATAGTTAATTAGGTGCTCATCCTTTCAGAGAAACTAAAAGACATTTAAAGAATAATTGATAGATTGTGGCTCTTTGTATTGACCCAGAGCTGTGTCTTAATGACTCACTGACTACAAACTCCATTGCAATGATGTCATCAGAAAGCAACACACTACAAAATCATCCACTGGTCCAGCTTCAGAGGGCAGTAAAGCATCCGTATCATTGTGTTTAACTGCGATAACCAGCTGCAAAAAATGACAATGATAAGCTCATGTCGAGCACTTTTGCTGTAATCCATTTTCTCTTCATACATCTAACTAAAGAATGGACTGAACGTTTTGTTGTTGGGGAGTTCATGTGGAAACTATTACAAGTCATGGTGGGACGCAGAGGGCAGAGGCCTTACAACGTCACAGACGCAGAGTCTAAGTGTGGGTTATTTTTTGCTCGTGTTGACAAAGTCTAAATCAGAACAATGCAACAGAGAACTGCGCAGTGAATGATTTTCAGAAAACTTTAGGAGTATTCAAAAGCTGTGTACAATAAGTTGAGATGCTGAAATCTCAATACAGAAAACAGTATCATGTTCTCCCTGGTCATAGTAAACACTGCTGCGATATCTCATTGTGCAGAGAAGAGCAAACGTAAGTGTATTTGGTTCTTAACCCGGCCACACCCGACATTTATACTATACTTTACTGTATTTGAAGGATGTTTCAGTGCAGCTGCTGACTCACTGAAGACAGAGTTTAAACATGTCCAGGCTCCATGATAGTTACATAAGACAAGACTCTTGCACACGAGTTTGTTATGAGAGCAAAAGAGAGCATGGTTCCTCTTCCACAGTTTTGACAGCTGTCCTGATGTACAGAGCGCCTTGAGAGTCAAAACACATTCACACTAACGCACACTCTCTCACACATAACTTCTCACAAAGACACACACTGTTCTGTGCTTTCTTGTCATATGCTCGATGTGTTCAGAAAATACTTTTCTTTGTGAACTCTGGGAAGTTCAAACATCAAGCTTTTTTTCAGAAACTGTTCCCATCACTGAATGGTTCTGACATAAAGTCAACGGCCACTTATTTTATTTAAAAATGTCTACTTTCCCCAAGCTGAAGGTTCTCTGTGTTTCAGCGGGAGGGACTGAGACATTCTATTCTCCATGGAGATGTTATCGTCCTGTCTGGAATGTTTGACATAATACCATAACATTTGTGACTCCACCAAATAAAGACTTTTAGGTTTACAAAAAATAATGACACTGGACGTGAATAGTTTTAGTTTAATTAAGATCATGATATTGCTTAAAATGAAATCAAATGAATAAAACTGGACTAAAATTTGAAACTCAAAGTCTTATGAGTTTAACCCAAAAGTAAAACTAAAGATTTACCTTTTTATTAAACCTTTACTGATGGTTGTTTTCCTGAAAAAATATGACTTAAAATACAACCGTAATGCATGACCACCAATGCATGTAAATTAATGATAATGTCTCAAAAGCATTGCGGGGTCCACTACAATGGTCTGCGGGCTGCATCAGCTTGTCTGACATCCCTGATTTGCAGGAAAATTCATAAATATGCCAAAAGAGATCACAAAGACTGTTCATCATTACAAAATAATACATGCATAAATATATATCAATCTAGGTGCTCCACTGTGTGCAAAGAAAAATGGTGTGTACACTTTCCTGATTTGCTAACTCAAACTCTTCATAAATTGCATACACATTAGAATTATGAGTAGAGGTTATCGCCGACCAGCATTTGTGAAATATGAGTGAGGATTCGATGTAGTTGGCTGAATAGTTGGAGACTTTCAAAGGCTTCTCAAACAGCTGTGCAAATAGCTCCAGTCAGAGACAAAGACACAAACGCAAAGTCTGGAGAATGTACTGGCCGCTGGTTCATAGAGTCGCTCATTGTGAGTGCAGCTGAATGGTTGTCTGTGTGGAGTGGTTCGTCGGCTCATAATGTGGAAACAAGGCCTCCACCAGCAGGAGGAATAATGGACTCTACACTTCAGAGAACAGCCACATTCACACAGATTGAGTTAGACATGTTGTTATTACATCAAGCTAGGCCTTTATTCAAGACCCACTTCGCCACATAACTTATAACAACTCTATAGTCATAACGATCGTCTTACAATGCAATATAACACCATTTTATCATTCATATTTCTATTATGTCAAAACAACAATCTCGAAGGCTGTTACATTTTGTATTACAGCATCTGTTATGAATCAAGGATTTGTGGTCATGCGGCCTGTAATGAAGCTGGATAGGTGCAGCACACAGAACCTTTTTGTTTTTTTGCTTTTGCTAACAATTTCTGACGAGACTGAGTTAATTTAATAGATTTATCAACTTGCACACTAAACCATTGTTTCTATGTATTTTTCAGATTTTAGTTTGACCTATGGAGATCAAATGCTTCCTGTATGATTGCAGTTATACAGTAATAAAATTATAAGATGAGGTGTTTCAGATTTTAATGTGGATGTTTTTTCCCTTTTTACTAAACCAATAAGAAATCCATGACAAGAAATAAAGTATAAATTGTCCCTGTTGCTCGGTCATATTCTCTATAAAAACATATCTAGTCATGAGTAAAGTAGTGATTATAAATGAAATTCTGTGAAAATGTCTAACTGTTTCAGAAATGCATCGTCGTATTATTTGTTGTCTGATTCATTAGTTCTAAAAAGTTAACACCTGTTTGTTATCTCTGTGTTGCAGCTCTGAAGCGCAGGAGCCTCTATGGCAGTCCGTACAATCAGGTGGGCTACGGGAGCCCGTATGGGTCAAACGCGGCCAACAGCCCGTACAGCAGCGGCTTCAACTCGCCCTCTTCCACACCCGCAAAGGTGCCCATTGTCCGACAGCAGCTCCTGCCCACCAACACAGGTAACGATACAACTGTGGACAAATGAATAATTCAGACGACGCCAGATTCATTAATAAAACTTCAGTGTGTACAAGTGTTGGTAGATGCCTTACAAGGGCAAAAGCTATCAAATCTGACCTAAACTTTTATTTCATGCAAAATCAATTATTTCGGCATTAATTACTTTGCTAAATACAACAAATATTCTTATGATGTCTTTCTTGACGTTCCATTGTTGGTGTTCCCATAGAAAAATTAAAGGAATAAATAAAACACAAATTTAGGTAGTCTAAAAACCAACTTATAAGCAAATATTATATGTTTACAAATAAGTTATTGAAATTGTCGGCAAACAATCTGGCTTTGCTGTAATTAGTTCAGATCTGTCATTTTACTTCCTGGTTGGACATGGGCCGATAAGGTATGATTACCTAGCAACCACAAAGTAAACAAGGGATAAGTGCTGCGTTGAGGAAGTGAGATATTTCCTAATTGAAAACAGATCCACTGTTAGATCTGAAGTGAGAGAACCTTGATCACCTCCCAGTCCAAAAGTGGATTTACCAGTTTGAGCACACCATTATTCATTATTTATGCAGTAGTATGAGCTGACAAGAAAGAAGGCATCTCGGTAAATTACTATAAGAAAATGTAGTCAGATGAAGAGGTGCCTCTTCAGTCTCACTTCTTGTGTTGAGTGTTTACTTATTTCAAGTTCAATGTACATCAAACATTAATTATCAAACGTCACTACATAGAATTTTCCAGCAAATCATTAATTAACAATTACTTATTACAATACTGTACATTATTCAAACCCGAAAAGGAGTGGGAGGAGGAAAAATAATGTAAGCAGTTGTCAATCTTCTATGTGTAGTTGTCGACTTTGTCTCCGTAAACTTTTTATTTACTCGATTTATTAGCATGTTACATAAATCTTTATCATTTTCTCTCTTATATCGTCTCAGTTTATCAGCGAAACTCCTCGGCAGACAGGAACCCTCCGGCCGTGAGTCCGCAGTCGTCCGTGGACAGTGAGCTGAGCACGTCGGAGATGGACGAGGACTCCGTGGGCTCCTCCAACACGTACAAACTCAACGACGTCACAGATGTGCAGATCCTGGCGCGCATGCAAGAGGAGAGTGAGTACTGCAGCCCGGGATGTAGTGCAGCTGAAGACAAATTTATACAGCAGCCATGGTATTGGGACTCGCAATGACAGTGTGGGCTGAGGGAGGCGAGGCAATTTCATTTGATAAAGAGGTCCTTTATTCGTCCCACAGTGGGGAAATTTCAGTGTTGCATCTCAAGTTACAGAACTAACCTAAAATATAATCTCTAGCATTAAAAGAAGCAGTATAAAATCACTATCTCTCCATCTCTATCTTTAGCATAATAAGGAAAGAAAATCTCCAACTTTAGCATGACAAAGTCTAAAATAGTAAGTAATATATAGTTGTGTGTTTCCATCTGTACATGTTGGCAGCATGAGGGTCTGGGACAAAGTGACAGTGACACATGTGGTCCATATTGCACATTCTGCCGTGAATATTGTAGAGCACAGTTCTTACACAAGGCAATTCAAAGTAATAAAAAAAAGATGGAAACAATCACACAAGCATAAGTGCAGTGGGAAAATCCATTCTTTTGTTGGTTACTCGTTTATTTGGATCAATGCGATAGAAGTATAAAGTCCCACGTTTCATTGTTTGTTTAGGTTTCGCTGCAGGAATAATGCATCGGTCATTGATTGGAGCAAGTGCGTGAAAATCCAATGCTCAAAATAATTGTGTGATTCCATTTGATAAAAGTTTGCAGTATGTACCATAAACAGTTTTATTTACAGTTAGTTTTAAATTGAATTAAAACATGCTCTAGAGAGTATTATGCTTTATCAAATTTAGTGTCAGTACAAGTTTGCGAACATTTATGGACTTTATCAACATTTATGTATGTTGGCCATCCACCCCTTATAGACCACTGGCTCTGTGTTTTTTTTTTTGCATTTCTTGTGTGAACTGTCTGATTCTCTGATGGGTGTTGGCGAATCAACGGTTTTATGAAGTCCTCCTAGACAACTACTGTTCTAATAAATTGATGAATTGAACAAGTAGAGTAGTCTGAGGGGTATAGTAGTCTGGGGAAAAGACATCTTGAGTTCTGTGTTGCAGTATTGTACTTATTCCCTTATAGATAGATAGTTATATAGATACTGACAGATACATAGATAGATGGAGACAAGATAGATATATATAGATGGATTCTGGTAAATAGATAAATAAATTGGTACACTTCTGTCTTTTGCACAATCTGAGTGATTCTATCCATGCCAAATGTGACATGTACATTTCTCCAGTGTGAGATCAATAAAGTCTATCTTATCTTAGATACTTATAGCTAGATACTTATATAGATAGATACTTATATAGATCGATTGATACGTTATTGATTATCAACATATAAAACACAATGGCTGCTTGTCTGTGCCCAGGCCTGAGGCAGGAGTACGCTGCCACCGCCTCGCGCCGCAGCTCGGGCTCCTCCTGTCACTCTCTGAGACGTAGCACCTTCAGCGACCAGGAGCTGGACGCCCACAGCCTGGAGGACGAGGAGGACGCGGTGCTGCCGGCGTTCCACCTGCCCTCCGCGCGCTTCAGCCCCTCGCCACGGCACTCCCCCCACGTCTCCCCCAGGAACTCCCCGCGCTCCAGGTCCCCTGCGCGCTCCATGGACTACAGCCACGGCCGAGGCTCTCCGCAGCCCATGATCAGCCGCCTGCAGCAGCCCCGCCACTCACTGCAAGGCCACGGGCACGAGATGCAGACAAACGCGGTCAAAAACGAAGGTAAGTGGATCATCTTTATTGAAGGGACGGTGAACAGGGACATTGAGATCATAAAGGGAGATGTTCTGCTACAGATCATAGCTACACTGGAAAAATCTTAACTTGAGCACATTTTGACTGCCTTAAAACAACATTTGTCAGTGGGACAAGCAACATTTTTTTGTTTTAAAAAGATACAGGAAATGTCTCACTTGGAATGAGAAAATAAAGCAATAGTTCTTTAAATAAGACTAAATGGCTTTGTGCTATTGACAAATCTGGTTTTAGGACCGTCAGAATGTAATCAAATTAATATAAAAACCACTCTTTTTCTAGTTTTACAGTGTAGATAGTTAGCTTCCATCCGCAGTCCCTGGTTACAGAGAAATAAATTACAAAATACAATATGAAAGTGTATCGATCCATTCTCTATTAACAACACTAACTCACTCAATCACTATGTTTCATTAATTCTGCATCAGTTACATTTCCGAGGTTTACTCATATTGAAAAATGGTTTTGGAGTTTTGGAAAAACTGCAAGTGTAAATATGAGAACCATGTTTTTGTCACAGAAAAGCTGCGGCGGAGTCTTCCAAACCTCACGCGGACTTCAGGGGCTGCGCCGCAGAACTCAGAGCCGGTGAAGAACTGCCGCAGTGTTGAGTCCAACCTCCAAGTGCCAAACGGGTCGCCACGTCACCAGAACCAGTCCTCCAGTGAGTCCCGCACCTCCACAGCGCATGAGAACTTTCTGGCTCTTCTGGTCTCTTTCATTCTTGGGTCTCAGAGGCTGTTTGCATTTCTTATTCAGCAATGGGCTTCTCCTGTCTACTCTACTGTGGGTCTTTACTGGTGCTTTTAACCTGACATTTGAAAGCATCGCACTTGTTTTGTTTTTGACTATAAATTAATTATTTAAAAAAAATTAATGAACACAGAAAATGAAAATATGCAAGTATAATCGTTCACCTTACATATATATGTGTATCAGAATCAGAATCCTTTTTATTGCCATGTGAGTAACAGTAAGTCACAAACTAGGAAATTGCTCTGGCTCTGGGTGCAAACAAGTTAAATCAGAATAAAAACAAGAAGACATGCATAAATAAAAATCTACATACATTTCTTCAGATACTAGTGCACTAGGTGCACACGTTAGACTGTTGAGAGTGCAGTAAAGTGCAGAAAAGTGACAGTAGCATAAAGTGACGGTCATAAGGTCAGAGGTCAGTGGTGGATTATAAAGTGTCCATGAGTCCAACAGCAGAGGGGAAGAAAGTGTTCTTGTGGCGGGAGGTTCTGGTCCTGATGGACCGTAGTCTCCTGCCCGAGGGGAGTGGTTGGAACAGTCCAGGTGCAGGGTGACATGTATACAGTTCAAATACAGCTCTTTTGTGGTAAGTTTGAATGTCATTCAGAGAATTCATAGTTGCATGGTTCTGCTGGTGCCATTTGTCTTTTGTTGTTTCAAAATCGACATACAATAGCGTTTTGATTAAATTAACTATGGTCTGGTCCACTTATTTTTAATTCAAACAATAATGACTAATATGAGAGAACTGCAAACATGAGGTTTTGGGGCAAATTTTGAGAATATTTCGTGTTTATGGGTATTACATTTACTTTAATGGCAACATTTGTTTTGTAGTTTCTTTAGTGGTTTTGCATAGAGTTACACTGCAGTCAGAGTAAAAGGGCTTTTGTCGCGGGACTCGCTGCGCCTTTTAGTGAGTCAACCAAGACTTTCTTTGGTTGAGTAGAGCCCCAATTTATCAACCACATTTTCTCATGGAAATAATTCAGAATCTGCGTAATCACAGACCCCACTTCACTAATAGTAGAGGTGGGATAGTTTGGGTTGAACTATTCAAAGTATTTAAATAAAAACATGAATATTGACTGATTTTATGTAGTCCTCTATAAAAGCTCTAATCTGCATGGATCTGAGTTTCACTGTTCTTGGAGCACAACTTTCCAGCACTTTTATTTTCTGTCAGATCTGCGCTAAACGGTGACTTGGCCTGTTTGAAGCATGGTCCTTTTCTAAGCATGTGGTGAATGAAACCTCTTCTTTCTCTGTCTGGTGCGATGAGCAGACACACTCTCTCTTTGGTTTGGCTCTGCTGCTCTCTAGTGGTTTCTCACTAAACTGCAGGCTTGAGTGGGCACTTTTTTCAGCTCTATTCAAATTAATTCATAAATGAGCCATGTTTTTCCAGCCCCTCACTCCAGACAGAGAAGCCCCTCTGCTCGCTCCTCCCCAAAACCCAAACAGCACCTGCAAAGTCCTGCTGCCCTCAGAGGTAACAACTGCCCTGGTTTTAGAGACAGGTCCTTAATAAAAGTCTTTTTTCGTGGCCAGACACTGTGGTAGGTTTATTCTAAAGGGGGCAAGTCCGTTTAAAATATTTATTATATATTATATATAATAATATATTTTATAATATATTTTATAATAATATATTTTGGCCTAGTGTTATTCAATAATTATCACCTGAAAGAGGGTTTCTACAGCATCAAACAACATCTTTGGAAATAACATCTTAAATAACTTTTGAAGTATGTAACTTCTCCATATCGTATTCTACTCACAACAAGTTTCTTTGCCAAGCACTATTATCATTAGATCATTAACGTAGGCTAAATAAAGAGTGGTGGAAGTGGCGCAACACTGGCCCAGGTCTGAACATGTCAATGGGCTACAGCACATGCACAGACCATGAGCAATTTTTACATCGGCAAAAAATCTTGCAGGTTGGTCTTTGAAAAAGGTATTAAGCTTTTTTTTCTTAAGAATTTGACTTGAAGAAACATTTAGTAATGCTGTCAAAGATGCATTCACCCACACAAAATCAAGAGCGTTTAAGTTTGCTTGTATAGCCATTAAATTCTTAATAAAATAGTCATACAAGGCATTATTAATAAGTAATTCCAGTACATTCAAAAAGTGAAGATGGAATCCTAAATAAAAAGCAGTTCAGCCCGTTCAAACAGGAAGTTACTGAGCCAAAACCATTTAACGCCATTATTACGTCTTTAAAACAAAAGTCAATGTATGTTGTTTGCCTTGTATCATTATTGACATGAAATAACTAAAAGCTCCCAGACAAAAACATAAAGTTCGACGGTCTGCACGCAGTAGCAGTGACAGTGTCTCTGTCTGTTCAGTCCCGCTCTCCTGTTGCTTTGGAGAAGAAGGAGATTTCAGTGAGTATCTTCAGCAGGTTTCAGTATTGTGACCGTGGCCTTGCTTTTCATCAGTTTGCATCTTTTCATGTCCGTATTTATTTACCTGCAGAGTCTTGCTGCTTTTAGTTTGTGTTCAGTGGTATATGTGTCTGTGTCTTTGTTAATGGGTCTGTCATAATACTATAATTTCTGTGATTAATTGATGTTTAGTTTTTAGTTGAATGAGGGATTACCTTGTGGGTGGGACTGGTTATGGAAAAGTGATTGAGCTTCACAATATAAGGTGCGTTTCACGTCTCTGTCCTCGTCTCTACTCGATTCCGCCATTTTTCAGCCGTCAATAAGGTCATGCTTCATCAATGCTCCTTCTCTTTTTTTCCCCCAATCCACTTATGCCACGCTTCTATCACTTAATTCATGACAATATGTTATTTCACATCAGATTAACGTTTAGGTTTTTCAGAATTATATGACTCATTTGAGCTGGCTCCTACAGGCTCCATGAGCGGGAATCTGGAGCCAAATTCATAGACTGCGACAAAATTTAGCAACCATCCATCCATCCATTTTCTACCCTTTAATCCGGGTCAGGGGGGTGGCAGTCAGAGATGCCACCCAAGTCTCATAGCACCAGCCCCTCACTGACCCTCTGCAGGTGGTGAGTCCACAGGAGGACGGCTGCTCTCTGAGTGTGAGCATAGCCTTGATCTTTCAGTTGGGGCTTTGGGCAAAGTGGGGTTAAGTGTCTTGCCCAAGGACACAACGACAGCAGTCATCAGTGGGAGTCGGTGGAGAAGGTGCAGAGGTGGGAATTGAACCCATGACCTTCTGGCCTTAAGGCCAATGCTCTACCAACTGAGCTACTGTCGCCCTAAAAAAAATTTAGCAACTTAAAAAACAATTAGGGGCGGCAATGGGCTGACCCAGCTTCTGTTTCTCTCTAGCCAAATTTTGACACAAATGGCCCATGATTAGCACGTTTTTTGGTGTCATTTCTGAATTTGCAAAGGGAATCTAGAAATAGGATCACACAGATGTGTAATACATTCTTAAGCCCAACATTTATGTATCAACACTTATGGACGCTGGTCATCTGCCCTTTTTAGACCAATACCAATAGGTTTTCTGTTCTTTGATTGTGTTGGCAAATTCAACGGTTGTGTAAAGTCCTCTGAGATAACTACTGTTGAGATTTCGGGCTGTACAAGAATAAATTCTCTATTCGCTCTCTTCATCTATAGACTGGTTGTGGTCCTGGCACGAGTGAGTTTGGGGGAAAGAATTTTAAGCTCTCTCATAGTCTGGGTTTAACTTCCCCACACATTTCTTGTAGAAATGGAGGAATCACAAGCGAAGAGACAAAGAGATGATTTTGAGACACAACCCTGATTGTGATTGGCCCGAACACAATCATTGTTTGAATTCATAAAGACCAGTGCAAAGATAACATGTTGGGCAAAGGAAATGAAAGAGAATGTGGTTTTCATTGCCAACATTTGTCTCTGTGACAGGCCTAGTGGTAAACAAGTGAAAATGCTCATGACATCTTTACTGTTTACTGCCAATGAAATTCAACACCAAATATTCTTGCATCATGGAAGTGACGTGATTAGAGGCGAGGAAGACAATGGCTCAAGAAAAGAATCATGATCGAATATTTCATTAACATTACCACTGGGGACAAAAAGGTATGACTCGATTCTGACTTCAGCCGTGATCCGAGAATCAGAATCGTCCAACACAGAAAGATTCACGCACTGTTGAGAATGTTCTGGTGAATCTTTCAGAACAGGAGGTCATTGTCAAGTGTTAAAAGGCTGTACCTGATTTTATTCACAACGTAGACACACAAAATTAGTTCCCAAAAAGCAGTTTCTGGGATCATAAATAGTTCACTAGTTAATCTGATTATAGAAATGTGAAAGTGAAAAAAGGAAAAATACAATGCTAATGTGGCAAACTTTTTCTAAATTTAGTGCCATGCTAGGGTTGCACAAATTTAAGGAAAAACCTAATTGCCATTTTTCAGATAACTGTTTAGATTACAATGTTATAAAGATAGGATAATGTCCAAATCTGAGGGAAAACTGAAACCTCAATCTCTTTATTTGACACTTACTAAAATAAGAAGATTTAGAATCCCAGTATGCTTACAACTACGTTAGATAGGACGTCCCTTTTCCGGTAGAAAATAAAAGTCAAAAAGCATGTTGTAATCTTTTTTTAATTCCAGTCTTTGTGATTAGTTATTAGTGGCCAGTAAAATGTTGTTTATGATTTGATTGCAATGAATTGTGCAGCCCTCAAAGTTATAAAAATATACTTCTAATGAATAGTGGATTAAGCTAAGACTGCTGCAAATGATTTCAAATGAATTGAGTTTTAGAGGATTTTTAAGAGTGTAAAAATCAGGTACAGTTTGTGTATCTTTGAGACACTCACAGCTCTGGTTTTGTCCTCAGTCCCGTCTCCCAGTAAGATGAGGACCCCTGCGGCACCGTCACCCCTTGCTCTGCGGCAGCCGGTCAAAGCCTCCTCCACGCCAAACTCCGCCTCCTCCACACCCACGCGCTCCCTGGCCACGCCCCGCTCTGGTTTGCCCCGCCCCAGCGCTGCGCCAACAGGAGGTGGAGGGATACCGGTGCCCCGCAGTAAGCTGGTGCAGCCGGTCCGCAGGTACGTTCACCTCCACAATCTGACCACACTTTGGGGTTTGCTCAGAGTTTTCACGAGCGCCACTTAAAGCTGGGGTACCTCACTTGTTTTTTAATGAATAATACGTACAGAGCTATGAACCAGAACAGGCTGTCTTCTTATTAGAACACACACATTTTAAGGAGTCCTGTGAGTCACTATTTAACGCTTTGGGCTGAAGCTGAGTGCTCCATTTTTCACTTTTCTGTCTAAAAATCTGATCTAAAGATGTGACCAGGGCCAACAATACATGCATGTGAGAACTAGTGATAGGAACAAATTGTTTTGAATTTTATTACCATTTTTCATTTTTTTAGATTACATTTTTTTATTTCCATTCCAGTCTGTTGCATTAGGCAACTTTGTATGTGAAAAAAGTTTGTATTTTTGCATCTTTGACCGTTGTAGTGACCCAGTGACTGTATGAGTGGCTCCTTTCCATCTCTATGGTCTGTTGGATTGGAATGTTTTCTCTGCAGTGTAATATTGACAAGAATATGCAAAAATATAAGCTTTTTAAATCTATCAGTTAAAAACTAATTTCTATCCAAATATTGGTCACAAATCTCTCTAATAAATTGTACATAATTTATTTGGGGTTTTTTGCACCTTGGTTTTACTTTCATTATCTATAGAAAACTGCTCTATAGCTACTTGAAGAATGTGTATTACACTTTTGGACCACTTTTGTAAAGTAAAATTAAAGTAAAGTTGCCGTGAACAAAGTATTTACTGATCCAGCGTCGTCAGTTGAGCTTTGAGATTGGGGTTGCCAAATCACAACCTATTTTGTGTTTACCTATTTCTGTTTTTTACAAACCTCTTAGATCTCTGCCGGCTCCACGGACCTACAGCGGAGAGAACTGGAGAGAGGGCTGCTATTGAGGCTGGCCAGCAGAGGGCGCCACAGCTTCAACTCAAGATGAAGACATCACAACATGGCACTTTATCTTCCTCTGCTTTTTCTTGCCAAGAGAAAAGAGAACAAATCTAAATACAAACTTTGGGCCCTGTGCATTTGGAGGTGGAGTGTTTCACCTCCCTCAGGTCAAAACAAATGCATTTCTCCGATGTTTTTGTGTTTTGATGGACGTCGGTGAATCGTCTCTAATAATATGGCTGCATCCGATTTCTCTAAACTTGTGTCTTCATATCTTCGGCTGTAGATCCCCTCTCGTTGCCTGGGATTCAATCATTATTATGCATTTTGTGACTGTGCATGTTCCCTTGTATACATGCTTGAGCTTCTATCTACCAAATTTGCACTTCAAAAAGAGCCTGGGAAGTATTATGTGTTATTATGTATTGAAAGATTTGAATTTATACAAAATAGGTGCAGGATAAAATGCAGGAAACTAACTTTGTAGTTTGAAAAAAAAAGTGTCCAAATAAGTCGCAGTAGAAATGTCTTGGGTCCAGTTCAAATGTAGCCTAGCATATAATTCATGTTCATTTATTTTGGGGAAAGGGACAAGATCATGTCCTCCACAGCCGTTGTAAACCTAGTCCGCTTCTAAACTCGTTCACCCTTTTCTTCTCAATATATATAAAAATGCTATATCTGATCATGACGTAGCTGTAACTATGGTCAATCTTGGGCCATCGTTGACTATAGATTATCTTGGGTTTTCTAAAGGTGACCTGTGTCCTGAGTAGTCTACTGAACGTGGGTTGGCGCTTCTCAAAACTGATTAATAATGATCTGACCAGAAGATCAAACGGATAAAACGGCGAACAATAAGTAAAAGTACAAAGTGACTAAATTGTGTGTATATTAGGTCGAAACACTTCAAGGTAATAACATCGCTAGCTTACAATTGTCTGGTATAGAAGAGGCAAATAACTTTATTTACTAAGACGACAAGATGAAGCTTCTTAACAACAAAATAATGTGTTGGAAATGCAAAATAATACCTTTTATTCAACTCACTGCAAGGAATGATGAAAAATATGTCAAAAATTGCTCAAATTTGGCAAAATGTATCTTATTTTGAGCACATTTTGACTGCCTTAAAACAGGATTTGCCAATGGGACGAAGCAAAAGTATCTTGTTTTAAAAATATACAAGAAATATCTCCGTTGGAATGAGAAAATATCGCAACAGTTCTTGAAATAAGACATCTTGTTGTCAAAATGTACTCAAATTAAGATTAAAAAAACACTTTGTACAAGCAGTTAATACCTCATTTTTTATCATTTTTTGCAGTGTGCTATATTCAGCCATTTTCTAACAATTGCAAAATGAGAAAGTTGAACAGATTCACCTGTTTACATATTTTACTTTTACACAGTTGTGCTTATGATACATTACAGTAAAAAAATGCAGTGAACCAAATTGGAAATATTCAGCACAATATTTAAAATTTGTGAAAAGTACTGGTCAATCTTGGGCCATATAAATCATAAAAAATCCGAATAAGAAATAGGTTGACAAAACATGAGGGAAATGACCGAGGATTTGAAGACACAAGTTTGGAGGCAAAGACACTGTGCCGGTGACGTGTCCGTTTGGTGTCCCTGGAGACTGTATGCACAAATGTTTTTGAAAATGTATTTATTCAACATTATTTAAGATTCATATCAGTATTTTGCGTTTATATTTCAATTGTCCGAACCTCAGCTGATTCTCCAAAGCCTTCAGTTTAGTTTTTTTTGTGTGATCAGTGTGAAAAAGTCACAGCCAAAGCCCGCAGTGCATTTTGTACACACGTTTGCCAAAATACCGAAATAGAAAGTTATTTTGTCCATGTCACAAGTAATCAAAAGTCATCGTCAGAACCCAATCGACTGCTTGATGCGACCCTGCTGTAAAAAAGGAGCATAATATATATTTATAATTTAAACATGTTCTTGTGGCTCCCTACAAACTAAGCACATATGCTCGGTGATAAAAAAAAATTAAAATAATTGTAAAGCTGATTGGGAACGATTGTGTTTTAGAATTGAGTGTGAATATTATGGTGCCTCCTCCTTAAATCCAGGTTTGATCCAGTTTTCTGTTGCCATAGAAACAGGGAATGCTTTGGCTTTACTTCTGGTGCCATGCCGGTGTGAGCGGTCGGTCCTATTATCAAACCAGTGCCTAATTTAACATGTTTATTATTAAGTTGGATTCATGTATTTTTTTGTCTTTACGTTGTGCCATGCTTCGTTTAAGATGTCACATCTGCTTGAATGATTTGCCTGCCTGCTTGTAAACAATTGTATCAAATAACATTTATAATTGCTTTAAAACAAATATGCGCCTTCATATTTATAACGGCAAGCATCTGTAAATGAAGATATTTATTAAAGAGAGGTGCCTCTGTCAGCGTTCTGTGGGAGTTTAAGGAATGTGCAAAAAGACCACACCTTTTGTGTGACCGGTTTTGTTATTACTTTTTTTTATATCAACAAACATGAACTTCAGTTTCCCCTGTAAAGTCACATTTCAAAATAAAAGTGGGAGAAATGTTTGTTCTGATTCTTGGTTTCATTATAATAAATATGTATTTTATTTTATTAAATGTATTTTTGTATAGCCCCTACGACAGCAGTCGTCTCGGATGACTCTGGACGTTGTCGATTCCTCAAGAACAAAGTTGGAACACAGGAAATTCATTACAAACACATAGGAGCCATTGGTCCGTAGGAGATGATGGTCGACCAATTATTACTTATGTATTTTTTCAGGTGTGGACATGACAATACATCACATACTACAATTACATTTCAAATAATTGAAGTCTTGTATGTAGTAATTCAGAGCAAATGTCAATACACCTCTGAGAGAAATTAATATTTTTGAAAAAACTCTACTGTCTCGGAGGAGACAGTGCAGTTTGGTTCTCAAACCAAACCAGTTTAGTTCTAGCACTGACCAAACCAAACTGGTTTGGTTCTCTGAGAGCCAAACTGGTTTGGGTAAGAGTCTTAGATGGATATTAAACTATTTTGTTGGAAACGTTTAATCCGTTTGATTTTTTTTTTATCTTGAAAATGGCTCTAAAACGAACACTTCAAATAACCTCAATTCAAACTAGAATGTTAACAGGGAAGGGTTCCATCGGTGTGTGACGTCATGCTTCTGGCTGCTCCCGTGACATCAGGGAGACACTCAAGAACTACCAGAAAGACTGACGTCAGGGGTACGACCCACTTTATATCCACAATTTGTTTTCCTCCTCATTGCCCTATTTCTTTTATTCTTACAGCCAACATCACAGTGAAGTCGTTTTAGTTCTGAGTTGTGCTCATGACACATTCTTGTCTTCATCAAATATTCATAAAATTACTGCTGGACCTGAAGAACGGCGCCGCTGTGGACAGAGTCGTGCGTAACGCGCGTCTGGAAGGAGCGCTTTCACAGCCACACGCACGCGGATAAAGAGGCGCGTGTCTTTTCCTCCTGGAAAAGTAGGTTTTCAGCTCAAGTCATTTCCAAATGGGACGCAGTCGTGATTCAATGACATCAGATTGAGGAGTCGCTGCAGATGAAGACGCACGCGGGTGGTCAGTATAAAAGCTCTGGTCTCTATTGATTGGCTCTCTCCCCACGGGCTCGAGCTGCACCCTGCGCACGTACCCGGCCCCTCTGTGATGCGCGTGCGTTGGCGCCATCAGCGGCACGAGAGTGACTCACTGGTGCCTTTAGCAGTGATGGCTCCGCTGCCCGCACGCACGGGACCCACAGGTTTTTATTAGGGACCGCGCGCCACAGAGTCGTTCTATAACGCACCAGTGCCTTCAGAGGATCCGGACTTTGGACAGACTCCTGTTGCGCCATGGACTCCTCAAACCAGAGCGGGACGGAGGGTTCCACGGACAGGGTCATGGCGCGCGCTCTGGGGCGCGCAGTGTTTGTGGAGCGCGTCTTTGGCGCAGACATGAATCTGATGGCGACTCTCGTTCCTCCAGGGATCCCTGCGTTCTGGGACTCTCCCCTGAGCCACGGGATCAATGTGTTTGTAGGACTGGTGCTGTGCTTTACTATGTTGGGCCTGGGCTGCACGGTGGACGTGTCTCAGCTCGGGGAGCATGTGCGTAAACCTATCGGGGTACTTTTGGCGCTCGTGTGCCAGTTCGTCATTATGCCGCTCGTGGCCTTCCTCTTGGCGCTCGCCTTCTCTTTGGACGATGTGGCCGCGATGGCCGTGCTGCTGTGCGGCTGCTGCCCCGGGGGAAACTTATCCAACATCATGTCACTGCTCGCGCACGGCGAGATGAACCTCAGGTAACACTTGTCACACACGTGCGCGCGCACGACCCTCTCATAACTCCATCCATCCATTTTCTACCCTTTAATCCATTTCTAGGTCAGGGGGGTGGCAGTCAGAGATGCCACCCAAGTCTCATAGCACCAGCCCCTCACTGAGAGCATAGCCTTGATCTTTCAGTGGGGGCTTTGGGCAAAGTGGGGTTAAGTGTCTTGCCCAAGGACACAACGACAGCAGTCATCAGTGGGAGTCGGTGGAGAAGGTGCAGAGGTGGGAATTGAACCCACAACCTTCTGGGCTTAAGGCCAATGCTCTACCAACTGAGCTACTGTCACCCTCTCATAACTCTATCTTCTTATTTCTCTGCAGCATCATTATGACCATCTCGTCCACGCTGCTGGCGCTCGTGCTCATGCCCCTGTGTCTGTGGATCTACAGCCGCGCGTGGATCAACACCCCAGTGGTGGACCTCATGCCTTTCGGGGCCATCATCCTCACACTGTGCAGCACCCTCATCCCCATAGGGCTGGGGGTCTTACTGAGGCACCGACACTCGCGCGTAGCTGACATGGTGCTCAAGGTAAACCTCATGAGAACAGATTCTTCTGCTGAAGCCCAAGTGCACAAAGGCGCAGTGCGTAATTCAGTCTGGGGACAGATCCAGGAAACACTCCTCCCTCTGCTCATAAAAGTCAGGGCCACTTCACTCAGAGGACACTGATCGTTATCGTGCTCTTAAGACAAGCATCTATTAACCCTTTGTAAACACTGTCCACTTACATGTCTGAAGAATCAATATAGTCAAGTAAAATGGACAAGATAGACTTCTTAAACTGTGTAGAGTCTTGAGTCGGCCCAGCACACGTCAGGTCCAATACAACCTCAAAGACAAAGTGAGATTAAAGTTTGTGTTGTGTTTCAGGCCTCTCTGTGGTCTCTGCTGGTCACTCTGGTGCTGCTCTTCATCTTGACTGGAGCCATGCTGGGCCCGGACCTGCTCTCCACAATCCCCGTGTCCGTGTACGTGGTGGCGGTGCTGATGCCCGCGTGCGGGTACGCGGCCGGTTACGGTCTCGCGATGCTCTTTGACCTGCCGCCCAACAGCCGCCGAGCAGTGTCTCTGGAGACGGGCTGTCAGAACGTACAGCTGTGCACCGCCATCCTGAAGCTGGCCTTCCCCCCGCAGCTCATGGGGGGCATGTACATGTTCCCGCTGCTCTACGCGCTGTTCCAGGCGGCGGAGGCGGGGGTCTTCATTCTGGCCTACAGGTTCTACAGGAAGGAGGTCCTGCACAAAGCAGAGCCCATGAAGGACACTGACGACATCTCTTACCAGAGGTTCACTGACGAGGACTTTGACTCATCCTACGGAGCAGTGACAGTGAGCGACCCCAACAGCATCAGTCTGGACCCGTGCCCCCCAGACCCCACCCCCGTGTGAGAGACATGGAGGAAAGTGACTGCTATGGACACACCTGCACTTTGCATGCTCATAAAGGTGCTTCATAAATGTGTAACTGCTTCATGGTGTGTGTCTGCTAGGGTCCCCATTGGCCCCAATGGGATTGTTCATCTCTGGCCAATCGGCAGGAGGCCTTTTGTACATTATGCAGACTCCATCTACCCACAGCTCTATATAGTCCCCTATCCCACCATATGCTGCAAACAACATGTGATGGAGGTGTGTTAACTCATGGTCCAAATGTCCAAACAATGTGTCTGAATATCAGGATTTTCAACCAAGCAGTGCCACTTATGTGCGTAACAGTTGTACAAATGTATAAAGCAAATGACCTGAATAAATTTGGAATTGAAAAATGCAATAGTTGTGATGTAACTGTTGGGGTTAAAGGGTCACACCTGTGCGTAATTACGTCATTCCAGCAATTCTTCAATCAACTTCAAAACGGCTCCAGCTGCGAGCGCGAGTTGGAATCAAAATGGCAACGTACGGAGCTGATGCTTTAGACAATTATTTCTATTCGTATAACCCTTACATTGGCAGATATCCCCGCGCCAAAGACGCCGCGAAATATAAAAGTTACTCGTCCCAATATGGCGACACCGAAGCCTTCAACAACCAGCAGCGGGCGCAGCTCAAGTCCATCCTGTCGCAGATCAACCCCAAACTGACGCCGCGGCTGCGCAAGGCCAACACCCGGGACGTGGCGGTGCAGGTGAACCCGAAGAGGAGCGCCTCTGTGCAGTGCACCATTGGCCCACGGACCCTGGTCGCCCTGAAACGGGACGTCCTTCTGGGGAAGAAGCCCGCGGGTGGAGGCCTCAGCCCGAAATCCCCCGCAGCAGTTCGGTACCCGCGCACCATCGCCGTGTACTCGCCCATCGCCTACCGCAGCGTCACGTCCTTCATGGAGGAAAACTCTGAGGCTGTTGGAGAGACTCAGACCAGCGAGCAGCACGACCTGACGGGGAAAGACGAAGAAGACCAAGAGAATGATACAAAAGTTACCACACAACGAAAGAAACCGGCCAAGCCAAAACAGACGAAAAGTGAAGAGGTCCAGACGACTCCCGACGCACTGAAGGGCAAGGCGCGCGTCCGCTTCCAGGTGAGTGTCCAAACATGTCTGTGCTCAAGTCAAACAGGAAAACTGTCTTCACTGGGACGTAAGAGAGCGCATGGAATGTGCCGCAAATGACCAAAATACTTACATTTCTGACTACAGATGTTGTATAACATCTAGGACTACTTATGCATGAGGAAGTGCCCCAGTGGGCCACCAGTTAGAACATCACTAAGTATTAATACTTACTGTCGCTATACTTAGTTTTTATTACTGTCATAACTTTTTATCGGATAACTTTGGTTTAACTTCCTGCGTTTAAACCCAAATATCTGCACCTGAAAAATAATTGCAGATAAAAACACCGCATTAAAACTGATTAGCAATGCTTCAAAGTTCATGTTTTGTATGAATTTTATTTTTTACTATAAAGCAAACTATGCCTACTATCTTTTTGTAGCATACTTACGTAAAGGGATGACTAAGTGGATGAATTAAAGTTTTTGACTTAAACGGCCATAAAGTAGGACTAGTGTTCAGATTTCAGAGTTTTAAGCAGACTTGGAAACAAGTACTGACTACAAATATTCACTTTTGGCAGCAGTGACTGATGGAAGCTTCAGAAATGGGTTTGAAGAAAAAACTGTTGTCCCGTACAGCACACGTTTGACATCTTCCATTATTCAGTGTTTGCTCCATGCCTCAAAGAGTTAATGCTGCTCCTTTTCAGTTTCTTGAACAGAAGTACGGATATTACCACTGCAAAGATTGCAATCTGCGGTGGGAGAGCGCGTACGTGTGGTGTGTCCAAGGCACAAACAAGGTAAGACTCAGGGCGACATTAATGAAATCTTTATGAGCCCTGTGCACTAAATGTCTTTACATTTCAGGTTTACTTCAAGCAGTTCTGTAGGAAGTGCCAAACTGAGTTTAACCCCTATCGTGTAGAGGACATCGCATGCCACGTAAGGCCCTGCTTTTTGTTCTTGCTTTTTATGATTGTGATAAAGCGATAACAGCTTTAATATATTTGCAGAGCTGTAAGAAGGCCCGGTGCATCTGTGCAATAACACCACGACACGTGGACCCGAAACGGCCTCACAGACAGGACTTGTGCGGCCGCTGCAAAGGAAAACGCCTCTCCTGCGACAGCACCTTCAGCTTCAAATACATCATATAACACCCACCTGCCCATTCATTACATGAACGAGCCATGCACTGGGTCCTCCTTAATCTTATAATGCATATGAGAAGTTAAGTTTTTATTTGTATTTGATTTAGATGTGATTCATGCCTGATGCTGGCAAATGTTAATAAATGGGCATCTTGCACTATGAGTTGGTGTTCATCGATAACAATTGGACAAACACAAATCTTATAACTTCTAACATTGAGAGTGTGAACTAGAGCTCACTAAGTGAATCCATTATTAGGACGGTGTCATTGAGGAAACCCTCCAATGGAACAGTACTCTTGATTTTACGTCTCCAGATGACACTTTTTTTTTTTTTTGCCCCAATTGGTTCACTTGGGACTGTGTGAACACCTTTTAGTTGAGGTTCAGGGCCCTGGAATTAAGTCCTGAGACCTAAAATGCATTTGTAATGGACAATATGTTGAAGGGTCTGTGTTCTGAAGTTCTTCCAATTTAATGTGCTTCATTTCAGACTTGTTTCCCACCAGCCACAAGAGTGTAAAACATAGACAAACTTTTGTGATCTGGTCTGTCACATGGTTTCCTCAAGATTGCTGCGAGAAGTCTCCAATGAGCTGTAACTTTGTCACTTGTCTCCAATGTGAATGGACAGGTTTACACCAAACTGAGGAACAGTCCAGGAACAAGCCATAGACCCAGGCCTCCATCAGAAAGTTGGAATGCACTTTTAACCCTTGGGTCAAAATGACCCGCCACAGTGATTAAAAGTAGAAAAATATCCAAAATTAGGGTCTAAATGTCCCAGGGCTGGTCAATGTGGGCAAAAATCATTTGATTTTGGTCAATTTGACAGCATAAGGGTTAAATGTGTAGAGCTTTACTCTGGCGCTGAGCCCCTCTGGTCTAGATCAGGGATTCCAAACTTTTTAGTAAGAGGACCACTTTAATTCAAATTGTCCACAGGCCAACAACCGGATCTGGAATGTTGAGCTTTAATATGTCACGTCATTAATGTCACAATAAGCCATAGCTCCTGTAAAAAGTCAGTACAATGACTGGATTCCAGAGATCCTGAGTTGTACATCAAGTCATAACTGTTTGGCAGAGCTGAAGTTGGCTGGCTCACACTATCAAGAGTGAACTATTTTAGATGACTTTGGTTTAGCAAGGCAGAGGGCCGCCTTGGTTTGAGATGCCTGGTACAAACCATTAAAGCAGTTTTGGATGTCAACAGAATGTTACAATTGACAAAACTGGTTTCTCCCAACTGCTCACTATTCACCATTTTAATGTACATTGGTTTATTTTCATAATTGATTTCTCTAGGGGTTAAACCAAGGGTTACCCATCTGAAGTCATTACTGAAGACTGCAAATCACATACACTGAATAAGATGTAATCCAAAACACCAAGAAAAAGTCAAATGTATTGATTCGATTTTATTTATCCAGAGAAGGCTGGTATGTGAGTGAAGAAAAAACTAATGCATCTCTACATGAATGCATCTCCCAGGTAAATAATATTTTTCATTAAATAATTAAGAACAGCATTCATATGTACCAAACAAGCAGGAAAAAGCTCTCTGAGGAATGAGTACAGTGACTGGCAACCATGTGCCGCAATTTCCAGAAAGCATTTGGGTTTTCATCCAGCAGCGGGGAAGGAAAAGGGGGCTGCAGTCGTCCACCTACAGAGACTATAACCCACGCCCCTTTAAAAGCTTTACATATGACGCCAGGGGCTGCAGAATCACAGTGAACAGAAGGAATGCATAGGACATGGTTTGGTGATTCGGTGCAGCTGGAGTCTGTATGGCCACACGATCTCCCACAAGGCTCATCCCAATGTGCTGTGACTCCACCGACCAACACGGACTGATTTTATGAAGTTTGTGGTTTATGAAAAAGCAACTTATATGTGGTCATGACTCCCCCTCATCTCATTGGTTTTACAACAGTGCATTACACAAAAGTACAAGGGAAAAATACTGGTTTTACACTATACATTTCTAAAATATATACAGAGTAAAATAAGTTATGTTTCCATAATGAGCTGTAGCCGAGCTGTATGCATCAGTGCGCGTCTATCAGAATATCTCACATACAGCACACAGAGGAACTAAAGGCAGCTACTTATTTGGTTAGAGTGAGTTTTGCGTCGGGACCTGTTGCAGCAGATCTGAAGACGATACATTTCTCTTTTTACAATCCCTGAAGGTTCCCCACAGGGTTCAATACATGTTAAATATCCTAACATTTACAACCTAGGATGTTAGCTCTAATAAAAATACATTTTTCAAAAAAATATTCTTGCAGCAATCTTCTTTTTCAAGCATGCTTTGAAAACTAAAGATTCTTTGACACCTCCTTTGGCCCTCTCCCTGAGGCCCCTAAGGGCCCAAGGCAGATCCAGCAAAAACTAGAGCTCAGGAGCATCTCCTGTGCCTCCAGTCGTCTCCTCCTCCTCTTCCTCCTCCAGGCACTCTATAACAGGACTTATTGCAACTGAACTTTGCAGATTGGCTTGTCTGGGAAACAATATTAGCTCTAGACGCTCACACATGTAATGATACAGATGAAGAGTCAGTTATTCCCACACATCCTTTAGCCCTTTAAAGTGAAGTCTCTCCTCGGCCCGCTGCCCGTCCAGGACAGGGGCTTGAGTCCAATGTCCTGAGGCCTACAGCCCAGTGCTGATGACGGTGGTGTGTGGGGCCTGAGCTCGGCTCAGAGCCTCACGGATCTGAAGGTTGAGCTCCATGAGGCGGGCGCTGGCCTGGGACAGGTCCCTACTGGGTCCTACCACAGCCAGGCAGCCCGTCTGCCCCAATGTCTGGTGCCGAAAGTAAATGTGCAGAAGAGTCTGGACCGCGTCGTCCGACTCATTTCCAAAGATGTCGTTTGGCCATAACGACCTGAAATGTAACATGTAAAACATATTTATACATTCCACTCAGTGTTTACACATCTGACAGTCTTACCTGAAGACTTTGACTTGTGTGAGAGCAGAGCTGAAGTCCCGCCCTCTCAGGGTCTCAATCAGGGACTGGATGGCGGTCTCAGTGCTGGTGTGAGCGTGGTCCGACATACACACATCCTCCTGGACCTCCGCTCCCGCCTCAGCCTCCTTCAGACAGCTCTCCAGCAGGCTCAGCTCCTCAGACATGTTAGTAACCTTCAAAAAACACAACTACTTCAGACTCTGCACCTTTTATTTACTATTATTAACTAGGCAAGCGCAAGTATGATCAAGGTCTCCTTTGCAAGAGTGGCTTTAAAATAATAAAGCCACATGAAATAATAAAAAGGATCAGTTTGTATAAAACAAATCAGATTTATCTTAATCGGATGTAAGGGCCGAGCTCTCATCTCCTTTGGTCAAAGAACTTTATTTAATTAAATGCTTTAATCTAATTAAATGAGCATCAAGATGCAAACAGGATCGCCATTGACTGATGCACTAACCATTCATAAAATGGAATAACTTCCCGCAACAAAAGGCATTTTGCAGGAATAAATATCAGGTTCTTGTTCCACTGATTTTGGAAAAAAAGCGCAGACTCACCTCTGCCTCTCTCTTTATGGTGTCCACACGGCTGATGAGCTTACAGTAGGCCTGGAACAGCAGCAGCAACTGAAAGTGCAGTTTGTACAGCCTCCGGCAAAGCTCCAGCTCCTACACACACAGACGCACACAGACGCACAAAGACGCACACAGACGCACACAGACACCCACAGACACCCACATTAGAATCAGGAATACATCAGTGTCTGGTCTACGTCCAGGGTTAGACGCACAAGGAGATGAAGAGGTTAACATGCTTTTGAGAAAGGGGCCATGGAGTTAAAGGTGAGTCTCTGACACGCACTATAAGTCATGAAATCTCATTTAATCCATAGTCCATCACCGGGGAGACTGCTGCCACATTATTCACCCTGCGAGAGTTTAACGGACAAAGAAAAGACCTATAGAAAGTTATGACTCCCATCCAGAAGAATACTTCAAATAAAATTACACATACAAAATTATGAACTAATAAACATGCAAAATTAAGCTTCCAAATATGTCACTAAGACCTAGGACTGGGAAATGTGCAGTGTTAAACAAAACATCTCTTAATATTTAAATGTAAAATATTTTTGGTTTGTCAAAACTAAAACAAACCATCCACAAAGTTGTCTTAACTTAATGACCCATTAATCTGACACACTATTCCCAGCCCTGCTCTGCTCCTGATCTGAAAAGCTCGTAGAAAAGGCGGAAGATGAGGGAAATGAACAGATGCAAAAGAAAGTTTGACCACAGTGAGGCCATGTAAAAGTGATGGATGGACCTCTGCCCAAAATGACCATGATCAAGAGCTCGTAATATGAGGACCACTTACTGCAAGATTTTCCATTTGCTAAGCAAGAGAGTGAGCAGGTCACACACAAAACGCACAGGGAGAGAAAGACCAAGAATTAGTGCAAGCTTTGACATAGCAGCGAAGACACGGCTGGAGTCAAACAGGCAGAAAACATTCAGAGGGAACAAAGCTCACGGTTAAGGCCTTAAAAAGATCAGAAGACACTCTTTGGCAGGTGATTGTTATGTGTACTATAGAGCGTCTCAACCATGAAACTCAGGATGAGGTCAAATGGAGAAAATGAGCGCTGGTGGGAGCTGTTCTTTGGACTGTACCAAGGTCTTCATCGTTACTATTATGCAACACAATTTTGGATATTTCTCTGGCAGATTATTCTTTACAACATTAGTTCAGTCCTGTTTAAATTGAATGATCGTATACCATAATGTAAACTTAAATAAGATAAATATTTTTTATTAAATAAGCTTATTAGTAATTACATTTTGGGTAAAATTGTTTCAAATAAATGAAGGTGAAGTTCCAAGACTATTATGGACATGTTTGGTCCAAATAAAGGTTAAAAACAATTCAATTATTGTCATAATTTTGGGAAATATTCAGATAATGCGGAATAAGTGCAATTTACAACAGTAAAAAACACTTTTCAATTTAGTTTCAAAAATGTAAAATGAAGTGTAACTGCCATGTGAGCAAATAGCATTTTATCACTTACTGTACCGTCAACTAATGAACACAAGATAATTAGCTGCATCGATCCATGAGCCAGCAGTACCGTTACATATGAAGTTTGGTTTTAGAGTTTTTCCTTTCTGATGCAGGAGGGTCTGTCAGACTGTTAGTGGTGATGATCCAGGACACTCAACATTCTACAACATTCATGGACATTCCCCCTATGGACCAATACCTATGTGTTCTATATCTTTTACGTTTGAACGGATTGATTCTCTAATCTATATTGGCGATTTCAACGGTTTTGCTAAGTTCTCTGAGATAACTACTGTTTTGATTTAGGGCTATACAAGAGAACATTTAATTGAAGTCTATTTTGACAATAAATGAGTGTCCTACAGCTTCTAGAACTTAGAGCCAAAATAATAAGTTCATGAACTATGCTGACAATTTTACCACAATAAAATTACAAATATCAGCCGCATTGCTATATAAGCCGCAGGGTTAAAGGAACTACATAGTGTTGAAGAGAATGAGACGACAACATGATATCTAGATTTTCTAGATAGCTCATCTTTTGCATGTGATTTGTGTCCATTTTGGCAATATAGAAAGTATTTTGAACAAACATATTCTGGACTAAAGTTTTGTGCATCAGTAGTGGGTCAAGGCCTACTTATTTGGCAGCAAACTATTGCATGATATTATGAAAAAAAAAAATCCTTTGTTTAATAAAAAATATATATAAAGTTCAAAGGAATTGTGAGTAATGTTCTGGTAATCATTGTGGTCGAGTCACTGCGGCGTTATTATGGAAGATAAGGATTACTATTTTTGTAAAATACCTGTGTGTGCGTGTTGGATTTTTGGCTACCGTCTTTGTCCCCGAACGTCTTCTTGCAGTTTTCCAGCCACTGTAAGACACAGAGGAACGTCAGCCAGTCCAGCTTCAGGCTGTAGCTGGGTTAGCAAGAGGAAACGCTGCAGAACGTATGTGCATGTCATAAAGGCAGTGCAGGCAGGAGATTTAATAAGAGTGGTGTACTTAACGAATTAAAACAGGCCTGGGATAGTATCGCGTCCTCCAGAGAGCAGAGCGATCCTATTCAATTAGCGCCCTGCATCCCAGAACCCTCTGCAATCGCATCTCTGGACCCCTCCCCCGCCCTTCTTACGCAGTGCTCCTATAACTGATTTAGGGGTAGTTATTTTTAGCCTGTTAGAGCAGTGCAGACCCAAGCGGCGCTGAATCTAGTCATAGTCAGCGCCGGTTTAATGTCCACCTCAGTGAGACGCAGGATTATCTCAGCATCCTCCGCAATGACGTCACCGAAGTGAAGGGCAGACACAGCAGCTGACACCACAGAGGCTCGTCAGCACCATTTAACGTCTGCTCAGGGAGGAACTGCTGAAAAACAAAGACACTCACAATCTCTGCTGCTTCTCTCTTGTTGTTGTACGTGTCAAGATGCTCTTGCAGCTCCAGCACACTGAACTTCAGAGTCTCCAGCAACCCGCAGGAGACCAGCTGTGGAACGATGAACACATTTAACACATGAATAACAATGGAATCACAATGACACACAGAGACCCGAGGACTTACCGTCTCAGCGTCCAGCAGCACTGTGGGGCACTGGGAGCGGGATGTCATTACCTCCAGAGAACTGAGGAACTGGTTACCCATCCGCTGCAACCCCTCGCCCAGGAAATGCACTGACGCATGAGTGATTGAGCCAAACTTCCTCTGGATATTCTGAATTTAAAGACAGTTATGTTATAAGTAACAACATAGTTTTAAGCTGTAAACATGTAGAGCCAGCGTTACCTGGAAGAGCCTAGAAAACACATGGAATGTGTAAACGGCACAGGAGCCATCGGTGTCAGACAACATCTGGTTGACATGGCAACGCCATGCATCCTCCTCATTGTCATAGGCGAGGGGCTGGAAGGCAGCCAGTATGGCAGACAGGAAGGGAGACGGTGGGGGAGAGGCCTGGACCTCGGAGAAGCAGTCTGCGTCACCTTCATCCTGACTGAAACACAGATATGGACCAATGAGCTGCAGAACAGCAGCAGCTCTGAACAATGTAAACAACAACACATGCTCAGCCAGTGTTAGTAAACAAAAGCCCTCTGGTCCTGTTCCCGCTCTGTGGCGCAGTCATAAGCTCTGCTGCAGTGCTCTGGAACAATAACAACATACAAGCTAACAGCACTTAGCATCATGCAAAGCCTTCCTCCTCACACAGCACATACTCACAGGCCGCTGGGACCAAAGAGCTTGAAGAAGCACACAGAGTACAGATATCTGAAGCTGCCGAGCTCCGCCGCTGACACCGTCTCTGTCCTCATGCTCACCCCGAGTATCGCCTCCTTCTCTCCCCCCTCTCCTCTCTCTCTTCTGCCTCGCAGCTCCACTGTGCTGCAGCTATCACTAGCGCACGGCTCTACCATCTCACAGTGCAGCTCTCCTCACTCACTGATTCATGCTCTGCTTTGGCTGGACACAAACACACACACTTGCTTTCCCACTCATTAATCCACATACACACAAAACAACCATTTTCTGCCTCACATTTAAGCGGCTTAACTGCGATCGCAGATGGACAATAATCATTTATGGCCTGCCAACAAATGTCTCAGCACTTACATAATCATGGGCAACAGTTATCTGTACCAGTATTTCTGATGCTTTAGGTTTAAAGGCTGTGCAGTTACTTTTGAAGGACAGTCCGTGTTTGGAGGTGGAAATGAGCCAGTGCTGGCCCACCTTCAGGGCCGCAGAGCAGTGCCAAGACACAACATCCATTTTCACTGAAGCTTTTAAAAAACAATGTACTTGATATTTAATTAGAGTATGCAATAACTGAACATTAATTATTTGGTCGTGTTAAAAACGTTTATTATTGCCACTTATTTTTAGTTAAAATGTGGATCTGGGTATTTCTTTGAAAAAACTATGTATTACTTGTTTTAATAAAAAAGTAAAGTACATAAAAGTAACATAATCATCATGGTTGATAATTGTGAAATATTCATCTAACCATTTGGATGGGTGGGAGCTTTGTTTAGCCTGGCCCACCCAATGTTTTGACCGGATCCAAATTAAACCCATGGAAAAATGTTCTATCTCCAGCTAGAGATAGCTGACCGACCACACGGCAAATGGAATCTTTCTTCTATCAATACATGTACTTATGGTTTGTTGATTTATTCTGAAAAAAAAGAGTGCTCTGCATCAAAAGGCTTATAGACCCTAGGCCGACCTTTCGTTTCATATTATTTGTTTAAATGAGGGGGCCGTGCCCCTCAGGCACCAACATTTAGTCAAACTTAGCCAATGTAGACATGTCATACCTACATTTACAGCTCAGCAGAATTCACTACTATAATACGTGCAAACAAAATTAACATGAAAAAAGCCATTAGGATCAGACATCAGCCCCACCAATATACACATGCCATATATCATTTAAAAGCCAAGAACCTTTAGAATTCAGAAATAGTTTTAAAATCTGCATACTTTTTAGTGATTACAGACATTTACTGAACACTGATGAGCCCCGTTCCCAATGCTCGCCTCAATGCTTTTTGGAAGCCCGTTTAGTAAAAATCAGATGCAAGAATTAGGTAAACCTTGTCCCTTGTGAAGCCACAGGTAACATTATTGACACGCTCTTCCTCAATTATCTACGCTGAGATCATTTACCAGACATGATTGACAGAGATATTATTCTTTGCAAATGTAAAATGATGGAAGCCTTCAGTTTTAAATTAACTTTTTAAGCCGTGATGGATACTGCTCTTGATCAAATTCCTTCACAAATTCAAATCCTGCACTAGAGAAGCACTTCAAAGCTGGCTAACTAGACCGAAGTCATCAATGTGCGGCGTATGATGAATCCAGGTGCTATGTGCACAGTAAACTACTACTGCAGTCACAGCTGCCCTGGGGCAAACTGACAGAAGTGGTGCTACTAATCTGTATCCCTGGCCCCTCAGAGCACCATCAACCATTCACACACACACACACAAACAAACCAGGCACATACTTCATGCGTCATAGTGTCTTGCATTGTGTCCTTAGGCAAGACGTGTTTTTTTTAACATCAGACATTTGCTACAAAAAGCCACAGAGCACAATAATGTCTAAATAATAGCTCTTCTGGGTGGATAACAAAAATGGAAGACTTCTGCTTAAACGTCAGAGTTGGATCAGAAAATGTGAGTTTGGACAGAGCCTTACCTGGACATCCCGGAGAAATCAGCCTCCTCCTCTTCACAACGCTCATCGAGCTCCTTCAGCGCCTGAGTGACATCTTCATCCCACATGGACCCACAGGTGCTGTCCGGGTCCAGATCCGGGTCTGGGTCATTGTCAGGAGGAAGGGGCAAGTTTAAAGCAAGAACTGTGTGGGGATCTTCCTCACATAGAGATCCTGGGGGAGTGTCTATGGCGAGCGGAGGGGGGGGAGCAGGATCCAATTCCACCTGAGGGTCCAACACTTCCTCTTGCACCTCCAGCACTTCCTCTAAAACCTCTAGCACCTCCGGAATGTCATCCTAAGGAATAAATGGCAGAATGAACACATTTTACAAATTCAATACTTCCGCGCAATTTCACCACCTCTGCAATGTCAACCTCAGCCACCACCTCTCGTTCTCAGTCCAACACAGGAATACTGATCCATTTTCTTAAAGTTTTCCACCTTCCCCCTTACCCACATCCACTCCAGAGAACACATCACCCCTGTCCATGAACAACTACATGGCTCTACCAGTCAAAGTAAAGTCATGTCATGTTTAATATGGCCATATTGATACAAACACATTATATTTTTTTAACAGTCGTACCTGTGCATCGTCCTGCAGGTCTGTTGGGTCATGAGGGTCAGACAGGTCCGGAGGCAAAGGTGGGGCGCTACAAAACCCTGTATCTTCACTGACGCTGCTGCTGAGCTCATCCGCCGCAGTCATGCTCACAGCATCCTGCAAAACACAAGGGGGCGCTCAGCTTGAGTCGCTCCCCATAGCTCTACTCCATACAGACAACTACACAATGCCAGTCCTGTTAAGATGCACTTTCCAATAATAAGTGTAGCAAACTAAGAAAAAATTACGCCAACTGGACTAAACTGAAGAAATACCAATCGTGACGTTTCAGATTAGGGCTATGTAAAAATTGTACAATAAACAACATCATAGGCTACAAAAACAAACCCCTAACCACTAATCTTTGTCAAATTGTTGACCAAAACCAGACTCCTCTTCAATAAACTTTAATAACATTACAAGACTATAATAATACTATAACTCCATTGATAGTATGCCACTACACTACAGCGCTTAAAGTGTTCCATTTATGCAAACCTACTTTCCAAATGGTCCAATCTCCTGTATCAAACCAGCTATGGACATTACATGGAATCCCATATTCTCATCAATGACACTTGAGGGAGCCTAGTCAGCGCTTTGGATGTTACTTAACTTCCAGCGAGGTGGTTTTTCACGTCGCAGCGCATGATAACATCCCCCGTGAGAAATGAAATGCAACGGACAAGAATCAATAAACAGACGCCAATATCAATCTATCAGGAACATGCCGTTATTAAGTCGACCCTTCTGCCAGTAATACAGATGAGGCAGGGTGGGTAGAGCCGTACTTTGTTAACAGTGATTTATGACTAGGACTGTAAGTTTGTGGACATGCTTCCGTCATAGTTTTATGTAACATCTTTAGCAGTGATGGTGAATGGTTTCGCTCTACATTAGACACCTGCCAATAGACAAACATATATACATAAAAAATGACAGCCACCATCTAGCCACTAATTACTTTAACCGGAGCTTGTGTTTTCTTGTCCTATTTTAATGCATTAAGAAGAGAGTGTGGCAGGAGGCCAGTACATCAGCTCGAGACAGCCGTGATATTACAGAAAGCTTTTAGAAGTGCTCGCCGTTGGCCCGTCCTGGAGCGAATGAGGAAGAGTATTGATGGTTTTATCTGGGGCTCATTTCACTAAGAGCCACTGCTGTGATGGCGGGGAAGTCCTTCAAATGCTCTTGAGACCCAAGCCCCGGAGCGAGTTCCTAGAAAGTTACATGTGTTTTTGGAGGGATGCCATGATTACAAAAAGATCTCAAGCATGATATTCACAGTATATAGGCGGTTAACGATGAATGAGTAGATAGCACTCTCGCTTCTCAGCAAGGTGGTCCTGGAACAGGGCCTTTCTGAGTGGAGTTTGCATGTTCTCCCCGTGTCTGCGTAGGTTTCCTCGGGGGACTTCGGTTTCCGCTACCACTTAAAACATGTACAATAGTTCTGGCATGCACCTCCTGAACTCGCGACCCCGCTCCCATCTCTGTGTGGAGTGAGAGGACAAATGCCAACAATTGTAAACCGCTTTGTGACTATGGTCTGTGAAAGGCGGTATATAAATAAAGATTACTTACTTAAATGCAGATACCTCTATCTGCTTGATACACGGAACTGAGCAATAAGACAAATACTCAACTTGCTCGTATGGAAAAAAAAAAGCTAGGTAGGTTTAGATTTGTATACAGAATGGTTGTACAGTATGGTAGTGCAGCCATGTTTGCAGGTAAAGGCCTAACTAAATCATAGAAGTAACGATAGGAACAACTACACAAAATGACGTGACAATCCAATCGGGAGGGAGGCAAAGGAAAAAGCCTTTATCCCCCACGAGTAAGTACAGAAGCAAAATAGTGTTTAATCTTCTGACTTAGCTACTTAAGAAAAAGTTAAGTTAGTTGTTATCCACAGAAGTTGAGCAGTAACGCTGGGTTTATCCATCTAGATTGTGTCCTGTATAAATGTTCTGGGCGCTTGCCTTTTTGCAAATACACATTGCAGTTTTTCTGAGTGGTAAATTGTAAACTGTGCTCAATTGTGAGCTTTGTGATTTAATTGGAATATAATGGCAATTTAAAAATGGAAAGAAACCTGTTGAGAAAAGTTTTAACAGTGAAGTGCAACAATAACTGGCTATACAATTACACAAATAGCATTCAAGATTGAGTTTCAGTCAACCCTAATCATCAATAATATCCTTGGGTCATTTAAGGACAAAATAATAAAAATACATCAATAGATCCAGTCTGGGTTTAGACCCCACCACAGCACTGAGACCGCTCTAGTGAAGGTAACAAACGACATTCGACTTCACACTGATGCAGGTAAAGTCACAGTTTTGGTCATGTTAGATCTTAGTGCCGCGTTCGACACTGTCGACCATGAGATCCTCATGCAGAGACTGGAGGACTGGGCTGGTGTCACTGGCACAGCCCTAGACTGGTTTAGGTCTTACCTGGAGGATAGGAAGTACTCTGTGGAGATTGGAGACTGCGTCTCAGATGATGTGGCCCTGACCTGTGGTGTACCACAGGGGTCGATCCTGGGACCTCTCCTATTTAATCTCTACATGCTGCCGTTAGGTCAGTTAATACAAAGAAACAAAGTGTCCTACCACAATTACGCTGACGACACTCAGATCTATGTCTCACTGACTGCAGGAGAACATGGACCACTGGATTTGCTCCTTCACTGTATCCAACAGATCAGTGACTGGATGCAAAATAATTTCCTCCAGCTAAATACAGACAAAACCGAAATCATTGTCTTTGGTCCCCAGAAACAAAGAGAGGGCGTCATTTGTCAACTTCAGTCTCTCTCTCTACTTCCTTCAGACAAGGTCAGAAATTTGGGGGTAATACTGGACTCAGACCTAAATTTCAATAGCCACATAAAATCAATAACATCAACAGCTTTTTACCATCTGAAGAACATTGCCAAAGTTAGAAATATAGTGTCCAGGGCAGACTTGGAGATTCTTGTCCATGCATTTGTCTCCAGCAGGCTAGACTACTGCAATGGCCTGCTTACAGGTCTGTCCAAACAGACCTGTAAGCAGCTGCAGTACATCCAAAATGCAGCAGCTAGAGTCCTGACAGGAACCAGGAAGTATGACCATATTAGTCCGGTCCTCAGGTCTCTGCACTGGCTTCCTGTGGCTCAAAGAATAGATTTTAAAACTGCTCTGCTTGTGTACAAGTCTCTCCATGGCCTTGCACCAGAATACATTAGTGACATGTTGGTGTCATATGAACCAGCCCGGACTCTGAGGAGCACAGGGACTGGCCTCCTGCTGGTGCCCAGAGTGAGAACCAAACATGGGGAGGCTGCGTTTCAGATCCATGCAGCTAAGATCTGGAACAATCTCCCTGAAAATGTGAGGGAGGCGTCTACTCTGTCAATGTTCAAATCCAGGTTAAAGACTGTTCTGTTTGCCTGTGCATACAACTGAAGGATTTTATCTCCATTTTTAATGCACTGCTGTCATTTATTTATTTATTTAAATTTCTTGTGTAATTTTGAAAGTTTTAATGGTTTTATTCTTTTGTGTGATTTTAATGTTTTAATTGTGTTTTAATCTTTTGTGTGATTTTAATGTTTTAATTGTGATTCTGGTGTTTGTTTTATGTGATGATTTGTGATGTGGACTGTGAAGCGCTTTGTGTTGCCATGTGTATGAAAGGCGCTCTACAAATAAACTTTGATTGATTGATTGATTGAGATAAATCCCATTACATACTCGTCTAATGTAACCCAGTAAACAATATTCACTGATGATGGCCATGCCCGAGTTAGACAGGTCTTGATAAGAATACTTGTTAGTATAGCAATAGATGTCAGTAGCAGTGGATAGCAGGATAGTTATCAGTATATGTTAATACTGTGTTATTGCAAATCAAATATTTGGTGCTTCAGATAATGAAACCCAGTGTTTTTCATAGAGTGAACGTAGATACTCACACAAACTGGTGCTGAAGACAGGGATAGAGGAGACTGTCCTTTAGTTTAATGGAGGGTTTAGTGCCAATTGCCATTATTTGAGGTTAGCAGTGACAGCTGACCTGAGGTGAGTTTTTGTTTTAGCTCCCACAATCACAAGAGCAAGCCCCATCTGCATTAACTATATAATTAAAGACATCTAAACCCAAAGCAAGCGTAGGCAGAAAGAACCACAGAAACAAAGGAATGATATCCAAGCTGAAAATAATGAAGAAATTATGTCATCCCAGTGCTTCCATCCACCAACCGTTTTCCAGCATTCAGTACATGGGTCTAACAAGCAGCAGCCACCCCCAAGAGCACACACACAAAGAGGAAAGAACTAGAAAGCACCCGAACACCAGAGTTTATTATTGCTCCCCAATGATCGCACCTCAGGCAGCTGGCTGCTGGTGCTGTCTGAGTGGGCCCTCTCCAACATTGGACTATCCAGGCGAGTGAGGGAGGGTAAAGAGGGCAGGACAGGGGGCTCCTCTGTCAGAGCGCTGCTGCACGACTCCTGCGACTGCTGCAGGGAGTCCACATGGTTCGAGGCCGTGTCGTCTGTGGCAGAGTCACTGTTGAGCTGCAGAGGGACAAGGTCTGATTAGCTTTAGTGTAGCGCGACCTTTACAGATATTACATGAAAAAAAAAAAGTTGTATTCTTAGTACAATAAAGTAATTGTTTTATGTCAAGGTAATAGCCACGGTGTCATTGAGGCTAGAGCTATTCATTGAACGGGAGTCATACTTTTGTATCCATATTATAAGTCAGTTATCTGGTTTTGTTCATACTAAAGGGTACAAAAGTGTGACAGAAGGCCAAAAATTTGATTTTAATAATCAGAATATATATGAATGTTTCTCATTTATCCAAATACCTATTCTGTTTATTAGTAGTTGTTAGAAGATAACAAATAAATTAGTCAAATCTTCTATAGTGGCTCATTTTATCTGTGTCACTGACGTAAACCTTTGACGGAATGAGCTGCAGAAGTTTGTTACGTATTTTAAGATGTCCAAATGTTATTAATAGATTCTTTTTTTTTTTTTTACACAGAGTAGAAACAAAGTGATAACTTTCATATAGTCAACCAATTAAATGTGAAACCTGACAATTTTTTTTCTCAAGGAAAAAATGGATGGAAATCATCACACGCTGTATATTTTTCTATTGTCCTCTTTTTATTCATCATTTTTCAAAAAAGATTACTTTTTAAATCAAGTGATTTACTTACTGTATGGTAAGTAAGTAATGTTTATTTATAAAGCGCATTTAACAGACCAAGGTCGCCCAAAGCGATTTGCAACGTTCAGAAATCAGATATTTTTCCATTCACACACACAGATGACGGAAGCGAGACGCCAAATGCACTGGTGGATTACAGGTTATTATAGGTTACATTCATACCTATTGTACATGTTTTTAGTGGAAACCTACGCAGACACAGGGAGAACATGAAAACTCCACTCAGAGAAGACAGTTGTTTTTTATTTCGGCAAAAATGTATTTGTCAATTTTTCCTTTTGATTTTATCCACATTGTCTCTAATCGGTTTGTGTTTGAAATATTTTTTCTAATCTATGATAGGTCATTTTAGTTTTTGAGTTATAACCCTTTAAAGTCCAGATACTATAATCTTCACTTTACTGTGAACACACCCATCTGCAGAGTTAGAGCAAAAAAAAGAAAAAAGAAAAGTATGTACTGATCATTACTGGGTCTAAAAGTGAATGTATTCATTTAATACTGATATTGTACACAGCTTTTTGGTACGTTAACAAGTCTGGACAGCCTCTAAAGAATGATTAGTAAACACCAATTAAGGAATTCACGCTAAATGGTCAAAGCAACAAACCTATGTACATCGGAGCACAGATGGAGAGGTTCTGCAGTCGCACTACTTTGGTTAGAGCCATTAAAAAAATAATGGTAAAGTAATTTGAGTATTTAAAGAAAAGGACACATATTTTATATCTATCAAGTCATGCCTAATTATGTTAATATTATGTGAACATTTCAGCATTCCAGTTAAGTGTCAAAACATGTAATTGTGTGTTACAGTGTGTGTTAGTGCAATGCATGGTACATTTGTCAACTATAAAGCTCATTCTCTCACCGTGCACTAAAAGAAGGGGCAGAAAAAGAAAGCAAAGAAAACCTCCTCATTATATCAGGCCAAGCATTGAACAACTATGAACGGCTTAAGCAGAAAAAAGAAGTCAAGGGGTAAGAAATACTATGCAGCTAAATGCTCAGAGGGCTGCAGCAGGCAAGTTATATAACATACTCATACCCAATTCATGTTTATACAATTACCAATCTTATACAGACATTATACGTGCTCTTTTTTTTTTACAGTAGAAGTCACAATTAGTTGGTTATTATAAGAATACTGAAGCAAACAGGAAGATTCCAAGACATATCAGTAAACAAACATAAAAGGTCTATCCAAGTCTAAAGACCAGATTTGCCATAAGAAGAACTATACAAGATTATATTGTATAAATACTGAAAACAGCTCGACTACTTACCCATGGCTACAAAGGGGAAAGAATATACTGTTGGAGCTTACAGGCAAAAAGCGTGAGCTAGAGTTTTTAAGGGACGACTGCCACCAGCGCAGAAGCAAGCGCCTAGCCATGTGTGCACAGAGGCAGAAGTGAAGCTCAGCGCACACAAACACACCATGCTAGCGGACTGTGAGGGAAGCATGGTGGGCAGTGGTGTTTCCTGTTTGGACTTACAAGACGAGAGCGGTTGAGAATCTGGCTAGCGCTCAGTACCTCCTCCTCTGACGACTCGTCCGTGTCTTCGTGGTTGGTGAGGTTCAGGCTTGGTGTGCTGCCTGAATACTGGCACTCCTGCAGGGATGGAGTATCCCCATCACCATCCCCTTTGTCCATACTCTCCAAGGAGCGGCGCCGCACCCCCCAGTTGAAGTTGTCCATGCTCTCTCCCTAAAGGATAGATGTATGCGTTTAAGAACAGTCTGCAAAACTGAGAAATCTTTAAAACACAGTGTAAGACTAATGCAATGTAATGGTTCTCAAACTCTCTAGAAGCAGATCTTTTTACAGATGCCAGGCAGTAACTTCTAACCAGTTGTCCTTTTGTGCATTCACACAACACTGAAGCACAATTACGAATTACATTAACCAACTTGTATCACTTCTGTATCACTCGACTGAGAATGTATACAAAATGTTTACCACCAAAGTCAGTGCAGTACAAGCACTGGCAAAACATCCTTGGTTTGACTGGACCCATGCAAACTTGTCTCAAAGGGGGATTGGGCGTAACTAAATAAGGATGACTTACTTACAAATAAATCTTTTACAAGGAATTCTGTTGAAAAAAATCTAATAACTCAAGGCTAGATTTGGGTTGAACAATTAATATCCCCTGGTTCATTAAAAACCTATGCTTAGATTTCCATTAATGAGTTAAAAGTTGTGTCAAGAAGTTTGAGAACCACCGGATCATTTCAACAATTCAAATCAAAATGGTTCAAGAATGACTGCACAAATGGATGACTTTCACCACAATATTTTACAAAAACTTTCACAAACGCCATTTATGATGTCAAAGTGCAAATAGAAAAAAATGTAACTATCAAACAAAGAACAAAGAGGCTTTGGTCCGGATAGAGCCTTACCTGCAACTCCTTGTGGCAAGAGAAGACAGAGAAGACAAATGTTATTGGACTAAAGACAGACAACATTAAAAACTTTTCAACAGTACGGATCGGGACACTTAGAGAACAGACACATAATTGATAGTGGTAAAAGACAAGTGCATTAATACAAAAATGAAACAAACTTTTAAACAAAATTCTCACCTCGGCATCTTCCAGCTCCACGTCCAAGAAGTCAAAGTCCTTGAAGACGCCAAACTGTTGCTCACTTCCTGTGTCTTCACCCTGAACCTCCTCCTCACGGACCACCTCCTCCACAGTTGGGATGAGGCTGGTCTGCTGGTCCACAGCGTCCAGATCCTCACTGGATGAAAACACCACCTGGTAAATAATGAAAAACCATATATGAAAGATGCGTACATGCATAGAACAACTGTTGCAAAAAATAAATAAAATAAAGACAACATAAAAGTTATGGTTACAGTGTATTCTATTTACAGAGACCTTGTCAGAGGCTTTAGAGTACGAGAGGAGTCTTACAGAAGGATTTTTCGCAACACCCGTTTCAGGACCACACAGAGACAAGACGTTCATGAGCTTCTCTCTGGTTCGTCTCTGTAACGAGAACATAGAAACAATGATTAAAGATGTAGTTACATTATTAGGACTCAATCTACACTTTTTGGATTTTTCAAAAGGAACATTTCAGATGAATGCATTGCAATGAGGTCATCTACTGTAATCTGGTGGTCTATAGATACATGTTTGGATACCAGATATTTCATTCCTTCCTTTTAATCCCCTTTATTATTCCAATCCATCAGATACCCAACAGTTATTATTATTAAAACACATTAATGTTAAAACACATTAAAACTAAATCCATATCCACACCCCGGCAAATATTAACAATCTGATAATAAACTATTAGAACCCCAAATGTCTTGTTAAGCCTGGTTCACACGGCAGGATATTTAGGCCGATTTAGACCCGATTTACCCCTTACGACAATCTTAAGAAACGCTCCGATTTCCGTAACAACATCTTACAGATTATCCTGCCGTGTGTGGTGTGTTAATACTGCACTCGTCGCTCGGAAGGACATCGGGACTGCTCCCGATCTCAAATCGGGGATATCCAACATGTTGGATTGTTTTGGCCCGATTTCTCTTCGTGTGTGGTGTCCCCCGAGGACAGACGTGCGCGTTGCCATGACTGCGGCGTGTAGCCAATCAGAAGACGAGACGAGGCGGTGAGGAAACGCCTCCATATCACGATGTAGCAAGTATAGTCCATGCTCGTGTTGTCTACACTTCTTTGACCATCGCCTTTTCTTTTGATTACGTCTTTTCTCCGATAAAAACAAACTATCGCCAATGCATCCTCTTCGTCCGCCATGTGTGTTTACTCTGAAGTCACGCTTGATCTCGCGAGACCTGAGATTTCCGTCTGATCTGAATACTCGGGGGGAGGGGGGAGGGGAAATCGGTTCGTGTGTGGTTTGCGTGATTTTTGCAGTGTGGCTGCGCACCACACACTGTACGACCAAAGTGGTTAGACCTGTGATTTTTTATCTCCCTGTGTGGGGTCTCACACAGAGAAAAATCGGCCGACAATTTTAAAATCGTCTCGTGTGAACCAGGCTTTAGTGATCAGTGAAGAACAGGGACATAAGTATGTCTAACAAGAAACAATTTGAATCATTTTGGTACCTGAGAGAGTTGAGGCCTCTTCCAGCTGACTGGCACCAGCCCGTTTGAGTTTGACCCAGATGATGTGGATGAGGTACTTCTGGTTACTGCAATGACCTGAGGCTTTCCATTACGGCCCACAGCTGTGCGCTGGTCACCATACTTATGCCCTATGATTGGCGTCTGTGGGGTAAATATAATACATTTGGTTCTTTTGTCAAGCAACATCAAATTATGATTGCAGCTGATGCATTACAAAGAAAAACCCGATTATTGCTGTTTTCATCACAAAAACACAAGCAATAAAGACAAAAATCACCTCTGAGATATCAAAGTGGAAGTCCAGAGTTTTTCCTGGCAGCTCTTTGGACGAGTTATTAAAAATGCGTGTGAAAGCGATTTCTGGAGAGCCACAAGATTCAGTGCTGTAGGTGCTGTAAGTGCTGTAGGAACGCTGCACGTCATCTGGGACAACAAGGCTTGCAGAGCGAGACACCACCAGCTTCAGGATGTTCTGGGCCTCCTTCCAATGTGGGCTCTGGACGAAACACATTAGAACACCATTATCTCAACCATTTTACACTTTAAACCAAGATATCATAGAAAAAAAGAATAAAGGCTTGTACAATCATTAGGTTAGAATATGCATCAAGATAAAAGTCACCAAATGGTAGGGGAAAGGAAAATATGTTTTCAAGAACAATTATTTCCAATTAAGGTGCTTGGCAGTGGTGTATCATGAATATAACTAAAGCACAGTAGTTTTTTTTAATGCCTGCAAATATGAAGTAGGATCTTGAATGAGGTTGATAAATAAAGCCTCGGATGAGGGCACATGGTGCTACACAAACACAAAGTAGCACTGGTAAAGGATGGGCCTGGGGCACTATGGTATAACAGAAAAAGGAAAATAATGCACTGGGTCAGGGCTAAGAGGTTCTTATAAAAGGGATGTGCATCCATCAAAAGGATCCTTAAGAACGGCTCTGGAAAATAAGTTCGCCTTTCAGGGGGTCATCTCCAACAGCTCATACCATAAGCAAAGAATATAAGGATTAATCAGACCAGACCAATACAACTTACAGTATTTACCAAAAACTATCTCCAAGTAAGAAAAAAAAAAGAAAAAAGTGTGATTGTCAATTAGTGTTTGGGCAAAGCTGGGATGAGCACCCATGCTCTCTTACCTGAACATATTTGCCAATTATCTTCATGATTTCCAGGTTAAACTGCTTTACGGGGGCTGCAGAGAGCTCAATATAATTCAAAAGGCTGTAGATGATCTGCAACAGCGACTGTTGCATGCTGGGAAGGCCTTTCTCAAGCAACTGTAAAAATAAACATATTTCATTTGTATTTTCTTGTTCTAGTTTAAAACGGTTTCTATCAAGTTAAATTTGTTTCATTCTATATACACTCAAAGTAAAATATCAAGCCTTTGCTATTGATAAGGGCCTCACAGCTTGTATAACCTCACATAAAACTTTTTAAATCTTTGTAAAGAAGGAAAGACAATTGTCTATATCATATTGATTTCATATCAAGTAAATATACTTTTTTTTACAATATTGTAATTTTCCATTATAATTTGACCTTGGACACTGATCAAACTGTTATATCAAACACCCAGCGCATGCTCACCTCGGCCAAATAAGTGACAAGATTCAGGGTTATGTCGGCGAAGGCCATGTGAAGGTAGCGACAGACTACGTTGATCCAGTTGGTGGAGTCTCGAGAGTAGTTCTGTTTCCTGTAGAGTGTCATCATGTGCGCCAGATTAGCCAAAGCATCAGACTTTTCATCGGTGCAAACTCTGGCTATCCTATCAGCCGTCTCCTTACAAAACGGAGTGGGGCTGTCAAAGTGCTGAATGAGGTGTGGCAGCAGGCACAATATATTTAATGGGAAACCTGAAAAAGACATGATACATTTAGTTTAACATAGATAACAGATATCAGATATTGAGTGATTGTTTTTTTTTATAAACAGGGGTTCCTGGAAGCAGCTAGTCACACATTTGTAGCTAAAAACAATTCACTTACATAGAAACAAACCATTTGTTAGCATCAGGCCATCAAATTGAAGCTAAATTACTGATATTATAAAGTACTAGGATTAGTTCAGGATTAGTTCATTAGCTTGGGACATTTATCAATTCACAAAAGTAGTCAATAAGCTAAATAATAAATGCAGTGCCATTTCTGACCTGCTCCCTGTGTGGGGTCCACCAGCGTGTGCCTTGACACACTGATGAGTTTGCTGAGCAGGTGAATGGTGAGCTCCTGAGTCGACGCAGACGTGAAGCCCTTTAAGAAGAGCTGAAGAAGCCCAGGGAAACTGTACCACTTCAGTTTGGCCAAAACCTTCTCCAGTCGCTCCCGGCTGTCAGCTTTGTCCAGAGGCAAATGCCCCAGCAGCTTGTTGAGTAACCGCAAGGCCAAAAGGTACTCAAACTCATAGTCTGACTCCAGCAGAGAAGTGGCTATCCAGAACATAGTGGCCAGCAGATTTGAAGGGTCAATTGTTGGCATGGAGTCCCCGCTGGGAACTCCTCCTCCGCCCTCCCGTAACGATGATAAGCTTCGAGTTCGTGCAATATTGCCATGGCTTCCACTAAGGCGGTCTGCAACGTCTAGAGTGTTACTTCGCCGTTTATCAACTTTCCTTTCTGCCACGAGGCTTGCACGGAGAGAGTTACTGCGGGCATGAACGTAACTATACAGACCACCAGTGTTAAAGTTCAACTGGCCAGTACTCTTCCGGTTGGCTGCCAATTTGGGCCCAAGCAGATGCTCACGTAGGGGCACACTGCAAGTGTAACAAAAAATAATTTGTCAAGGAGAAAGTGCACATCAATTAGAGAAAAGACTTTTTATTACAGATGAGTCAAACTGAGTGAGGACTCACTGTGCCAAGGCAGCGAGGAGGTCATAATTCTTGAGTGTGTCTGCGAGTGTGTCAATTCCAGCCTCCAGGGTGAGCAGCAGTTCAATGACAAAGCCCTGTGGAAGTGAGAATATTCTGATGAAGCAAACTATAAGAACTGGTGTACATCTTCAAAACTATCGTGATGAAATACAATGATTATAGCCAAAACCCAGAGCAGTGAACAAACTAACAACAAATGTACACACCTGCGCTTCCTCTCCCGGATCTCCCACAGTCTCCACCAGTCGAGACAAGATGTCAGACAGCAGTGAAGGGGTCAGTGGTTGTTTGAGAGATCTGAATATCTGGAATGAGCGCCCAGCGTAGTGGCGAGATGAACAAGACAAAGCTGTTTGTAAAGATACTTCGCTCAGCAATGACTCCAACTGGTCGCCTAAAGTGCAAAGGGGGATTGGAGGAAGAAACCACTGAATGCAAAAATCTGATATTTTATGAATTGTGTAGAAAAAGAAAGCTGTAAATGTGTCTCACCTAACTGGGAATGCTTGAAGACAGTAACAACATGTCTGACAAAAACACTGAGCTGATCAGCACTTTTGATGTTCGGGTTCTTTGGAGAGACATCTTCATAGTTCCATAATGGACCACGTTTCCTAGAAGCCCAAAAAAATTCACTTATTTTGGCAAAAATCTTTTTGTAATTGAATGTCGAGAATAACAACACAGAGTTTAGACAAATATTTATTTATTCCATCAGTACAATATAACAGAAAAAAAACAGTCACATCATTTCTGGTCACACCACACATGGTCAGCAAACCAGACTTTGATAGCTTTAAGTCACTAAGGTTAAAACAAACCCAAACTCAAAACCATGCATTGATAAAATACCAAATCCGTTCAGACATTGCTGAAGGCATGGAATCAAATAGCAAAGATAAGTGAAATACAATTTGATTTGTGTTCTTAGCGTGCATTCATCAAAATAGTTTTCTGACCTTGTTGTAATGAATTCGATGAGAGCTTTGACTTTCTCGTCCTGTTCGGCGGTAGCATTTACTTCACTGAGGAATGAAGGAGACAGTTGGGACAGAGCTCCTGATCCTGCCCCAAGACTGATGCTGGAGGAAGTGGAACTGGCACTGAGACCAGAGTCTGTCATCGGTGATGGGTGACAGTCCACTGGTACCTGCTCCTGCACTCCTGTAGATCAGAACAGCCTTTAACGGTCGTACCAGATATAATAGAGTAGTGTTAGAAATCCCTTTAGTGTTAATTTGGATTTATTTTTAAGTATAGTCAAATAATCATGTTGTTGATTGTGTCTAGCTTTGGCTAACTTAGCTAAATGGAGTAGAAAAAACAGAAAATATATGAAACACATGGTGTTGTGACTTCTTAGACTTACAGTTACCTAATACTCTAGTACCCACTGGTACCTTTCGTTCATTCTCATTACTTTTTGATTGTAGTAGTAGGAAAAGTAGGGTAGGTACACTGGAATTTATTTATGAACACTTAAAGGGCACCATGTAGTTTTTGCTCTTTCTAATTTGTAATGTTCATATATTTACAATTTTAAAAACTAGTGGTATCCAGTGTCTTATCTGCATGTCAATCCAACACACATGTAGCTACTCCTAAAACCCTGATTATCAATTTACAACAGCTGCTGGGGTTTAGATGGAGACCAAAACAGCTCTATTTTCCCAAAGAGACACATGTGATGCAAATTCTGCTTTCTTTTTGGATTTTTGGCTTGAAGAACTAATTAATAATCAATAGGTACTCCTATTCTGATCAGAAAAGGCCAAATATTATTTGTACATGTGTCAGGGAAACTCATGTTACACTATGTTTCTAAAAATGTTCTTATAAAACATAATAAGCAAAGTCATGATCAATCAAGGTTTAATCTCTACTGCCACCATGTGTTTCACACCGGTAGTGAAACTTTTACATTCACAGAACTTGAGAGCCAAGAGTTTTTCTCTAACTTAGGCACCATCTTTTCTTATTAACATGCACATAATACACTATTGACAATATAAAATTAAAGTTAAGGCTACGGTGTTCAATGATGGATGGATCAAATGCAGTGTGCCAGGCCCCCATCAAACCCACAACTTTCTTGCTGTAAGGCCTGAACAATAGTCAGCCACAATGTTTGTGAAAGTGGGGTGAGTGGGGCCCACTCAGCCACCAGGAGACAGAGCATTAAAGCCTTGACTCACAATGTTTCATGAGCTTGTGCCCACGTATCAAGACCTTTCGAGTGAATATAGTCTACCATCTGCTTGTAGTCATGGAAATGTACATGAGGTAGTATCACAATACCAATTGGCAAACTAATTATACTCCATGCCAATTTTGATACTTTAGTGTTTATTTACACTCTATTGTCCAAAAAATAGCTTTCATAATTTTTAACTTAAAATAATTATTACTTTATGAAGCACAAAATCCTCTGATATTGTTTAAAACTGATACTAGTTTTTGATACAAGTTTTAGTATTGAATGGCTTAATCTGATTGTCAATACTTTTGACCACCCCAACTTGAGGTGCCTTGAGCGTATACACACAACCAGGACAATACGCTATAGCTCCAGAATGTTTTTTCCTTCTCTGTGTCAAGATTATGTAGATCAGGTGGTGTGAGTGCTGGACCCTTACTTGGCTTATGTCATGGATGCAGTTTATCAGCGTTCATTGGGAGAAATATTGTTAATCAAATACCAAACCATGGTTATTCTGGTAACGGATCAAACCTGATTCTAGTTTTATTTTCACAGTAAGTTAAAGTACCTGTGAGGTTGTGTTCTGGTGTGGCAGGTTTCACAGTCAAAACTCGGGGCTCGTTAAACTCTCGGTTTCGCAGAAGCACCATCGCCACAGACTGGACGCTGCTGTTTGCACCCTGGACCACGAGAAGATGGAGAAGCAGACGCTTGCAGTGCTCATAGACTTCTGGGTGCTGATGATCAAAACCTGTGTGAAAATTAAGAGAATAGAAAATGACCACATTGAGGAAAAACAATAGTATCACAATAAGTGATACTAAAATTTACCAATAAATATTGCGTGAAGCAAAAGGTGCAGGTAGGCACTCCATTCTACTTTGACACCATGGTCAACAATGAGGTCCGTCAGTAGGATGACTGCGATGTTACATCTAGGAAAAGAAAGACAGTTTAGTATGTCCTTTGCGTTAAAACTGGACTAACCTGAAATAACTAGCTAATAACCAACCTGTGTAACGTCACTGCAGGTGTGTTTGTCTCTGGGAGATAGTCGACCAAAGGAGACCAGCAGCCCCCCGTGGGAGGAAAGGGAAGAGGCTCCGGCTGGTTGCGCTCCATCACTTTCAAACGCCAGTTAGCATAAACTGGCATTGAGTCACCTAGAGAATAATTTACATATTAGTGTTTTTATACTTTTTGGCCTGAAGGTGTTATGAATCAGGGCAGCTAGCAGTGTGACTGAGTGAAGTATGAGGAGCAGCATTGAGCCAACGGTTCACATGAAGTGTGACAAAATCCTTACTCTTCTCTTCGTCATAAGAGCCTCCAGAGCTGCTGCTGTAACGAGACTCCAGACGGTGGTGCTGTCGAGTCAGGTTACTGTTCAGACCTCCATACATTTCCAGGTGGCTGTAACTACAAACACAACACAAAATAAGATTTGGGTTTACATTTAATTCAATATTATTACATGACTGGTTCTATGTTGCACTTTGCACTACACAACCAAAACTTAGTACAGTATCACAGTTCAGTTACAATCTATACAATGTACAAGATGAAAGCATTTCAAGAGCTTACAAAACCTTTTTTTTGACATGCATATGGCTCGAACAAATATTTTTTTATGAATTGAGACAGTGGGGGCTGCTCAGTTAACTCCAACATTGCTTTTCTCGATTATTTCCAGAATAAATATTGCTGAATTGACTTATAGGACAACAGTTTAACTTTTTAAATTGCAGGGGGACAGAAATGCAAATAGTAGTTTTCAAATTGCTTGTACCTATCCTCCATATTTGAGTCCTTTATCTTGCTGTCATGATGCCCATCGGTTCCGGGCACCATTGTATTGCTGCTGGATGTTGTTCCTGAAATCATGCAGGTGACAGACTCAACATGAGAAATGCATACATTGAAATATTTGTAAGAGGAAGTGCACCACCGACTAACCTGAGGTGACTGAGGGGATCTTGTAACTGGCGGTGATGCGGTAGTATGGAGGATTGTCCATGTGAGTGACAGCTGAGCTAACTGGCTCCATTAAGTCCAGTTCACTCATCAACTCCTCCAGCAACTGCATAGTTTTATCTCTACCCAAGTAAACTACCACACGCTTAACCTGAGTGAACAGGGTAGGTGGATTAGTATAGCCAAAGGTGAGAAAGTAGCCAAAAATATACAGGACTACATCTCCTTCTACTCAAATGACACTTATACCTGCTCAAGTAAAAACAGAACACTTGTCCTATTGTTAGAATTACAAAGAGACACATTTCATGGTGTAAAAGGGATGGGACTTACATAGGGCAACAGACTGGGGTCGCTGCTGACTCCTGAAATACTAATGAGGAAGTGCAGGATAATTTTGAGGTTCTTTGGCCAACTGTCTGCTAATGTGGTCCATACATTCTCAATCTCCGACCAAGCAAACTCGTCTCCATACTGTAAAAGATAAATGTATAAGCGTCAAGACCACCAACAGCACAGGCTCCACTTGATGATTGATTCCTTGCGACGATGCGACGCCTTTCTCAAATGATCCATCACTGAAATCAATGGCGTTTACCTTGGCGGTCATGAACATGAGGTTGTTGAGCACCATGGCGGTGGCGCGCGGTGAGCCCCAGCCCTCTCCATGGAGCCAGCGCCGGCTGTTCACCATCATGATCTCTGGGTCCTGAACTTCCTCGTCCTCCTCTCCACTCCCACAATCCTCAGAACGCTGTGATGTGGGCTTGAAATCAACCAGCTCCACGTTGTTCATCCAAGGCAGGAGATAGTGTAACATCACCTGGCGGCCACCAGGATGCGCTGTCTGGATACGCTGGCTCACTTCTGCAAAGCAGGAAGAGACATTAGATTAGAATAAAAGAGAGAGTGAGAGGACATTGAGAAGGAAATCTTTAGTTTGATTTATTAAACAGTTTAAGCATTATTAACAAAAGTTATCAATACAATATTTTCTTAAACACATTTCATTTCTACGTCATGCTAAAGTTGTAAATCTAAAACTTGCAAAACAAACCTGAGAAGATTGGTAGGGTGAGCTCTGGGTATGTCCTTGCGAGCTCCTCAGACAGCTGGTAATAAGACACAGAGTAAAGGTGTGGCAGCGCTGATGGATGTGTCAAGATGCCATCTGCTCGCTGGATCTCCAACTTGTGGGCGTAACGGAAAAGCTTGGGCTCCAAAATCTGTCAAAAAATGTTTAATGAAGGTGGCTAAAAGGTGAAATTGAATCTGTATAAACACAGAAACCAACACACACCTGTAACAGCTGCATGGCCACCTCATAGATGTCCCTGGAAGAATCTGCTGACTTGAACAGAATTAAGTTGAGCAGCACCACAGTGTCAAATTGGTAATCCCTGAAAAATGAAGTGAAATGATCAAAAAGGGCAAAGGATAAATAAACAATACATAATCATATATAGTGTTTCCAATTAACGGATATTGCAGATTTAACATACAGTACATACAGTCGTGAAACAAAACAAGAAATATAATTAATCAAAAACAGGTTGTAAATGTGCTCGTCATCATCCTTTGACAATATGGTTATAGGTTAGGGGTAGACTAAAATGGTTGAAATAAACCAATATAGGTTTCCATACATTATCCAACTTATGGGGAGTCAAAGTGCAATACACCTATTAACTTCATTGAACAAGCTGAAGTACCTGCTGTGAAAGACGTTGGCGATGGCCTTGAAACAGCCAGCAGCTACTCGGCGCGAGCCGGTGTAACAGCGATCCACAGCCCAGAACATCAGGTTACTCTGATCTGGGTTCAGCTCCAGCAGCAGCATGACTGCCTCACATCCCAACTGGTGAACCTAAAAAGAACAGGCATGTTTCAAACAACTGCAGGAGTAAGTAAATAAAAAGCAACTGGATATGCCTTACCTTTTTGTCCTGAGAATCCAGGATATTATCGAGCCACTTGTAGAGGTAGCCATCAGATGAGAGGCCCACATTGTCTGCTACAGGCCCACAACATAATACTGCTGACATGGCCTAAATCCCAAACAAACACTCGAGTCACCTGCAGCATCTTTTGTTGATGAGTATCACTACTAAATACAGCCGTTTATGGTCTTTACCTTTAGTGCACAGTACTGGTGGCGGTTGATCTGCATATTTCTGTCACTGTAACGATCCAGAGGAGTAAACATGATGCTGAAGGGTCCTGCCCAATGACTGAACAACATGAAAAGACTGTGTCTAAGAGACTGCTGAGGGAAGATAGTCCTCCTTTGGTGAACTGAAAAAAGGAAAATATACAGACAGATTCCAGCAGTAATTGAATTAATGCTCTTGATGCTACCTGGTACATTCTGGATGATATTTGCCACGAGTGCACTGAAGTGACACCGGATGTCCTTCAATGTGTCTGAGTCCTTGTCGTTTTCCGCCTCGAGCAGTTGCCGTGTCAGATCAACATACTCTAGCAGCGTGCTGTTCAGTGAGTGGCTCTCTCCGTCCAAGCCTCCACTGGCTCTACCCAAACCAATTAAAAGGTTACTATATTTAATCACAATCAACAAATTGACAGTGATTCATTGTGCCACTATATTGCACATACATCTGACTGATGACACCAGCATCTGCCAGAAGCTCAAATATCCGGACCAGCTGGACCCTCAGGATGTCACGGCGCCTGCGCCGTTTCACGTTCTGAAATTGACAAATATTTAACATCACTTCAAGAAAACAAGTGAATAGATGATAATGATAATTATGACACTTGTCAGGATGGCTCTTATGAGGATATAGAGGAACAAAGTTGAACAGAAGCCGCTTCCAGTGCAGACCCAGGTGCAGGTTTATTTACATATTTACATTTGGGGTTAAAATCAGCCCAGCACGTCATCCAACACTCCTCCTGCTCAGAGTTAATGGGCTGCTTATATAGCAGGTGACAGTAATTAGGCAACACCAACTACAGCCCATTTGTTCTAAGCCTTTACTAACTTTAAAAGATAAAAACCAGGACACCCCTCCCCTCTGCATCCTCTCTGCAGAGTGGATGCACCCGGTACCCTCTTTAGGTGCTCCGGCTCCCTTGGGACTCTTTTGGCCGGAACACCTAAAGAAGGCAGACAAACAAGAGAGCAAAAGGTAAGTATAGTTACATGTTGTACATTTACTTAATTTCCTTCACTTACCCCCTTTACTTTACAGGTCTGCACCTTCACATAAAAATGTATTCCAGATTAAAGCCAATCATATTAACCAAATAATGAATGTTGAATTGATAAATATCTCCACATTCTTTAAAGATGCATTCAAGGCATAGCTGAGCTTTCAATATCATCCTCCAGACGGTTTTCAGGAGATTCAAAATCAATTGCTTTGGAGGAATTCTAATGTTCTAATCCAAGGGCGACCTTTTCTATGGGAATCATGTTTGAATAATGGAGTTATGTTTATCAATGATCTAATGGACACATCCGGAACCTTTTTGTCTTATTCTAATTTTTGTACAAACTATGGATATTGTTTGTACATTTCAGGCTTCAAACATGAAGATATAAAATTCATTTTTTCTCATGAATCAACAACAAGTGGGACACAATCGTGAAGTGGAACGAAATGTATTGGATAATTTAAACTTTAACATATAAAAAAACTGAAAAGTGGGGCGTGCAATATTATTCAGCCCCTTTACTTTCAGAGCAGCAAACTCACTCCAGAAGTTCAGTGAGGATCTTTGAATGATCCAATGTTGTCCTAAATGACTGATGATGATAAATAGAATGCACCTGTGTATAATCAAGTCTCCGTATAAATGCACCTGCTCTTTGATAGTCTCAGGGTTCTGTTTAAAGCGCAGAGAGAACCATGAAGACAAAGGAACACACCAGGCAGGTCCGAGATACTGTTGTGGAGAAGTTTAAAGCCGGATTTGGATACAAAAAGATTTCCCAAGCTTGAAACATCTCAAGGAGCACTGTGCAAGCAATTATATTGAAATGGAAGGAGTATCAGACCACTGCAAATCTACCAAGACCCGGCCGTCCCTCCAAACTTTCATCTCAAACAAGGAGAAGACTGATCAGAGATGCAGCCAAGAGGCCCATGATCACTCTGGATGAACAGCAGATAACTACAGCTGAGGTGGGAGAGTCTGTCCATAGGACAACAATCAGTCGTGCACTGCACAAATCTGGCCTTTATGGAAGAGTGGCAAGAAGAAAGCCATTTCTCAAAGATATCCATAAAAAGTATTGTTTAAAGTTTGCCACAAGCCACCTGGGAGACACACCAAACAAACGCTCTCCATCCAACCTCACTGAGCTCGAGCTGTTTTACAAGCAAGAATGGGCAAGAATTCCAGTCTCTCAATGTGCAAAAGTATTAGCGCAAGGGGGCCGAATAATATTGCACGCCCCACTTTTCAGTTTTTTATTTGTTAAAAAAAGTTTATTGGATAATTTAAATTTCGTTCCACTTCACGATTGTCTCCCACTTGTTTTTGATTCTTGACAAAAAATATTTTTTTTATATCATTTCGCCACATTTCATGTTTGAAGCCTGAAATGTGGTGAAATGTTGAAAGGTTCAAGGGGGCCGAATACTTTCGCAAGGCACTGTATGTACAAGTATAATGTGTGTGTGTCTGGAACAGCCTTCTACCCTCACAGAATCTGCACTGCATGGGAAGATGAATTGAATTGTCCTGTTTTATGGAAACATTTTTTCCAAAATATATACAAAACTGCCATAGATTCTTACTCTAGGGTTTTCCAAATAAAGCTATTCTATAAAATTACAGCAACAAGAAAACACCTGAATTTTTGTGAGATCATTAAAAGCCCCATGTGTAGATTCTGTGAAGAGGAGGAGGAAGACCTAATGCATCTATTTTATTTTTGCCCATATGTTTCATATGTTTCATTGGACCATCGTCTGGACGATGGTCCAAAGATGGTTGTGTGGATTAGGGATCGAGATTGACATCAATCCCATGAATATAATGTTGGGAATCTTGGACAGCAGCTCAACGAATGTAGAGAATGTAATCATCCTGATGGGTAAAATTGTTATCTTTAAATGTAAAACCAATGCAGGACTCTGTTTGAATAACTTTGAAACAACAATATGTAATGGAAAAAATCATAGCTTCAAACACAAAAAGGATAATTGTGCACGAAAAAAAATGGAACATGTTGAAATGGGACTGATGTCCCATAGAAAATGGGAAATGTGAGAATGGATAAGTGGATGAAGGCCTCGGGGACTAGTGTGTGTGTTTGGTCTCTATGTTTTTTATTTTGGTTTGTTTTTCTTATTTTTTGTTGTTTATTTTAGTTATATATATATTTTTTTTGTCTTGCCTGTTAGTTATGCATCTGTCGGCGGGCTTGTGTATTTTGTTTTGAGGTTGCCTGGTGGGTGGGATTTGTCATTGCGTTATGTTGTGTTGTGTGTCTTGTGTGTACATGTCTGGTGAGTGTCTGAAAAAAATAAAAAATGTTTTATCTTTAATAAATATTTGAGTCTGTCTAATTCCCACACCTGTGAACCAGTGACGTGCGGTGAGGTTTGTGATAGTGGAGGCACTGACTTATCCTCAATCAAATCATCCATTTTCCAGCAAAAGAAATAGCACAGATAGGACTGATTGTTAGCAACTCGGTTATGAACTTCTTGTTCACTATCGGCCCTATTGGTGAGGCACAGATACTGCCTGCCTCAAGGCAAGCTTTTCCCCTGTGCATTCTTCTCCGGTCAAAAGACTTAAACTTAATATAAATAGTACACACATACGTGCAATACATTACTAAACACTATGACAAGGTTAACAAATGTTTTCAAACCAGGATATTAGAAACAAACAGCGATATATCAACCAGCACGAGCTGAGTGCACTCGCACAGTGAGGGAACAAGCGATCTGGGTTGAGACACGCAGGAGCGCTGCCTCACCTCTGTTTGAAAAGGAAAAATAGGATTTCAGTGATTTTGACTCCTAAAATGATCAAAACTGGTCAGAGCCGTGCCGGATAATACATTAAAAGCATAGAACAGTGGGAAACAATTATAAATTACGACTAAAATTAAAATTAAAATTCAATGATGGCAGAGGAGGCGCTCCCCTGACTGCATGTCATTACTGTGAACACCTATTAATGGACTCTTCTCCATTACAATTATAAAGTAGACTTACTTCAGGGCGTCGATCTAAAGCGTCTTTTATGATTGGATTCAGCTCTTCCAATAAATCTCTAAAAGACAATGAAAGTTTCAGTTCAAATAATACCATATCCATTATATAATCCGCTTCCTTGGATTTACCTGAATACGATGGGGTTGGTCCTGCCAAGCCCCAATACCAGAGACTCTGTGAGTTCCATGCTCTCATACCGCATCATGGGAACTATGTGCTTAAATAGGGAGGAGGGGGACGGAGTGCCAACAATCTGCAGTTAAAAATACAACAGAGGTCAAGTATAGAAACATGGTCTAGAAGTGGCACAATCATCACATTTTAAAACCTTTGAGTCGTAGCTGAAGCCGCTGTCCGGTGTGGACGCCAGCGTCTCAGGCGGGGAGCAGCGGACGGATCCGGAACTGGAGGAGGAGGAGCTGATGGAGCAGGAGGAGGCAGAGCTGCAGCAGAGGATCAGGTAGTTCCTCCACAGACCCATGAACGAGTCGCTGCTGTTGAGAGTGTTTACCTTCTTTGCATTAATGGGGCTGCTACACACCAGAAGAAGGAAGTCAGACAAGTATTTTGAAAAACATGCAGAAAAATGAAATATAAATACATACTTTATGTCTAATTGTGGTGACAGCAGCTGAAGACGTGTGTATGCAAACATCCATGCATAGTTGAGGGCAGTGGGACAGTGTTTGGGCAGGTGCTCCTGTCGCAAGTAGCTGGAGAAACTGATAACCCAGGGGTCCAGACCCTGAGTGACATGAGCAAACACCCAAATGTGGGAGGGGCTGATCACATCAAACTGGTGGCTGATGGGAGATGAAGTCCACTCTGCTAGAGCCTGTAGATCAATTCCACTAGGGCAGTACAGGAGATTTGTCTGAGGAGATACACCAAGATAAGGATTTTGAAGGAAAGTAAAAAAAAAAAAAGTATAATCTAAGTAGATGTACCTGATCAGCTCCTGTCAGGTGAATGAAACTCTCCAACACTGGAGCGCTCAGTCGGTCCATTACATCAATGGCTAGCTCCTCATCTCCCTAGATGAAATGTATGGTGTAAAAAAAAAAAGTATGGTCAGTATAACATTCCTTCATATTGTAATGTTACTCACCAAGTTAAGTACAATACACACCTTGCTGATCCCCAGTGCCGTGTGCAGTGCTCGGACTTCTCTAAGAACATTTACGGCCAGTCGTCGCGTGGCTGGTCTGCAACTACATAGGACCACCAGTGCCAGCCCCTCCACCACATGCAACACTCCCAGAGGGTTGCTACGGTCCAGAGAGAGGGAGCGTCTGTTGCCTGAGCTCTGTTAAAGACATTTAAGAATGTTATTACTGTTATCGCTCTAAACAAGTTAAAACACGCTCGTCAGAAATTGCGTTTGTTATTATTTTATTTATTTATTTATTTGAGAAAGGGGGAACAATACATATTAATGAACATTTTCACAAATGTAAATATGCCAGATCATAGTCTTAGGCTAATTTCCATCTGCAGACCCCCTGGCAGGTTGGTGTTACACACAAGTTAGTAAAAACAAACAGACACTATTTATATACAGAGAGACAGGGACAGGAACAGTGATCGCATCATGTTAGAACAAGCAGCAAGCATGCAAGAGTAGACAGTAAAGCACAATGTAGAAAACAGTAACAGAAACACATAATCTGTATTGCACAAACCAGAGTATTGCACATGCCCTGACTGTCCTGATATTACACAGACCCATATTGCACCATTCTGTATTGCACTGACCCGTATTGCACCACTCTATATTGCACTGACCCGTATTGCACCACTCTATATTGCACTAACCCGTATTGCACCACTCTATATTGCACTAACCCTCATAACATTAACCCGTAATGGACCACTCCTTATTGCACTGACCCACCTTGTATAGACCTGTATTGCACAGCCCACATTACAATGATAACCGTTTCCCTTTTTTTGCACTGCACCAGCTCTATCTAAACATGATCACATGTTTGAGTGTCCCTCAGCCACATTTTTAAATGACTCCTGAAGGTAGGCAGACTGGTTCTTTCCCTCACTGACACCGGAATACTATTCCAGAAGCTCACTCCCTGATATGACAGGACGTTCTGTGAGAAAGCGGTCCGCCTAAATGCCAGTTCACAGTCGCCTCTCGCAGTGGTTCGAGTCACTCGAGAACTGGCAGTACTACTAGACTTTGGTTTAATAAAATCGCTCATTAGGCATGCTGATTTAAACAATTTGAAATTATCAAAATTTAATAATTTTGTATTTGTCTAAGATTTGACAATGATGGTATGACGAAGGCTTCTAGTCTAATATTTTCAAAGCTCTTTTGTAACAAACAATTCAATTGGCCCAATGGCAGCATGACTCGTATAAGACCAGCTTGTGATACAGTACTCAATATGAGCCAGTATCATAGAGTGCATGAATGTAATTGCTGCTGTATCCGTTAATGATGTCCGGATATGTCTGAAGTTCCGTAAATTAACATTTACAGTTTTCACTATTTTTTTCATTTGATTTTTGAAGGATAATTTCGAGTCTATTAGCACTCCCAAATACTTAAATTCCTCAACATGTATTAATTATTTTCCACTCAAGCAAACTTTTACTGTGGCCACAGGTGTTTTAGGTTTAGTAAAAAACATTGATAGACTTTTTAACATTAAGACACAAGCAAGACTCATTCAGCCACTTTTGTATATCATTCAAGGCTAATGAGAGCTGATATGCTGCATCATCAGCACTTTTGGCTTGTGTAAAAATTACCGTATCGTTGGCATACATAATCGTGTCCACATTTTGGCACACATTGGGCAAGTTATTTACATAAAGGGAAAATAGGAGGGGACCCAAAATTGATCCCTGAGGGACACCTTGCGTATAGTGAAGATAGGGTGACTTACTATTCTTTATTTGCACGGTTTGTTTTCTGTCTGATAAATAAGATTGTATCCATTTAATGGTTTGATTGCTAAACTTAAAAGCTCACAGTCGAGACAAGAGCTTAAGGTGATTCACTGTATCAAACGCACGCTTAAAGTAAATAAAAACAGTCCCTACATAACCGTTTTTGTCTAAATAAGACTTCACCTTCTCAACAAAGACGCAGACAGCCATTTCAGTCGAGTGTTGTGTGCCACTAAAAATGGTTCCTGCTCAAAAAATTATTTTAACATCCCTACAATAAGTAAATTAGAGACATACTTTGACCTGAGCTTCATGTGTCTTGTTGCCGCACTGCACTGCTTGTTTCCACTGGCTGATGAGCTGTAGGAGCATCTTCACAGCATTGTCCAACAGAGAGGGATGGACGTCAGTCACCTCCCGGACAATAAAGTAAGCAAACCCTGAGAGTACGTCCTCACGCCATTCTGGAAAGTCAACCATGAGCGCTTGCAGTGTGGTGAAAGCAAGACCACGCAGCTCCTCGTCCATGTGAATAGTCAACCTGTAAGAGACCAGGCCATTATACATTTACATTATAGAGCCAATAGAGAAGAGAGTTTATTTCAACGTGGATATTACTTTGCGAGGAGCTCGATGAGGTCTTGTCTACTCATGCCATCAGGTATTAGTCGAGGAATGGCAGCCACACAAGTACGAAACAAGTCAATCTTTGGTTTTCTCTCTCCCCTAAAAAACATGAATCACTATAATAACTACAACAAAACCAAACAATCCAATTCAACATGGCTTGATAGGTTGGGTTTATACGGCACGACCTTGAGGTGGAGGGCATGGTATACCTTCCACATGAAACATTAACAACAGAAAGTTTACCTTCGATTTTAAGGGTTCATATTTATTTGGGATAACAATATCAACTCATATCATTAGAAATGTATACATCTGTATTTGAATAAGGACAATATATCCATATTGTACTCGTCTTTAACTCCTACATACGTGATCATGTCCTCCGGCTCCTTGTTGGACAGCTGGACACTGGTCATACTCATCGAGCGTCCCACTTCTTTGTCCAGATGTCTCAAGATGTTGTCCAAGGCTTTTCTGACTTGAGGATAGTAGAGTGACATTCCTGCAAAGATACATTGGTTATCAAACTTTGTCATGAGAAAATAAAAACATAGTCATCTTTCTGCATACCTATAACCTTTGCTTCTTCATCTGTGAGTGTGGTGTTGAGAAAAATCTTCTTAACCCGCAGCGTGTTGCCCGACGGCATGATGATCCCAGTCGTGGGCATCGGGGGCTCTCCATCTTTCTGCTGTAAACTGTCTGCTATGACCAAGAAGGCTCGCAAACCAATATTCATTCTCTGCAAGACATAATTTAAGTAAGGGATGAAAAGACGTAAATGCAAGATATGTAAATTTGAAATGTTTAAATCTTTACCTCTGGATTGATGGCAAAGGTTTTGTGAGACTTGCCAACACAAAGGAGATCATAGATAATCTCCTTCATAGCAAAGTCCAGTCTTTCCTGTGTTAAGCCAAAATAAATCACAATATTGGTGCAGAGAAAACACAGCAGGCTGAAACTACACAGTTTAAATTTAATCTCAATAAAAAAGCTGCCGTATATGCAGCGTCCAGTCCTCATGTCTCTGCACTGGCTTCCTGTGGCTCAGAATAGATATAGACTTTAAAGCAGCTCTGCTTGTGTACAAGTCTCTCCATGTTCTTGCACCAAAGTACATCAGTGACATGTTGGTGCTGTATGAGCCAAGTCGGACTCTGAGGAGCGAAGAGACTGGCCCCCTGCTGGTGCCCAGAGTCAGGAGCAGGCATGGGTTTCAGGTGTATGCCCCAAAAATTCTGATGATGGAGGTCTCATCTTTTAATGGTTTAAGTCTACGCTGAAAACCGTTCTTTTTAGCTTTGCATACGACTGTGTTTTATATATTGAGTTTTTATACAGTTCTAATGCTGACATTCAGTCTGAAATGCACTTTGGGTTGCACTGCATGAATTGTTATTGCTTTATAAATAAACTTGAAATTTGATTGAAGAAAATAGTTATACCATACACAAACCTGAGCTATAAATTGGATGATCTTGACAAAAATATTGAGGGGTGTGTCTCTGGGTACCACACTGCGGGATCCTTTGGGGAAAAGTGCTGAAACGATGCTGAGGAGTCGACTGAAGGAAGTGAAGTAAATGTTTAATGAGAATGTAATAAACACCTATCCGTCACTAGATACTTGTAGTCACTAATAAAAATCTAACGCACCTCTGTGTGACTGTGTTGCTCTCACACTTGATCCTGATGATGTAAACCCACAGCAGTCTGTAGAGGGACTCTAGTGCTACACGGGACATTTTTGGGTCTTTGTTCTGTACACGAGAAAAACATATTTGTGAGAAGTTGATTTGGGAACGAGGACCAATACTCACCTGTATTATAATAACATTGCATAAACATTATTTATTGTAACAAATGCAGAACTAAAAAAGGCCAAAGTAAAGCCTAAAATATATACATTTGCACAAAAAGGTTATAAATACAAGTTTTTTTTTGACCAAAAAAATAGTATGTTGTGTTTTAAATGTGTGTATGTACATAAATGGTATCCTCGTATCCATCGGAGTTGAAACAAAATCATGTGTGAGGTGCTTCTGGTGCACCTCACTGTACAAAATCAATGCAAAACATGAGTGATGAAACAAATTTAAAAGGCAAGTCAAAATAACTAAATGTCAACACGGATCCAACAGCGGAGTATTGAAGGAAGTCGCATTTGTAAATGACCAAGCAGCCTTCTCGCACACCACATTACAACAGCACCAATCTCTAGAGCCAATCTATTCTTCCATTTTGTGTCCATATTAGCCTCCACTATATTATCATTTAAGAACTACAACATTGAGCATGAATACGATGCTTTTAACTACAACATTGCACATAAAGTACTATTCCTGTCTCATTAAAGGTGCACTTTGTAACTTCACTGATTGAGGTCATCTATCAAACGAGCAGTTCTTATTTCTCCCTCACCCTGAAGACAAGCAGGTTATGTGAAGTCTTAAAATCACCAAGAACATAATTACTGCGTGTTTAACAATTTACAGCAGTCCAATATTCTTCCTCACAAATGTGTCACATTTTAAAGACCTCGTTTTGCCGCAGTGCATACGCGCCGTTTAGGCAGTTCTTGAAGTTTTATAAGGGTTACATACATACGATTTTTTTTTGTGTGTGGATATCTTGGTAGCTTTTATTACTTGACAGTCAAAAAGTTTGTGGAAAATGGCACTGTGTACATCTCAATATGTAGCAAGCAACATGTACAGAATGCACCTTTAACACTACAGACAGAAGCCACTACTATTTTTCTCATCTAGCGACATAAGGTCCATCTAAAACGGATGTGTCACTCAAAGGAACCACTGAATATCCAAAATCAACCTGACTGAGCACAAAACTGCAGCAGTGTCACAAGTTTCTAAAGCCAGCATATTGTTTCCCCAACGCCAACAACTGCCAGTTCACCAGAGGAAGAGCAAGGCCGGCCCCCTTCTAAGACCATTAAAACAGCGGGGGGACAGCCAGGCACCTCACGGACTAAGAAAACTCACCTGCAACGTCTCAATCTGCTTTCGGATGCTGTTGTTAGAAGGCATCTGGAGCAAGTCAATGCAAGAAAAAAGATCAAATGACAGAAGACAAAGGACGTAGAGGGGTGGACAAAATGCAAGTTAAAAACAGACAAAAAAATAAAATAATTTGGCAGGATATGGCTAACTATTTTGGGAATTATTTGATTAACCGCATGAGTACGTTTAATCAGGTGGTTATATTAAAAAGTATGCCGGCAAATGAAAAAGACATACTGGGAAAAGAAGACAGAGGTAGGAAGAAGAAAAGAGAAAATGTGATGGAAAGGAAAAAAAATCAACCAAAACCAAAGCGCATATGCAACAGCACCAGTCCATTATGATCCACAAAGAATACCAAAATTGTTTAATTTTAACCATATGGGGGTGTAGCGCACATTTGATTTTTATTGACACTTTATTGAATTTAATGGAGTTTTCTGGTACCAAATGCCTATATTGTTTACAGAGTTAAGAAAATATCCTCCAACTGGTTAAAACTAAATCATCAATTATACCCGAGCTGCTGTAATCAAGCCTGTACACAACAACATGATTTCGATTTCACCACGAATTGTTTTAACAGTAAAAAAGCAGAAATGTCAGAGACCCATTCAGAAATGTTCATGAATCAACTTCATAATAGGCAAATTAATCCACCCAATGATGGAGGAACTGAAAGAAAAATCAATGCAGGATGGGAAGAAGGTCGTTAAGTCGCTCAGTCAATGGGTGATTCAATCAGTCAGTCTGGTTCATGATCAGGGAGAGAGCGGGAGAGGCTTGATCCGGTTTAAAAGGTGACGCAGACCGGAGGTGAACAGTACTTGAGATAACAACTCAAAACAATATTGCTATTCATTGTCTGGGGCAAAAGGCCATTGAGTAGGGCAAAATCTATTGTAAATGTATTATAGCACTATCAATCAATTAATGTAATACATTTGTTAAGCTTGAATGTGTCCCATAAACAATGACCAAAAATGCATACACATTATTACTTGGTATAGGAAAAGGTCATTCTAATAGGACCTCTCCCAGACAAGGAGACCGCAGACCAATTATTGCACATGTATTTTACTCTTATTTATATTTATGAATTTTATTTAGACTTAATCAAGGACACATTTGCAGATCCATAGCCAATAAAAAAGGTTTAGAAATGTAGAGATATTAAAAGTTCAGATTTATATTACTTTAAATGAAAATGGAATTTTCTGTAGCCTATAATATTGCATCCCAAGTAGAAGTTTTGAATAATGCCCTCTCTTGTACATCCATAAAGCTAAGGATGGGATTTACCCTCTTTAGACAGACAAAAACTCCTTTATGTCCTTATCTAATCAAGTGCTATTCCTGTCCAGATCTGGTGTTTTATAATCTTCGACAGAGCCATGGAAAACACCATTGGAAACCAAGCTTTGATTTGTGTTTCTTACTGTGTCATGGCAATAAATCACTAATTTTACACAAATTATAAACATACCTTCACAATGCAACTTTATAGCATTTTAAAGTTTCATAAGAGTCATAAGACCAACTGTTTCAAGTTGATTAGGAGTTGCTCTTTAAGTGTTATCATCCTCAGGTAACACTCAATACTAATGCATCTAGTTCTGTCACAATAATTTATTTTGATCATTGGCTCATATATTGATCCTGTGATAAATTAAGTGTGATAAACAGGAATATTTTAATATTTAACCACTGATGAACGTACAATACATTCAGTGGTATAAAGCAGGATCAAACCAGTATAAAACATATTTTTCAATACAAACATTTCATTAAAGAATATCCACTATTGGTTTCATCATTTTGAACCCCTCTCGAGCTCAAACTATTCTCTGAAATTTGAAAAGAACATTTACAAACAATAAAGATTGAGGCCCAAGATATATTGTCTTATCCGCCAGTTAGTGAACAGTCAATTTAGTAATTATTGTGACAAGCATAAATGCATCACTATTAAAACATATACAAAAGTACTGAACCCTTTGGGTCTGAATAATCAAAATGATGTCAGACAAAACTAATGTGTTGGAGATTTGTGTTTCTCAATTAAGCTATATTATAAATTGTTACAATATTATTTGAACTGAATGTTTTGAGTCACCTTGAGGTGGGAGAGACAATTTTGCAAGAAAATGTGCCAGTTGTTGAGAAAGAACGGCTTCTGACTGACACACAGCAAACAAGTCACCAGTGGATACAGTGCCTAAGGGGATAAAGAAAAACATAAGATAACAAATTAAAATACATTCAATACAACAAATGATTCAAAGTTTAAAGAGAAGGAAAGATAACAAATTCTACCAAGGAATGTTTCTTTCGAGAGCTAAGGTCAAACGTTGTCTGATAAAGCATCTCCACAAAGTTTTTCAGACATGGTACATTCACTTCATTTTTCACCGCCTGGGAATGAAAATCACACTTAAAATTGTCTACAGATTCATTACGATAAAATTTCAGCTGGATATGCATGATTTCTCACAGCAGCCACAGGGATGAGGATCTCGACAAAAAGACCGGCCAAAGCATGCTTTATGTCCTTATCCTTGACCTCCAGAAAATACTGGGCACACTCCTGAAAGAACAAATATACAGTTTATATTTGTGCCTCATACAATACATAATTACAATAACCAGAATAAAAAGAAATGCAAGAATATAAAAAACATGAAACAAAATGTGAATACCTGTGACAGAACACAAAGTTGTTTAAATGCTCAAGACATTCCGGCCTGTTAAAACCCTTATGTCAAATCTCTGAGACTAAGCAGTGCTGAGCCTGGGTAATATTGTAATGGAAGACTGGGAATTCCATAGCAGCTGCAAGTACAATAGTGGCTTACTACCACTGTGTATGAAGGGACGAATAGTGAACTGTATATGGCCTTGGGTGTCATGAAAGACGCAGCATTGTTTTCATGGCAATTATAGTAATGTTTCTACTCGGAATAACACAATTTCAACCATGTGACAGGCAGACGGGTCACCTTCGAATAAACTCCCACATATAGCTTAGAGCTTTCCTCCGATAGAAGGAAAGCTATAAGATATGAAGTCAATCTGAGAAACAAATAATGGACAGAAGCACCGCTCCAAATTTATCAGCTAAAATTGGCAACTATTTTGAATATTTAAACAGTCCCACATCTGATTTATTAGCAACTTATTTTGGTATATCATAAGATTGTTTAAAATCAATGTGATACTCCATGGTGTCAATCATATGGTAACTAAAACAAAAACAAACTTTACCTGCATGAACTGAAAGGATGCTTCAAAATCCTCCACAGGGTACATTTTCACCCGGAAGAACTTCATGCCCATGATGAGAGTGATGATGCTTTGAACGATGTACGGGCTCTGCTCCTTCTGCCTCAGCTCCTTCAACTCTGTGATGAATTTCTTTCTAACTGCTTGAAACCTGGATAAAACAAAGCAAAGATGTGAAAGGATGCAATAGAGTGAGGAGACCAAAGCTTCCTAAATAAATACATGAACACACTATTTACTAGTGTGTAATTGTAAAACAATAAATATTCGTTTTTTTATAATCTATTTGTCTGCGTCTGGTGTCTGTGTAGATCAGTTAATGATGGACGGGTTAATTAAGTGACTTGTCATGCTCTTATGCATCACATTCAACTAGTTGTAGATGGAAGCATGCACTTACTTTGACTGTGTGAGAACTCCGATGACCTCTGCATACAAATCTGCGATGATGTGCACATTGCCAGTGTTGGGCCCACAGTAACTGTCGGAGGAGAAAAGAGTGACAAAGAGTACAGACATTGCCTCACACAATGTGTTTCTTATTTGCCACTGAGAAGTAATTCAATTATCGGATTTGTTTGCGCCATAACTAAAAATGTTAGGGCAAGAGAAATTTGGACAACATTTTGAAGGTGATCTGGCTCACTGCAGGATTTCTTAAAGAAATGTATTCCCACTTTCTCTGACTGGATGCAAGGACATGCATTCATGGTTACAATATGTAGACTTGTATAAGAGCACTTTGTGCCGAGTAGCCACAGCGTCAGAGCAGCAAGGCAACACACATAAAAGCCACCGTACGCCTCTTCCCTCTGCGTACGCACAGACCTGGCCTGTGACCCTACACTGAGTCGGAGTCAGACTCTGCATTTCGTTGCAGCAGTATACAGAAAGAGACTGACTTCTATGGTAATCAGAGCAAACAAGTTTTTTTCACATTTATTGTGGTCTGCATATTAACTGTGCAAAAGCTTTATCCTTGAAGATTCAGGACAGAGTATATATTATTACAGATATACTTATTCTCTGAATAGGCGACCTCTCACATGAATGATGATGAGCGCCCAGCTTAACTTAATACTTAATAATTTAAATGCAATAGACTAGAGCAGTGTCTACCACAGTGGGGGGTATTGCAGGGAGGCTGCGAGAGGTCATCCAATAAAATAAATGTTTTATATAATTATTGTATGTTAAATTAATAATACATAGTTTGTAATATTAAAATATTTGTGTTCATTATTTGTCTTGAATAATCAAATAGTAATCATTTTTGTATTACAAAATGGGGTGCGTCATTTACATGTTTGTAGCAGAGGCTATTTCCCCCAAATAAAATAACGAGAAGAGCCTTTTTTTAACGTCGTCTTCTTGGTTATTATTTCGGGGGGCCGCGTAGACCCGTCAGATTTTTAAGGGGGCCGCCGTGTTACTGACTTTGGGAATGGCTGGACTAGAGTAACAAAAAGCAAACATGATTGGTAATTTACATCTGAGGTTTGTTACTTTGAGTAAACTGAGAAAACACAAAAGTGAAACATTAAATATCGGAATACGTTATGGATTTAAATGAGTGTGCAAAATATTGCAACATTGAACAGAATACATTTTTTTTCCACACTGCAAAAAGATTTGCCAATGGGGCATGGTCTTATGAACTGCATAGTTTCCTCATTTCATGTTGGAAATGTTCATTTGAAAGCCAATCTGAGAACAATAAGTATTACTATTACAATAAGTAAAAGGTTACATACGGACACAATAGGATCTGAACAGCAGCTAAATCTGGAACTGTAACGCGAACAGGACTGGATAGGATTGTATTCAAATACAACATGAACATTCATGTATGTGGTCGTCTTCTAGGGTTAGTCTTTGTGTCACATTTGTTTAATAATACCCATCAACAAAAATAATAAAATATCAGAGCACTTACCCCTCTTTATGTTTAAAGTGCTTGAATGCCAGGTTCAGAACTTCATGTACTAAACCATCTGGCACAGGGTGAAGAGGAATCTGTGGCATAAACACAGAGTCATTAGTCTTATTTGAAGCGCTGATAAGCATTCTTGCTTTTTCTTAGCTCCCATTCATTACTTCACAACAACAGGAGCAAAGCCAAGGACAACTTAGCTCCAGTCTCCAAGGAACGCTCCAACTTGAAATGCATAGCTCGATTTGAACATTCAGACTCTGCTCAGTTGGATGTTTATGTTTTGTTTACGCTGAGGGTCCTGAGGGTATTGTGAGGGTCCTCACAATACCGGAAATGTATCTAATCCATAGATTGTACCAGAAATAATAAATATGGTCACTGTGGCAAGGGGGACAAATCACATGATACAACAATTCAAACCATACGCAAAATGTTGCTTTGTGTCCTTTCCCTTCCAGGCTTAGCAAATTAGTATGATGAGTATTCCTTTCTTTAGTATAATCTATCCATCCATCCATCCATTTTCTACCCTTTAATCCATTTCTGGGTCAGGGGGGTGGCAATCAGAGATGCCACCCAAGTCTCATAGCACCAGCCCCTCACTGATCCTCTGCAGGTGGACGGCTGCTCTCCGAGTGTGAGCATAGCCTTGATCTTTCAGTGGGGGCTTTGGGCAAAGTGGGGTTAAGTGTCTTGCCCAAGGACACAACGACAGCAGTCATCAGTGGGAGTCGGTGGAGAAGGTGCAGAGGTGGGAATTGAACCCACGACCTTCTGGCCTTAAGGCCAATGCTCTACCAACTGAGCTACTGTATAATCTAGTTTGGCCTAAATGGCATATTTACAATAGATAATAAATATTACATAAAACATAATTCTTGATCATTATAATCTTGTGGCTCAAGATTTCAACTACATAAACTACATAAAATGTGAAAGTGCTGTATCTTTAAAAGAACAGTCTTGCCACAGTGAAAATATGTAACTTAAAACCTGTGCATTTTGTGCTGATGTTTAGATGCATATATTGATCAGGCCGGACGTCAAGATTTATCTACAGCTCATTTTGCTCACCTGTTTTAGAACTTCAACAGAGACTAAACAAAATATGAAATCTATGGCCAAGTCTCTCCGCTCCAAAAGGTAATCTTTGTCTCGGTGCTGTTCATCTCTAAAAGAAGAAAACATTTTTAGTCAATATCCACAGATTGTGCTGAGATTGCATCCTAAAGCCTCACCCTTTGGACTTGGTGCTGGCACGAGGCCTGTACTCATAAGACTCGTCTTCAGTGCCGCTCTGCCGCCGGTACCAGTCAAACAGTGTGCGCAGAAGGGAGGGCAAACAGTGCTCTGCTATTGAGCTCATAGAGCTTATTAACTGTAAACAAGACACACATTTCAGCATTAACAAGCATGTCCAGAGTTGATAAGATTTCATTGCACACATTTTTCTGTCTGTTTTGCAATAAACTCGTGACAAATCAGGCTTTCAAACAGCCAGTTACTCTACAGTCATCTACTCCAGCCAGCAGCCGTACCTGGTGACTACATTTGATCTGTCAGGGGCTTCTCTGCATCACATGAAACGCAGATACATAAAACTTGCACGCGCATCAACTATTAAAGCAAAGCTGCAATGTGTTTAAAGAAGAAGGGAGGGTGAAGGATGTAAGGCAGGAGTTACGCAAGCGCTGCCTTTGCCCTTATGCTGCCAGACAGAGCCCGTCCTGAGCCCAATGCTGATATAGTGCCTGGGATGACACAGCAGTTCTCCGATCCTCTCACTTTTGCGCTCTCCAGACCCATTTGGACTGCCTCACTCACAAAGGGACAGCTGGATCTATAGCACCATCTCCTCATTGGCTTTGTGTTGTGCTGAACAAAGCAGTATGCAGCATGCAGCCCTTTTGTGTGGAGTTCTGTGTAACTACCACAAATGAGGGGCTGGGGACAGGACACTGAGAGATTGATTAAAGCAGCCAACTTGAATACCTCATACACAAAAAAAACACTCAATACATTATGTACACCCAAGTCAAATTTACCTGGTCAAATTGTGCATCTTCCCCTCTCTGAAGCGATCGGGAAAGGGGCTTCTCCTTTAAGGGGAAAAAAAGGGAAAAAAAGAATTTGGGTGATGGCCAATTCGTACTTCATGAATAACAAAATAAATATTGTATACAGTACATATACCAATCAGGATCACTTTCTCTTTATCATAGATAGAAAAAAAAATGAAGCGCCTTTGAGTGTCCAATAAACGCTGTTTAAAATAAATATATTATTTGTTTCATTTGATGTTTCAAGTGTCATTAGGTGTTTAATAACAAGTGTTTTGTAACTCATTTTAGCACTAAGGGCATAGTATTTTGACAGAAATAAATAAACCTTTTGCTCATGTTGCTACAGCAGTGCACTTTAAGAATGCAAACATATAGCACTTACGAGAGGTTCAGCCATGACCATCTCAATCTTCTTCTCCGCCAGCACCGCAAACTCGGCAAACAGACTCTTGATGACGAACTCGCCTGGTTTCAGCTCTGGGTCAATGGTGATGCTCGACATGACTGCAATGTGCTGCTTGTCCCAGGACAGAGGAGTGACTGAGGCGGGAGCACGTCGTCTACTGACGCTGCTGTTGACTGGAGTAGAGGCTGCAGAGACACAGGAAGAGTTCAGGATTACAACAGTGCGAGACCTGCACATTTACATATGGCACAACGCATTTGGTAGTCCATTCAAATCATGTAAGCAAAAATGGATGAGTTTACATTTGGTGCAAAGGAGGGCTGAGGAAAGAGTTTGGTTTCACTTAAAAGGAAAACATTTGTGTGATGTGATAACTAAACCCTGGATCTGGGGCATCCCGAACTGAGACAAGAGTTGAAGAAGTGCCAGCCTCACACCAACCCTTCACCTCGATCCCTCCCAGGAAAAAGGCCTCGTTCTGCTCCTTCCGTGTTGTCACAGAAACGCTCATACTCTTTGAATAGAGTACCAACAACAAGCATTTGAGCCGTTCCAAAGACTAGGTCAATTCCAGAGCAGTCAGTACAAGTTCAAACACTAAAAATATAATATTGAATATTTTCAATACCAGCAGCACAAACACCCTATATAAATAATTTGTATTCTAATATTGTGCAAGTGAAGAGAAGATTAGTTAGAGAAATCAAAAGTTCTTAATTGAAGGCCAAAAAGCAAATTAGGTTATCCAGTCTCCTTGTTTTTCCTGAATTAGTCCTTGTTGGTGCTTTGAAGTTTGATGATAGTTTGGAGTGAATCCTCTAGTGTAGAACTAGTTTCGTTAGTATTTATCATAGAAGCACTATGTGTCTACAAGCACAATGTGTTTCTGCAGGCATAAATTAAGTTATAGCTTTGTTTGTAGTTCAAACAAACCTATAAAAGGGACCTATTTCCGGTAACCTAGAGTTATGTATTGTATCAAAACGTGGGAAAAAAGCAAAAATTGTGGAAAAGCTCAACCACAAAAAAGAGATTTAGGATTTTTTTCTGAAAGACAAAGTACCAGCCAACTGTGAAAGTAATAGGTCTTTTTTTTAATTAAAAAAAAATAATAATCACAGTGGGGTGTGACTTTGCACATCTAGAGAGAAAGTTTAACCAAGTTACCATATTTGACATTTAGGGTGCTGCACCAAGACTGTTAGTTTTGAGCAATGCAAAACGTTTTGCAAAAAGAGAAATTTTGGTCTCATCTGACTACAGCTCCTTCTTCCAAATGTTGAACTTCTTGCGGCTTTATTCCAACACTGGCATTCTATTCATCACTTGTCCATAAAGGACAGATTTGTGTACGAGTAATATTTGAATACAGATTCTCACAGAAGTTCGCAGCTCCTCCAGAGTCATCCTGGGACACAACTTCATCCCTTGAACTTCATGATGCTGTATTACTGACCAATGCAGAAACATAGCTTTGAGGCCCAAGAGTAGATACAAGTTGTTTAAAAAAAAAACAATCATTTATCCTTTTTTCCCCTTTCCCGTTGTAAGTTTCTTTGAGGCCTTAATTATTTATTTATTTTAAATAAAAGACAATCACAGCCTATTTATTTATTTTAATTTTAAAGTGATTAATCCACAGGTCCCTGGATGTTATCGGACTGTCTTGGCTGACACGTCTCTGAAACATCGCGTGGGGATCGGGGGCGGTGCCATTGGGGTGGTGGTCCCTCTCTACAAGAAGGGTGACCGGAGGGTGTGTTCCAATTATTGTGGGATCACACTCCTCAGCCTCCCCGGTAAGGTCTACTCCAAGGTACTGGAGAGGAGACTACGACCGATGGTCGAATCTCAGATTCAGGAGGAGCAGTGTGGTTTTCGTCCCGGCACTGGACCTATACTCTCCATCGGATACTCCAGGGTTCATGGGAGTTCGCTTATGTGCTTCGTGGAATTGGAGAAGGCGTTTGACCGTATTCCCCGGAGTGTCCTTTGGGGGGGGGGGGGGGGTTCTCCGGGGTTCTCTGCTGAGGGCGGTTTGGTCCCTGTCTGACCAGGTAGGGGGAGCAGTCCTTCCTCAAGTGGAGGAGTTCAAGTATCCCAGGGTTCACAAGTGAGGGAAGGATGGAGCGTGAGATTGACAGGCGGATCAGATTGACAGCGTGTGCAGTGATGCGGTCGCTGTACCGGACCGTTGTGGTAAAGAGGGAACTGAGCCGAAAGGCAAAGCTCTCAATTTACCGGTCAATCCTTGTTCCCTTCCTCACCTATGGTCATGAGCTTTGGGTAATGACCGAAAGAACGAGAGTGTGGCTCCCTTAGAGATAGGGTGAGGAGCTTGGAGTAGAGCCGCTGCTTCTCCACGTCGAGAGGAACCAGTTGAGGTGGCTCGGGCATCTGTTCCGGATGTCTCCTGGACGCCTCCCTGGGGAGGTGTTCCGGGCACGTCCCGCCGGGAGGAGACCCCGGGGAAGACCCAGGACACGCTGGAGGGACTCAGTTGGCCTGGGAACCAAAAGTAAAACTGTTTGGTATAAACTCAACTCGTCGTGTGTGGAGGAAGCATAATACTGAGTTGCCTCCCAAGAACACCCTACCTACTGTGAAGCATGGGGGTGGAAACGTCATGCTTTGGGGCTGTTTTTCTGCTAAGGGGACAGGACGACTGATCCGTGTTAAGGGAAGAATGAATGGGGCCATGTATCGTGAGATTTTGAGCCAAAACATCAGTGAGAGCTTTGAAGATGAAACGTGGCTGGGTCTTCCAGCATGACGATGATCCCAAACACACCGCCCGGGCAACGAAGGAGTGGCTCCGTAAGAAGCATTTGAAAGTCCTGGAGTGGCCTAGCCAGTCTCCAGACCTCAACCCCATAGATAATCTGTGGAGGGAGTTGAAAGTCCCTGTTGCTCGGCGACAGCCTCAAAACATCACTGCTCTCGAAGATCTGCAGGAAGGAATGGGCCAAAATACCAGCTACTGCGTGTGCAAACCTGGTAAAGACCTATAGTGATCGTTTGACCTCTGTTATTACCAACAAAGGTTATATTACAAAGTATTGAGTTGATTTTTTGTTGTTATTGACCAAATACTTATTTTCCACCATAATTTAAGTGGGAGAACTTGCACAATCGATGGCTGACTAAATACTTTTTTGCCCCACTGTATATGATTAGATAATGATAGTTTTTCACACCTAATCCATGTAATAATGATTGCGGAGGAAATGATTACATTACACAAAAAATTCTAGAAAAGTAAATTTAATAGGTAACTTTAAATTACCGTGATTGGATATAGCTGATTAACAGGTTAAACTGTCTGACCTTGCTGTACTAGCTTTGAGATGATGAAACTATCACTTAAATAATAGAAGATTAAATACACAGTCTGCTTGAGAAGAGAAGGCCTTTCAAGTCGCTGCCCCTTTGTTTACTGTGCTCCACCAACACCCAGTGATGTCATACACAGACAGCTACTTCAGTGCTCTGAGAGAGACATGCTACTCCCTCCAGACTGGCCCTTTACACGAAAATATGAACATGCAATTCCCCCTTTCAGAAAACAAAATATTGAACAGAATATGAAATGCGCGTTTGTTGGTGAAAAGATGTATAATCTAAAAAATCAGGGCAGAATTAATGGAGGTATAATTTTGGATAAGCGCATAATGTAGTAAAATATACATTGTTTACCCTGTATAAAAACATTTAAATGAACAGAGCTCAATGCCACTCCTTGATCGTAGACTCTGGTATCACACTGGAGGCCAGGTCACAGTTCTTGTGTTTTGAATGGATTTGAATTTTATATAAAAAGGCTTAAGCTTGTTTTGACATGTAAAAATGAACAGCTTTGGCAGACTGGGCTTGCAATGCACTTTAAAGTCGCTTAGCTATCTATGGAATTTAAAAATAATCAATAGTTTCAAAAGATTGAAGAAAATTTAAAGCCTTGTTTACGTTTGCCACAATTTAAGTCACATGTTGAAGTACAGTAGCTTCATTGTCCGCCTTAGCCACAGGAGGACTTTCAATGGTTATATGAATCTTTCCCTCGTTGTTGCCTTGAGAGACCCCACAGGGAAAGTTCAAGTTTGGAGCTAAAGAAACAAAGCATTGGAGTATTACACAACTATTACAGCAGTTCCACCTCCGAGTGAAAACAAAGGCCTCCCCAAAGCATGCTCTCCTCCCTATGAGGACAACAGGACAACCACACAGGGTCAGGAATGCACAGTGCATATGGGACCGACTGAAGACAATAGAATCACAACCAATGCTTATGTGGCACGGCCGTACCACATCTGCCATTGTGTCTCAACATGCTCCAGCTATGACAAGTTAGTACTGGCTCTTCATAGTCACAAAAGAATATTGGCAAATAAAACTGCTTAGTACATTTGATTTTTGTAAATAAAGTGGATGCCCTTATCCCTTTGAAAAGCTTACTTTATGTAAGGACACAGTTAATAGTAGTTCTGAGTGGGAAACCACCAGATTTGGCACCAACACTTCCTGAAGTCTTGTGAATACATGGGGGTTGCTTGGCAACAAAAGGCCTGGCAAAGACCAAGCCCTATCGTTGGTTTTACTTTTGAGGTGGAATAAACAAACTATATGCAAATTAGATAATGTGTATGATAAATATTTAAGCTGTTAAAAAGGTCATTTCAGCACTACGTAGTGCTTAAAACAATTGCAAATGTTTGCAATTTCAACAACAACTTGTGTCACTTATTTGGGATTTTCTTTCATTATAAAGAGTGAATACGATTCTTGTGTAATGTCAGGTGAGCTCCTAAGCAGGGCAGGTCTCCTAGGATCTGATGTGCAGCTAGGGCTAATAACAGGCGGGAACCAGAAGACGGATCAATATCACAGAAACATTAGCTGCTCCAAAGGGAAAAGAGGTTTTAAAAATGGAGTAAATGCAGCAATGAAGGCAATGAGTGCAGAAATGGATTTGTATTTTTCTGACGACTGCATGCATTAATGAAACTTGAGCAAAATGAGCATTTAAAAGTCACACTGAACGGTTTTAGTTAATCTGCAAAAGCCACCAGTGCCCAGTCTCCATAGGTTGTGCATAGGTTGAGGAACTATCATAATACAGGTGTACTGATAAAACATGGGAAAGTCTGACTGAAAATAAAAAACATTAGCAAAATTATAAATATGTACATTGGTCAGTATTACAATAATGGTTCCAGTTGGTAAAACTACTTATGATTCAGCAAATACATCTAATACATAAAAAAAGAAGATACAATTACAATATCATAAATAAACAGTTGCGAACCCAAAACTCTGTACAACAATAAAAGGTTACAAAAGGAACCATGCTGCATTGCAACAAACCTCAGAATTCAAAGTATAAAATAATGAAACATTTCACCATTCAAAAGATAATTTAATTAATGAAAACTTCTTTTAGGGTGATAACATCACCTTACCATCACCATCCAACATGCAGTCTGGATGGCTCAGATGAGTCTGGACATAGTGTGTATGTCAACATGAGGTACTCACAGCTGCTCCACGACTTGAGCAGAGATTTGATGCTGATCTCAAAGAAGACCGAATCCTGCAGGCTCAGCATTGCTGCTCTAAAGCTGTGCTCACCAAAAGGACCAAGTGTCACTGGATGGTGATGATTATGAGAAAATAAAACAATTTCACTTAGAAATCTGCCCCGGTCTGATGTCCTTTTCTCCACAGGTACATCCCACTTGCAGGGACCGCAGTCTGCTCCACCTGGACGCTGACGACAGAACTGCACTAAGGAAGAGGTGCAAGACCATGGCCCGCAGAGTTAAAAAAGTTTTTCACCAAAGGCGTGACTTCTGCCCAAGGGCCAATCCTCTGAATCCCTCATGACAACAGCAGAGGACATCCTTCAAGTAAATGTACAGATGCACACTCATTCTGACAAAAGACTCTCAAAATAAATCTCATACGATAATATTTCTGTCTCCAAACCTCCTATGTCAGTCCTAGCCCACTAGCACTGTCAGCTCCACCGCCTTCCAGCACTTGCACACTCTCCATTCGCTCAGAGCAGCCCCTCCTCTCAGCGCTCTGCTCCTCCCTGATGCTTCTGTTCTGTCACAGGAGCGTGTTTCAACAGCAAACAGCAGAGTGGGGGGTGTGGGGTGATGTCATCAAAATGCTGCGAGTGTTTCCTGGCTGCAGCTCAGCGATGCAAATGCCTGTCAGAGCCAACTGTGCTGCCTCTGCTGGCCTATCAAAAGCACACTTCCTGAAAGCTTCTCGTTTATACTGATGCGTCATCCTGACTGCAGCAGCACGAGGAAGGAAAGGGAGGATGCATGGGCGGCTGTACCAGAGACTACATTATACCAAAAAGTTCAGTACTGTACATGGAGTCCCAACTAAGAACCCAGTGGAATAGATAATGTTCCACTGTGACTTTATCTGCTATCTAAATAATCAGTAAAAGTGAGTATTTGATAAACTCTGATCACCCTGTCCACATGCAGTACACAGTGCTCAGTGTTTGAATATGAGACAGCAGGTTCATCAGCGGCTCATCTTGTAGGTGCTTCACCAAACACAAAGGCGCGTGACTCTCAAAGTCATCTGGACCCAAGCACAGGATCAGGTTTGTTAGCACAATATTGTGTGAGGCATGGCACTAGGAGCTGCCTGGAGACAACCGCTCTTTTGTCCCTCTGTAGTCCAGTCTTCATCTCTCTCTCGCTCTCAGGCTGCCTCAGTCACATGTCCTTCAATACTAGTTATGCAAAGTCAGACACCACAAACAAACAGGGCACAAGCATAAGCTTTGTCAAGACGGCTGCTGTTTGGTGGTTCTCCTATTGGCCAAATTGTATGTTTTTATAATAATAATTTGGGTTCTGTAGATATTTAGGTAGAAAAACAACAGTGTTGTATTTTTTTAAACATCGAGGAATTTAGCACAAAAGGCCTGTGCCTTTATACCCATTGTTTTGTGTAAAACAGATTTACTGTTTGAGGAATGCAAAGGAATTACAGTCAACAATCGTTCTGAAGTTGTCCGTCAGAAGGCTATTGTCTTTGAGGTGACGCATGTACAAGACTTCAAATGAACATGATTAGAGCAAACTTCCTGGAGAGAAGAGCTGTGATCAAATAAACTCTATAATGCACAAAAAAGACGAGTTAAAAGTCCGTTCGCAAATCGTCATCCCTGACATCGGAGCATGAGTGTGGACATGTGGCAAAGCATCCACCCCAGAGCCTGCAGACTGGAGGATGCATTTCCTGTATCGGACCACTTTCAAGGGCAGCAGTGGGAACAATAATCGATCAAGCCGTAATCCAATCCCTGACCTCTTCCTGGACTTAGGGAGGACATTAACCATGTAAATCTATTGCATCACAACCCGTACACTCACCTATGGTCAACATTAGGTTTATTGAATGTGTAAGGGATTTTTTGGGGTTTAAAACAGAGCTGGTCATGAGAAGTTTTTCTCCATATTTATGTGTGGTTATAGCCATTGCCATGCAGATCACACAGTGCAGTTTTTACAGCACATAATTAAGTGCAATGATCCAAACTTTATATAATGAGATGAACATAATTTAAATGTTACTTAACATGCTTTACATCATTTTGGCTCAGCCGTTGTAAAAACGTTAAAAAAGGCCTTCTTGACCAGACCGGGGGGGAAAGCTTATTCACAAAAGGTGAAACTAATTTTAGACGGTCAGGCTGAAGTCTCTGTCCCAACAGAGTAACTCAGACGCAAAACTGAATTAAAACTATTGGCAAAACTAAAAGGTCAGCTAATTAGTCAAACCATGTTCTAAAAAGTCAAATTATGTCCTCTTTAACAAAACATTGGCTCATGCAATGTACAAAGCATCTTACTTTCTTGGCATTGAACAACTTAAATACACAATCATAATTAGACAAAAAATTAACTCTTCTCTATGACACACCACCCAAAGTAACTGAAGAACCTGCTTTACTGCACCCCATTGAAATATCCTACAACCAATAAGCTGCACATCAGTAATTAGATGCCATGTCTCTGAGCTCCTGTGAAGACTAATCGCAGAGAAAACAGTCACCACCTCAAAAGCCAACTCTGTGCCAGACTGCAGAAGGGAGCGGCCTGCACTCCAGACTGGTTACATTGGGTGCATGAGATCTGTAGTACATGCATCAGTAGACCTCATGACAACAATGCATGTTATTAAAAAGGGTGAACAACATAAGAAACAATAAAAACATTGTCTGAGCAGGTGAGTTTTGAGACTAGATTGAGCAGTTAGGGTTAATGCATTTACAGGTGGGAAGTTATGCATAAAAAGTTGTCATAAACAGTTAGTTGACCAACAATGGATCTGGACAGTAGGAAAGAAAAATATATTTTAATTCAGATAATATTTTTAAGGTATAAATAAACAAATGGAATGCAATGTTTTCAAAACGTTACCTGGCCTCTCTTACCTCCACCTCAGCTGCACTCACCTCCTGCCTGGATGAGATAGACGCATTGAACAGCACAAAAACAGAAGCTCCCTTACGAGATATTTACACTGCAGACGTTACAGCACGAAAGAGTTGTCGCGCAGCATACGCATATACGCATTTTTCCATTTTAACCTATAGTGATATTTACACTACTTGTGTTATACGCACGTAAGACGAGGCTGCTCCTAGAATAATTTCTAATTTTGCTCGTGCAGTAACGCGTCTCCTAGTTAAGTTTTTGCAAGACGTCCTGGTTCTAGAGACGGCATCTATTTATCCGGCCATACCACCACCCCTTCTCCTCCTGTGTAACAAACCCAAGTGTCAGGTTTGACTCCCACCTCACGTTTGAGGTTTAAGATCTCTCCAAAACTGCCTAATTTGCAGTTTTTACGTTTATCAGTTCAAAAGCTATTCATATACCTTCTCCGTCCATACCACATCACACCTGACTGAAGACCAGCTCTACTCCAGTTACATAACTCACCAGTAGGACCCCTGAACCCAGCCACAGAAGGATGTGAAAAGAAGGAGCGCTTTCTAATATGGCGGATGTTTCCTAAAGTTGGGAAGAAAGAGAGGAAAGAAAACAATGTTCTGAGCCATTCTGTAGAAAGTAATGGTTGGAGTCATAAACACACCCAAGTCAGTACCAAAAAACAAAAGCCTCTAAACTGCAAGACAAAATCATTTTAGGAGAAAAGCAATTCAGACCAGTTCTAATAAGAGAAAAAAATGGAATGTTCCTCATATGTAAATCTAATGCAAATTGCATGTTTGATTTCTTTCTTTAAACTACTTCACCTGTAGTTTTTTCATTGCTATTCATCCATTGTCTTTTGGGAAATGTGGGCAGCTCCTCTTGTGTGACCTTTCCTTATCCAACAAGCTTGAACTAAAGCCTGTCCATCCATGGAAGTAGGCCCTCACTTAAGACTTCTTTTTTTCCCCACTTGGTTTGAGGTTTTCCTTACCACTGCAGGAGGGTCTAGGGACCTTCATGATCCAGACCATTTAGGAACATTGGCTTAACTGTTATTCTATGGACTAATTACACTTAGGAATTGTATTAATGTATTTCTAATGTAGTGTTTCAATTGTTGATTGTCTTATCGGCTTTTGGTGAATTAACAGGTCCATGACCCCCTTCTATGGTGACTTTTGGCGATACACAAATACATTTGATTTGATTTAGCACCATGCTGTTATGCTACTGGCTCCTATCCCTGCAGAAATTATAACTTATAATAATGACTTCCAATGCAGAGTAAAATCCAATGTCATAGTAAGTTGATTAAAATAAGCAAAGGCAACACACAACTCCAGAACTGGCAGATTACACACATTACACACAGCAGGTGAAGTTAGTGCCATTATCAAGCATCCTAAAGATCATTTAAACCAGAAATAATTAAAACATAATCATCATTTTAATTGGCAAACCTTAACAAAAAGGTGTTAGCTGCAACATTAGCTTTGGCAAGTACTACAGTTATTGTTGGAACAAGAACAACCTAGATAAGAATTTGAAACAATTACATTTATAGTTGCTAAGGCGGGACAGTGGAATAGTCATGCTTTAGCCATGAGTAAACACTCAGTGGGTGCATGCTCCGACAGGCAGCAGTGCAGAAATTAATCATAACTGGGTTGTTGCAAACTTGATCACCTACAAAAGCCTGTTGCATATATGGGCATGTCGACAACGTCCCATCCTTTAATAAGACAAGAGCTTTACATTTAACCATTAGTTATCAAGTTGTAACAAAACATTGAAATCTATGCTAGTACAAGTCGCACAGATGCTGACCTTTGCCTGATAAAATCCAATCGGAGAAGAAAAATAAAGCCCCAACCACAGCAGCCATCTGTCACACTTGGCCTTAGTCTTCAGCACTTTCGAAGAACACAGTGCTTAGTTTGCGTCTTTTGGGCTGATGACTGACTAGGAGCTAGTTACAACATCTACTTTAATGGTTACATTTACTAGATCTGCTCATTTCTTATGATAGAAGTTATGGCAGGTCACAGGTCAATAGATGGATTGGAACTACTGACCATTATTGAAACAGTCAACTAATTTGTAGTCGGTGCATCGTCTTTTTTAATTATACACAGAATAAAACATGCTGTGAAGAAACTAACTCAAACTGAGCTCTGCTGAATAAAATAGATATTTTAAACTTTTTTTTTTTAATCAAAGAACTGTTTCAAGTAGTTTTCATGAGGATATTTTGGCTTTGTTAAATCTATTTTTAAAATGCCATATCCACTGGCTTTTTGTGATCCAACTAAACAACTAATCTATTAAGTAACCCACATGATGCATCATAGGTGGAATCCTCCAGACATGGTAGTCCAGACCAAGCAGAGTATCAATAACTGGAGATGGGTCACAAACCAATGCCCCTGACAGATTGCCCTAGCCTCAGGGCATTGGTGGCATGTATCAAATATAGAGGACAGGATTCCCAACAGAGTAAAATAAAAGTATAATTCAACCGTAATCAAAATAATAGTCAGCTAACCAATCATCACAATAGTCATTAATTACAAGCAGACTAACCTTTTGTTTTCGTAAGAGCAAATCCAAACACATGCTGAACACACATTAGAAGCAAAATAATGGCAGGGGGGGTTAAGTCACATAGCGGTCAACATCTTATATAATGTTATGGAATATTCCATAACATATTCCATATGTTGTGGAATATAACAACGACGGACATTATTGTAAGAAGTAGGGCTGAATTATAGACACTTTTATATCTCAATATTCACGCCAGCAAATTCTCATAAAAATACAACAAAACAAAGCATTTTGAAAATAAGAAATCCACTGAAATTTCACAGCGAAATGTGTATCGTTTGTTTTTCCTTTTTTCATAATATCTTCAATGTTCATATTGTTACCGATATGATACATTTTGTATCATTAGCAAGAAGTATCAACAAGCCTGTTAATGAGCCTACAGTTGTCGCTGAGCGCCTACCTTTGAGGGCATATTTGTGTACACCAACATCCACCTTCCCTCCTGGCTCTGCTGTATCCTCCTCGATGGTGTGTCCCATTGCTAGGAGGCCCAACCTCCTCATTCGCAGCAGCCTGAGCCCAGTCTCTTTCGATCCAGTAGAGTTATCTCCAACAGTTTCTCCGGACATCGACGCTGGGACCAGACTTTTGAGAAACTCCATGTTGGAATTTTATCTTGCTACATTTAGAAATAATCCAAATCTCCAAGCCAGTTCATTTCTCCATTCCTCTTTGTTCCCACATGAAGTTTTCATAGCTGCCACCATATCCAACAGCAGTTTGTGTCCCTTCCTTTCCCGATTCTGATCTGACTATTTAAAAACCAGAAGAGACACTTGCCGTCACCTTGTGTAAAGTCGTTTGGCTGGTAACACTCCCAGACCCCGCTTCCTGTATTGCTTCCATGTGACGAAGTCAAAGCGGCGCAAACTTATCAACAACTTTACCTGTCAGCAATGAGGAGGTAACCAAAAGCTTTTCTATTATGTTAGCTGCCAGTAGGCAGGGCTAGGGTGCTATCTGGGTGGAACAAGAACATGTTTAATAGGCGATAACGCAAGCACAGGGCAATCAGCCAATCACAACAGACAAGCCTACAGAGCCCCGCCTTGGTCCCCCTGTGTGTATGCCACCAGTAAATAAAGACAGCCAAAGACAGGATCAAGGGTGACAGGTGACAGAAGAGAAGAGCAAACTAGAAAAATAACGTAATCCAAAATTAAATAAATCTTCCATTCAACAGAAAATGTGCTTGATTTGCATCGTCAAATCTGAATACACATTTCTACACAATGTATTGCATTTATTGGCTCGCTGGTCAATACTTACAGCTTGAAATACTCAGCAGCACAGTTCAAAAAAAACTTTCAAATGGTGTTCCAACCTATTTTGGAGAATCATCCCGATTCTGCCCTATATTTTTGCTCGTTTCTTACATGTCTGTTTAAAAATCTCCTTATTTTAATTGACTATGTTTGTAATAGCTTCACATCAGATTTATTGTTCATTTACTTTTCCCTAAATGCAGGATCAATTTGGTATTAAAAAACCCCCAAAAAGAACCATAATTGCAAGAACAGTATAGACTTAGAGCTCCACACAAATTGACTGTTTTAAGTTAAGCAGCTTTGCCACAATAATATAGTCAGTGGCAAGTCCTGACAACCTTGTTTTTGTTGAACATTAAAAAGGGAAATAAGCATAAACATTCATACATTCATTTTGTGCCGCATGAATTCAAAATATTATTCCTGTGTTGAAGCACATTGCTTGGATTGGCTTGACATCATTTCAATAGTCAACATTCAATCAGTTCTGCAGAGTAAGCGATAAGTGTGGGAATGAAATGCATGCAATGTTATCTGCAGTGAGTCAGTCAACAGGAAACTCTGCCCTCTAGAGGACAAGTTTCAGAATGAACACCAATGACCTCAAGAAACTCCCACTCATGCATTATAGTTTACTATAAAGCATAGCTTTACTTTCTCACATCCCACAGTGCAGTACTTTTAAATGCAAATTAGCAATAGCTCGCAATATTGCTAATTATATCAAATAGTTGTCATATGAAGATGCTCTTAGGGGAAAGGTAGAGTGAAGCTGAAATTATGCCCACATTATTTGGATTTTTCAGAAACATTACATGTAGTAAGGGGTTGGATTACGCCTCTACCTAGCCCATTGGACTAATGCAAATATGTAATCCAAAATAAAGTCACATACATTTGGTATTTAGACAAAGCCTATATCTAATTTTGTTCCCCTTCTTTTTACATAATCCGACAAGGGCTTTGCCACAATGGAGCATTTCCAGGTTCTATCTACAGCAATTAAAAAGTCAATTAGAAAAGGATCTTTTTAAAAACACCAAGAGCTGACAACATTCATGTCAAGTTAGGGAAGGAGAACTGAATTCAAAATTTGCTCTGTCTTACAACATGCGTTACAACAGAGAGAGATGATGGAACAGAGATTTGCTGCTGCACAAAAACAGTGAAGGCTTTAGAGGGGCTAGGCTTCCAGTATGGAGCTGCTGACTTAGAAGAATAGTTTGAGCACAGGAGGCCTCCGATCCCAATCAGCCCAGGAATGTGGAAGAGGAAGCTCCAGGAACAATGTGCAGCGTTCCTCTTGGTCCTGGTCCCACCCGCCTCAGCACAGCGCAGCTTCATGCACCCAAAAACAGGAAGTGCACAAGGCATGGTCTGGTCTCAGCTGGACCCGAAAGGGCGGTCTCTTCGGCATCTTTTGGTCAAGCACATGTTTCAACTTGTGCAGTAGCTTCATGTCAATAAACATTGAAGCCAAAGAGAGGTTCAAAAGAAAGCATCAGTGCCACCTAATGGGTGAAGCTGACATTACAACTATAATACAATTGCAGCCAATACTGCTTCAGGTCAACCCAACAGCGCTTGTATGTGGATGGGCCAAGACAAAATATATTCAAAATGAAAAATAAAATCTAAAATTAAGTATATTTACAATTTTAGATCTTCTATTACAAGGTGCAATATTTAGTTGTTTTCATATTTATAATTATAGTTGCATATCTTTGCTCATTACCATTAAGTTAAAGAAATCTGATCTCACTTTTTCAACCTTTTTTTTTCCTCTATTTTGTGTGTGGTGTAGATTCTTCTCTCATCAATGCCATAACTCCAGGAAGTCAAGTCCCCGGTTTGGAATTTTCACAAGAGAAAGTGGAACAAGACAGAGGTTTATCAGTTGATAAACCAACCATGAGAGGACATGCAGGAACTCAAAAACCCGAAACTTGACAAAAACTGCCAACGCAAGCTTTGCCCAGTGTTGTGAATGACAGAAGCAAGGCCAGCCCAGTGGAAGTTGTCTGTCAGCACTGAAGAATGTAATATTGCGATCAAAATAATCAACTCTTTAGTCCTCACCAAACACTGAATGCAAGGAACAGGAGGTCAGGAGGAGAAAATACACAAGTACAATACAATAAATTGAGAAAGACTGGGGGGCTCTGTATTTTATAACACTTCACCACACGGCTAAGGTAGTGACTCTGACATTTTGATCATGTACAAGAAGTACTGCAAAAACATGCCCGATTATAAACATCCTCTTACATGTTAAAACTAGGGCCGGGACGCGATTAAAACAATTAATCTAATTAATTAGAATCTTTGTAATTAATTAATATCGATTAATCGCATTTTAATCGCATTTAAATATTTGACCTGAGAACAGTGAAGTAATTTTTTTCACATGGATTTTTAGTTTACCATTGAATAATGACTGAATACATAAACTTAAACAACACATGTTCATTGTGGAGGATCAGACGGACTTCTTTCCATCAAATAACGTTTCTGTCATCGCCTCCACACAAAACAAACAAAAGCTAATAATAGGTTTTTGATGTGTGCATTCGAACTAAAACAGGGGTGCTCACACTTTTTCAACATGCGAGCTACTTATAAAATGATCAAGTCAAAATGATCTACCTACTACAAAAATGCAAAACATTTATTTCTAAATATATTGAAGATTCTTTATATCTACAATGTATGTTGATGTACATGCAAAACCGCATGATTTATGAAATAATTTGCATTCAAGCACCGCCTCTGGCGGTCATCCAGGATTCATAGAACCGTCGTTCTGTAGCGGCACTTACAGTCACAGTAGAAACTCAGGATGAAGACGTGTTATTATAGATCCATGGTGAAGACGTATGTTTACAAGCATTGACCCCAGTCCTCAGCCCTGGTTTGATCCTGGTTTAGCTCCTGTTTTGGTTGTTTTCGAGCGTGCATGATCACTTTGCTGCTCTCTGATGTGGAGCGAGGATTGCTGCTGTGAACCGCTCGTAAGGCAGTATGATCCATGCTTCCGTGATCAGAGGTCGCACGTTTTGTTTGTTGTTGTTTTGGGGGCATACTGTGGTGTGCAAAAAACGCAAAACTCTGGTTATCTCTGTCCACACGCAAATGCATAAACAGATTATTATTATTATTATTTTTTTAAATGTAATTCGTTCTTCCAATTCTACCTTTGCGATTGACTGGTAGATCGCAATGGACTGGTAGATCGCAATGAACTGGTAGATCGCAATGGACTGGTAGATCGCAATGGACTGGTAGATCGCAATCGACTGGTAGATCGCAATCGACTGGTAGATCGCAATCGACTGGTAGATCGCAATCGACTGGTAGATCGCAATCGACTGGTAGATCGCAATCGACTGGTAGATCGCAATCGACTGGTAGATCGCAATCGACTGGTAGATCGCAATCGACTGGTAGATCGCAATCGACTGGTAGATCACAATCGACTGGTAGATCGCAATTTACGTATTGAGCTCCCCTGAACTAAAACATCAGCAAATAGCAGCTCACACACCTGTGTCTCGCTGCTCCTCCTCCACTCACAGGAGTTGCTGCTCCTTCTCCTCCTCCTCACACACCATTGCTCCACACAGAGCGCTCTTTCCTGCCTCTAACTCACTTAGAGTTAGAGTTGGTCTATGCTTGTTATAATCTACTTTTGAACAAGAAAAGTCACGGAGCTCAGGTGGCGCTCCAGTATAATCGGCCCGTCTGAAACTCATTCGTGAGGAACTTTCCGCGGTGGAAAATCACATGCGATTAAAATGCGTCACATTTTTTTTACGCGCTAATTTTGTGCCGTTAATTAATCGTAATTAACGCGTTAAAATCCCGGCCCTAGTGAAAACTTATAAAAAGTTGCATACCAGATGCTGTGATCATGCTACTTTTTCCAAATCCCCCCCAAAGGGATACAAGGCTCTGGCAAAAGCTTCAAACAAGTTCTACTATATCAGGTTGATACGGTTGGCTTTAGAGACAACTGTAGTATGTTTTTCTGGACAATAGACACCTTGTACAATGATCTATGGTGTAAAAGACTTTTGCATCGATAGGAAATTGAATGTGGATGTATTTGGATAGTCGTTGATATTTTTGTTTTTTAAAGAAATAAGTAGTTTCACTGTGTCTAAAAATGCTACAGAGTAGACAGAAGAGTGGACCATGTGCAAGCGCCGCCACAAAACAGTGAGACTACACAAGCAACAAGCGGAGTCGGACACGCTACACCGCAAAACATTTTCAGATACTCTCACAATGAAAGCTACCCGTTAAAAAAATGTACCGGAGGCATATTTAACAATTATGCCACACACCAGCGCATGGGGTTAAGAAATCACCAGATACATTCCAGAGGATTGAGTTTTAAAATTACATGGCTGTTTTACCTGATCGAAAGATTTAAAATTAGCAATGACCATGAGAGCATATTGGCCAGATGTGTAGTTATAGCAAAGTAGAAAGATTTAAAAAAAAAAAAAAAAAAAAAACTTATATTTGGGTCTACCGATCTCAGTCAATCTCTTGTTCAAATCTACACTTTCTGAAACCGGCCAAAAAAGCAGTGAGATTAGAAGTTTAGGGTCCGACTAGTTCCCACGCTGCTTAGCTCGTGTCAAACTTTTGCTACAGTGAAATCCAATCCTGTTTAACTCTTGAGACACACCTTAGGGCCATATGCAGAGGCTGGTTCTCTTCTGGAACAAGAAGTCTTCTGCACAAATCTGAAATCAAAAACAGAAAAGTAAATTCAACTTTAGTGACAAAACCAAATTACACTGCAGGCTGATGAATCAGAATGGGTATAGCACACAAAGCAATGAAGCGCTAAATGTGTGTTAAAATGTAATTGAAAAAAACTAGTCATTGCGATATTAGTATGTGCAATATCCATATCTAAAAGATGCACCATAATTTTGATATATTTGTGTATTAATTTCTTGTACACGCACTGTAACAAATCTGCTGCAACCTAGTGCCGCCACACACTAGAGTGGAGCACGCGGAGAAACAAAACAAGTGGATGATGAAAAGACAAATGCTGAGAGGAACCTGTTCCCAAAAGACACTTTTCCTCTGGAATTTGGGACCACTTCGGAGTCACAAGACGGGACCAATTACAGAAACACGTTATTTGTCAAGTAATGCCAAGAAACAGTTGCTACGTTGAAGGGAAACATCACCAGAGCCAACTCCAGCACAACCACAAGGTACATTATGCTGTGTATTTACAATCTCAAACTCCACAGCCTTCTCCGGTCAAACCAAAGGCAAATACGCAAACGAGCAATAATGACAAGTTTTGATTTTGTTGCTCCTTATGAGAAAACTTCAAAGTGACACAAAGCTTTAACTGCAGCAATTCTCTCCGTTAATACTGTGTGTATGGATTCGGCAACTTTAGGAAAGATATGAGGTTAGTATGTGTGCCATATTGCATTTTAATGTAATTAATGCATTGCTGTGCCTGATTTTTGCTAAGAGATTTTTTTCTTGCTGTTCAATGCCTATTGCATTATTAGGTGAAAGACAAAAATATCACTATCGAAATACTAAACACCCATATCAAATATTGCTCTAATTTCAAATATTGTGCAGCCCTATAGAATACTATTTACATTGCAGCTATTCAATTAAAGAAATGGCTTGATAAAATACTGATTTACCAATATAATTTTAGACCCAAACAAACATTTGGCTAGTTTACTGTTAAAAGCTGAAATAAAAAAGTATCAAGCTACAGGAAACTAAATGATAAATAAATTGTATCATCAAAATCAAATTAGAACGACAAACAATAAATGTCCTTCCTTTGGTGCCATTAAGAACCAGCTCGGCCGCTTTACAGCTGGAGTATTGTCTGGGATGAGGCAAACTATAAAAGCCAGACATCTTGGTGCTCCTAAACCAGTCTGGAGTTTCTCGGGACAGGGCGGTCTCATGACACAGTGATCTCCGCCTGATTTGGCCTGTACGCTTGTACACCAGGATTAAACCACCATCCTGAGCAGAGCAATAATCTGAAGATTACCCCACTGAATCCAAGAGTTACATAAGTCATCACAGCCTCCAAAAATGACACTTTCTCCTCCAAAACAATTTCAGTGTAAGATCAAAACAATTGTAAAAATGTTATTAAATGCATAAACTGAAGATTTACTTCATCAACAATCTGAAAATGTCAGAGAAAAGAGAATCTTCCAGTCGGTCAACCATGATCTGCCGCAGTAGTCAAGTGCATTAAAAATAAAACTACTTTTTTTCTTTCCCTTCTATTGCCAAGACTCATCATACTGGACCTCAAGTATCTTGGATTTATGATCCTGGTGTTTTGATTGAACAATGTCATCTTTGGAAATCCTGATATGAGCAAAAATAACTTCTCCCAAGGGCAATTGAACACAGCGGGTGAAAGCCCACTCCTTCTACAGTCCATAATGTCCGGAACCCATGGATATTGACACTACCCACCCTCTCACCCGTTGTCTGGGCCTGACTACCCCCTGCTTTTCACTGCACAGACGCAGTCCCTGCAGCTCACAACATGTTAATAAAATATACAGTAAACCCACTTATTTTGACCATGCAGCCACAGTAGGCATTCTGTGTCTCTCAGTGCTAGTGAAGGGGAGAACAAGTATTTTCTCATGGACCGGAGTTGATTATAAACATGAGGCTGTCAACTGCTCTGGATTGGCAAGAAGTGAAGACAAAATAAGAGGTATAAAGTATTGACCACCAGGTCTACTCAAAGATGTTTCAACAACATTCAGTGGTGAGATAAGACAATGAAAATGCTTTTCAAAAAGGGGAAGTCTTTAGATAAAAATAGGATGAGTCCGACCACAGGACTGAACTAAAGGCCAAAACAGAAGCATTATGAATTTTAGGGAAAAACAACAGAATATGGATTCTTACTAAATAGTTTCTACGAGCTACAATGATAGAGCATCACATTGTTTTCTTATTCATTTGAATTAGGACTGTACATTATCAATGTGTCAGCAAACATTTGTTGTGTTAAGGTATGTAAATCACAGGTTAAAACAATTACATAGTTTAAAGATGGTGCATAAACTAGCGACAGTTTTACTCCAAACAAGACGCAACTGAAGACACTTTTCACATGGCCGCTCTCATGCTGTCAGGCCAGAAAAGAGCACTGATGACCCACTTCCTGCTCCATCTCCACAACACACGACAAAAAAAACCACCAAAAGTTCAAACCTTGCTACAGGAGACCACAACAGACTTCACTTCTTATTTTAGTCATCGAGGCATCTATTGGCTTTGTTTTACAACAAAACATTCATGAATGGTAAATGTATAGACAATCTGTGTTAGAAAAAGTATAATCAAGTTTCTGTGTGAAATTTGAAAAACAAATTCATCAATTGTATTCACAAAATCAGTAAGCAATGTTTCACAATAAGTTCAGTAGATTTTATGTGCAACAGATTCCCATGGATAAAGTAACTACTAACTTCAAATAAATTGAAGAATAAAGAATATTTGTAAATCGAATAATCCAATTAACTTGAGTAATTGTTTCAGCCCAAGTTATTCGAAAAACAATGCTTGTACTTTCTCAAAAACTTAATAAGTATATTATTATTTATATATATATTTTTTTGTGATTTATCAGATTCTGTAACATACGTTGATCACCACATCTACTTCCAAATAGTGATATAATCGTATTGTGATTTGTGAACCGTGCATCATGTGATTTCCAGTTCTTATACAGTACACCTGAACACATTGTACAAACCAATGTGTCACTTTGAGGAACGTTTTCTAAATGTCTTTTCTTAATTCTTGGCTGTTTATTTTTTGGTGCGCAGTCTTGCCTCCCCCCAGTGTCAAAGGGACAACTGACTAGATCAATGTTTAACCCAAACTTGTCTAAAATTATCCAAGTGTTACAGGGACACGCTCAGAGGCTACACACTGCATACAAATCCAAAGTAAAGAGTTTCTTCCCACAGTCTTGCGCAACAAGCTGCTAGCTGGAAGAAGCTGTTATGAGGTCGTTTGGACTAAAACTATATGGAGATCCCACCAACACTAAATGACAGGCCTCGCTCCAATGTATAATTACTACTGTTTGACCGGAGACGTTTTTTTTAATACCGAGAACAACCACATAGATAAATACTTTTCGTATACAAATTCTAAAATATGTTTAATACATGTATTTAAATAGGTTATTATTAGCAAAATTATTACAAAGAGGGAAGTTCTTATATTCTATGAGCCAAAGTAGCAAAAGTTCATGTCCTACATGAGCTTCTGAATCCAAGATTCTTTCCTCATTTCACACAAATGCCTTCTTTTTCTATAGATCCTTTCCTTATCTCTGTTGATGATTTTACTAGTTCTCGATTTCTAACTAAGTTTTAGGGATCCACATTTTGTCTCCCATCAAAAGCATTGACACAGTTCAGATTACCAGCTCAGTGGAACAATTTTCTAACATGTAGACTACAGAATGTGTCTCTTCTTTGTCATTTCTCTTTTCTTTAGCAAAGCATAAACCACAAAAACAAGTACTTTTACAAAACATCGTGTCCTAGAACTTCTCAGAACACATCCGTTCTTTAGGCCTTCTGGTGACGATTTTGTGCTGAAGTTAAAACATCAATTCTGTTCCAAACTCTGGTTTCCAAAGCCCAGGATAATCTGCCTCAGCACGGCTCAATTATAGGTTATTTGGAGCTGCAGTTCTCACTTCTTTTGTGTGCAACATGACAGTCTTCCATCAGTGCACCAGCAAAAAAAAAAAAAATGGTGAGAACAAAGACAGAAATGATCAAGCTTAGTAGTCTCACCAACTTCCAACAGTCTATGCTTCCAACATGTTTACTGCACAACCATTTGCCCTTTAAAAATAAGAATATAAGAATATAAGAATATAATAATAAAAATAAGGTTATGGCTTAAACACTCTGTTCCTCGTGAAAAACAACCAAACATCAAACAATTAAATAGATATAAAAAAAGGAGAGATTTCCATTTAATTTAAAAACAAATCTAAACTAGTCAAAAATAGTATCATGGAAAGAATCATTGAACAATATAATGAGGTATGAAGGTCATATATGAAATGCATGTAATTTGCTGTGGAGTTTCACGTATCAAGTTAATAATTAAGCAGTCGCGAAAGGCTCAGAAAACTCCAAGGCACCCTCTCTTGTATCGCTCATTAATTTAACTTTAGGGCCTGATCTTTGAGAGGTGTGGGGAACTCTCTTAAACCTAAGGTAATGAAATACAAATAAATGTGTCTCATAAACCACAACCTCTTCCTGCATTACAGTTTCCAGTACATTGTTATTATACATGTGTTTGCCAATCCCAGTACCTCCAGATCTAAAAAGATCTTTGTAATGAGTAAACTGTTTGAAAAAGAGGACATATTCAAGATGAAAGTAACCAACAAGAGAGGTAATCAATCTAAACTAAGATTTTTTTCAATAATAAATGACTATTTAGTAATAGTTTAAATCTTAATTATTTAGGAGTATTAAGACTTGAACCAATCAGCAAAACATTTTGTAAATCTATCTGTTCATGATGAAACAAAAATATATTAGAAGGTCCTCTGTTTACTTGACAAACGAAATAGCTTGATTCTCAAAATGAATCATTAGTTATAGGCAAGGCAAGGCAAGGCAAGGCAAGTTTATTTGTATAGCACAATTCATACACAAGGCAACTCAAAGTGCTGAACAAAAGCATTAAAATCATAAATAATCACACAGTACATTAAAAAGAAAGATAAAAATATAAAATCCCTCAGTTGTTTGCACAGCTAAACAGGACTGTTTTTAACCTGGTTTTAAACATTGTGAAAGAGGAGGCCTGTCTGCATTATTATAATGGTATTATAGCGCTATAATGACCAAAAGGTTTGATTTCATGTACAAAACACTGATAATGACCAATTGCTCTGCCTACTTGTGCCAGAGAACTTATCACAAACAACTTAATTATAAATTATAAATACAAATCACACAAAGCCTTAAATGGTCCTTTGATAGTTCACACATAACCCAGTTCATGGCCATTAGTAATAGTTTTCAGTGGTATATTTATGCTGACCAAAAAGACAAAACATAAAAACTCACTGCAATGCGTCTTCTTTTAACAATTACTCATTTCAGCCAGTTACGAAGAAAGCATTAACCTCTGAGGATCACACTGCTCAGCAACAAGTTTAAAAAGTTATCTAATACTGTATATTTCTGAACTCCTGAGTTAATGGTTAATTCACAGGTAAAGCTTAGAGAGAGTGTGGGGTCTTGCTTTTTTGACCCATGCACAGCAATACCATTAATGTCTTACCAGATTATGACAAACACACTAATTCATAGGAGTAATACCGCCAGATAATCACAGATACACTGTTATGTGCAATCTCGGGGATTCCCTGTAGTTTGCGTGTACAGAGAAAATACTTCCGCACTACCATCAGAGGCTTATCCTGGCAGGGCCGCAGAGGATCAGCCATTTGGACAAGCCGCCAGCCTGCCCAGGCAAGATCAAACCCAGTACATTCAAATGTTCTAGTATGGGCTTTTCAGCAGGGAAGTAAACCCAGCTATCCAAAACCTGTGTATGAAGATGTAAAATAATAACAAATGTTTATAGTTAGTAAAGAGCTTTAATAAATGGCTGAAAAGAATTAAGGGACAAACATGATGCATCACCCAAATATAATTTATTTTTGTGTTTTGCAAGTCTGTCAAAAAAACTAATATTCTAAATGACAATTCCTATGTTGACTTAAGTCACAATATTTCAATACTTTCTCACATGCTAATGAGAGAACTTGATCATCTGATTGCCATCAGTAGCAGTGCTTCCAAAATTAAGTACTGTTAAGATGGGAGAGATTGACATTTGTTTTAAAAAACTATCCTTCTGAGAGACAAGTCCGAACATGACAAAGTAAAAGGCCAAAGCATGATTCCTGCCGGGGTCTGTACTCTCCTTATGTGGGCAGACAGGCTGACTTTTCTTCTGCATGGCTAGAGGACGACATGGCCAAACTATTTCAGACACAAGGCAAAGAGCGAGTGCACTGACCAGATTCCTGTCTCTGAGTGGATCTCTTTGGTCTCAACTCAATACGAACAAATGCTTCATTGTACATTCTGATGTACTAGAAGCAGGAGATGAAAGCTAGGCAGTGAAGCTGTCAGATTCCACACACTGTAAACCCACACATGAAGCCACAATGCAAGATTATAGGTAGGGCTTCTGTTAGTAGTGTCCAACGACCAATTTCTTACCGGCTGAAAATGATTCAAGACGGAATAGCACAATTTAGACCAGCATGATAAAGCACAGACTTTGAATAAATGTTTCCTAAAGCACAGCATTCAATTCTGTTAAACACTTCAGCGAGAACGAGAGTGAATAACTCAAAGTGACTTATTGTTACATAGTTTGGAGTTTTGTTTAACTAATTATGTTACACCAAATCGCTAAATCAAATACTAGACAATGTATTCATTATTCACCAAACATTGTTTAACTGAAGTTCCAAATCTGAAAAGAAAAGACCACTTCTATATTTGTGAAGTGAAATAGATTCCAATGTCTGACTTTTTCAAGCAGGACAAAATAAACAAACATAACGTAATGAGTTCACGTTAGCTTTTGGAGCAAACAGCTAAGGCTGAGCAGCAGGAGGCTAGCAGCAGCTTAGACCAAAGAAATGTTGTCAACAAGCTAACGCTGAACAGCAGGATTGTCACACAGAAAACACACCAAAGCAGGACAAACTCAAGTCAACACGACTCTTTGAGCGGTTATGTCAGCAACAAGGAAGTAGTCAAACTCTTTTAGCATGCTATGGTGCAGTTGGGAAAGCTAGCGTTACCTCCACGGCAAAGTTAATCACGGAACTTGACACAAGCCAGTGGTAAGCTGCAGCCACCGTGTCCCGAATGACTTCATATTTCGCAAAGCTTACATTACTTACAACTTGTCTCTTCTCCTCTCAGAGCGGCTAGGTGGTTAGCTTGCGGGCATTCTCTTTATTCGCTCCCTCCTGGCCCTCCTCCATGGGAAGGATTTGCGTAGTGGTGATTTTTTTTCTGTCTGTTTCTGTGTTGGAGGAGCTTCACTGTCACAGCAGACGGCAGCTACACCGTCCCGGCTTCCTCTACCCGATTGGCTCCTGAAGCATACGCCTTCAAACAATGCAGCTTTCTATTGGATTGTGTACCTGTCAATCTGAGGTAAATCACCTGTTGATTGGATGACGTACATAGTACGTACACGCCTGGCTGCATCAGCCTTGTGGCGAAAATGGCCCTTTATTCTGCTGCAATTTTTGTTTTGTTTTTTTCAAGTGGACCTAATGTGCATTGCACATTCCTGCTCACTGTCTATACCACACAATACCATACCCAGCACCATTAGCTTCGATATTGCCATATGCATCAATGCAGATTTAAAAGAAACATTACATAATTTGAAGGTACATGGTAAGTCCACCTAGGAAAGGCACATGCTCCTACACTACTTAAAATTGATTTATATAACTACGTCCTCTGAATGTAGTAGCAGTTAGCAGTTGATACATTTAATTGTCATTAGCTACCACTGCATCTGCAGGTCTGCTGTTTTGTCACGGCGCCGTCCTATGCCAAGGTATTACTGATGAATATAATTTCTATTTTGTAATATATATCATAATTATACATGTAACATTATCACCAAACTCAAAATAAATACAATCAGAGGCTAGTATCAATTAGATATTTAAAAAAAAATAATTTAATGAAAGCAAAAAGGATGTATTTATAAGACACCTGTCACATTGCATTTTAGTGTGTTGTGACCAGAGACAGTGAATATTAATACGTGTTGTCTATGGTTGTGGCCATGGATGTATTACGTTATCGTTGTGACGTTTATGAATGAAATCCACGAAGCCCCATCACCGCCCTCTAGTGGCATTTTAACCAAACAATCACAGAATAAAACACTTGTCAGTAGAGTCATAGTACTAGTATTGATAGATTTGTCCATGTATTACTCTGAAAGTATAAAACAACATGAACAGATTAGATTTTTTTTTTTTTTACAATATGAAATAAATTTGACTTTTATTTATATTATTAACAACATTTACCTCTAACTTTGTGCCTGTCCTGCAGCTGTTTCATCCGTGTTCTTACATTCTTGACACACATGTTCACAGGATCTATGAGGAAAATACAGTGGTCAGTACAATAGTCATAAATGTGTGGCCCCTGCTTTGAATCGCTATCATCATAATACATAGATGAACTAGCCAGTACTTTCAGTGGTAATCAGTCATCACAACGTCATACCTGTGCCTAGGCCCAGAGCCCCATGGTCCAAACCGGCCTCCAGGACCCCCAGGAGCTCCAGTGCCCCAAGGACCTCCAGGGCCAGGTTTAATACCAAGCTCCTGGAATTTGCTCCGGCAGGTTCCCATGTAAGATACTTTTCCAATTGCATATCCAAGAATTCCAGCAACTAAAGATAGACAATATGAATGATTGTATCAAATACAAGTACAGAGAACAAACAATGTCATCATATACATACCTGCAAGTTTAGGAAATGGACCAAAACGTGGGGATGGCTTCCAGACACCTTAAAAAGTGTGCAATACATTTATTTTCCTCTTATTTTATGTTATAATTATAGCGGTCTCTATGCTTACCATTGTATATGAGTCCTCCAGTTACAGCCATGCTTCCCAAAGAGATGGGAAGAGCTAGAAAAGACAAATGTACAAGGCATGCATACATCATCGGTTGTGTCTCATCAAACAAAATATTACTTAGGGAAAAGGGTCACCCGTCACACCCTCTTTAAATGCTCAGTCCCCTTATGTCCACCCCCATTCAGCAGCTTGCTCACTTATTTATTATAGTTATTACTCATGAAATAAATATGACATTCTTATCTAATCATGATGTGGCTTCACTACAAAGATTGGTAAGCTAATAAAATGGTGTTATTTTAATAAATGTATCAACTACACATAAAAAGTGTTTGCTTCATCCACCCCAAATAAAAATATGTTATATTATTATTATTATTATTATTATGTACAGGTTTGGATATAAACATCTTGATCTTGATTAATATGATGAGGTGTTAAATGCTCCACAGAAAAAAATATAGATGGGAACAATAAAGTATCTGTTTTAGGAGTAGGTTCAAATAGATAAGAGAAAGAAATATGACTTTAATTTCATAAGGAACATTAATAGAAAACCTGAGATTGTATGAATGCCGTCCACATGTCTATCATGTCACTGCTAGCACAAATTATGTGCGTACCAGACAGATCAAGTTTTTCTTAAACAATAGATTATCTCACATATAAAACAAAGTATAATCAGCATTAGTCAGCATGTAAAGACACAGATATTTTTGTGGTATAGTCCATCTTGATTGTAATTACACTTTGTAGACTACAATGTGACTTTTGACCAGATGGGAGTGCTTTCTAAGGTGGCGGGTCAAATTTCAAGAAGAATGTAAACAGGACTAGTGAATAGACTTGTGATGAATGAGTCACAACCATCAGTCAAATTGTTGTGCAATATACACGTGTGAAAGGTTAAAACAGTCTGGTGTGGTTTTTGTTTTTTACCATTTCGTATTTGTAAAAGGCAAGAATTAGATCAACTTATACATCCTCTCTGAGTCCTTTGTCTTTCTTTTCTATACATACGGGTGAAAAAACCTTAGATTTGAAGAGAATTATGCAGAACTAGGAACAGCATAGATGCTACAAAGATACTGCACAGAACCAGGGACAAACAAGGTCAAACAGACACCTGTACTATCTCAATGGTAGTTCAAACTGAGGATTAACAACAGGACAGAAATGTGGAATGGAATTACTCTAAATGCAGCAAATAATTGATCTCCAGAGGAATCCGACCAGCGTTACATGGACCACTGTTTGAGAAACACTGAGCTGTATGCTGTATTAAATTTAAAAGGTATGTAATGTAAATTCCTCCTGTGTGAGATCAATAAAGTCTATCCTATGTATGTGAGTAAGTAATGTTTATTTATATAGCACATTTTACAGACCAAGGTCCCTCAAAGCGCTTTACAATGTTCAGAGTTCAGATATTGTTCCAATTATTCCGTACACGGTGATGACGGAAGCGAGTCGCCAAACACGCTGGCGCATCAGCCCCCAATCTACACCATCCATTCACTCACTCATTTACATTCATACCGATTGTGCATGTTTTTAGTGGAAGGGGAAACCGGAACACCCGGAGGAAACCGGAACACCCGGAGGAAACCTCCGAACATGCAAACTCCACTCAGAAAGGCCCTGTTCCGACCGGGATTCAAACCCAGGACCTTTTTGCTGAGAAGCGAGAGTGCTATCCACTCCGCCACCATGTACCCTAAAAGTAGATGAATATAGGCATTCCAGTACCTCTGTACCAGAAGCTCTCCTCCTGGCAATCTTTCCAAACTTTCCTCACGTCTTCTCTGTGGACATGGTGGTCACTTAGGGGACACTTGAAAGACTGAAAAACAATGTTAAAATCAGAGCTACTCTTCCGTACTGGGTGAGTAGGACATTGGTTTACACTTACGCCTTTCGTTTTGTCCGGAGCAGGGGGTGTCCCAGTAGCTGGAGCCCCTTCTGTGGTCACAGTCACAGTCTCTCCTCCTGCGGGTTCAGAGCTCATGATTTCCACTAAACACACAGATTCACCAAACTCCAACACTAGGTCAAAACTTCCCCCTTCTTTCTCCGCGCAAGCAGGTCAACTAATACATGTTGCTCATGCTCCTCCTCATGTTGCATTTGTAAACCCTGCCCATCCTTCATTAAACATACAATGAAACAGCACAAGCAGTTTTGTCATTGTATTTGATAAAATTACGTATTTTAAGAAATAAAACACCCTAAGAATAGTTTGTAGTCTAAATGTTGAGTGAAAATACAACTCACTTACTGAATATTTTAGTATAATTACAGTAATCCTGAATCATGATTTACCTCTGTACACACTACTTCTGTATCCATGCCCTGTACAAGCACATTGAAGGCACGCCTAGTTTTACACTAAGCCACCTTCCACAAAGGTCAACTAGGCTTAACTGCAATTGGCTATGGCAGGTTTTATAATGTTTTTATTTTATTTTTTTAGTTGTTACAGAAATGTATATAGCAATGATTTTTAAACAGATCACTGCTGTTATGAACACATACATTATTAGGATAGAGTGTTCACAAATGTACTTTTTTCAATGCCATGACAGTGTTATTACTATTCGTTTTACTATGAATGAAAGAGGATAACAGAAAGTGTACATAATCAGGATCCTGGCTTTGTACGTTAATGTGTAAAGTATTGTAATCTCCACCAACTTTCCCACAGATGTATGAATACGCCCCACTGGATAAGAATACCTGAGTGACTTGACCAATGGCACATGTACGTGGGCTGTGTTCTTCTGCTTTCCACGAGGAAGTCTATGGCTCTGACTGATGCCTGCATAAACCCCACCTGGCCAATCTGTTTAAGAGATAAAAGAGGCTGTTTGGAAAAGCCTGACCAATCACTTTCTTTTGTAGGAGGGTTTGTTAATTTGTCTTCCGTTTCGTGACATGACACCTTGAATACCCAATAGTCCGTTTCTGGGGGCGGGGCGAAGGCATGTGCAGGCTCAATCGGGAGCTGGGGGCCGGATTTGCGCTCAGATGGCCCGCCTATTGGCCGGTCTGCAGACTTCCCACAGACAGTTGTATGTTTCATAAAAATGCACTCTGATGCGGCAAGTAAGTAGTAACCATTACTGGGAAATTTCTAAAGGAATTGACACCGTTTTATGCGCTGCTGTGATTGTTGTGATGAGGCGTGCATAGAGTCTGTGGTTTTAAGACAACTTTTATCCCGTCATCCTGGATTATTTTTAAGGACAACGCATGATCCCGTGGTGTTTGCTAGGCTCTTTGTATTTGCCACTGCTGTCTTCATCGATAACAAAGGAAGGGTAGCAAGTGTGCATTTAATAGATATGCGGCTAAATACTAGTATGTTTGACTTTTGCATTGTGTCCTACGTCTATTTAGTGTCTAGCATTCGCCGCCTTTATCCATCAGCAACAAAGGTTAGCTTTAAATGGCAGCTCCCGACATTAATTAGTCAGTTTAAACCTTTGCAATAATTACAGGCTTGGTGTTCTCATCGGTCCTTTAAGCTTGATGGCAGCACATGCATATTTGGTGGTTTTGTGTTTTTGTTCGTGCGTAGATTGTGTCAGAAATGGGAAAAATGTGACGCAGTTGGGTAAAACATCTTGCATTATACCCGTTGCTGCAGTACTGTCGTACTTTCCGAAAACAAGCCAAAGCCTTCCCACGAGTTTAAACTATTCAATTAGACTCAGTGGATGAATTAAATGTTATTTGGGACATTACAAAACGCATTCAATCAGTTAGTGCAAATGTTGGGGGTTGAGGGACTCCGATAGAAACAGTCGCAATGCTAAGGACTGGGAGTTGTAGTTTAAACCTAAAGCGTGAGTGGCACTTTAGTAGTGTCACTGAAACTAATGGACTACAACACCCATAAGCTTAACTCTCAAGATACTTTGTAAACTCTATGCAAGTTGTGCGTCTGTACTGCTATTTTAGGTATGCAGCTCGTGCTATTCGCTCGCCTATGTTAGTCTAGTTTTGCACCCACTTGAAGCCTATTTGGCACAGCATAACTAATGAGATGTTAACGTTTTTTTGCTTCAAAGCATAGTTGGCCCTGTGGAAATACGTGTTGTTGTTAGCCTAGTTAGCTGTTACGGCTTCAGTCACTCCCTTGATATGTCGTTAACGTTATAATCCGTTGTGGCGTTAACGTTTTCTTTTACTAAGATCTATAAACTGGATGTGTATGTTTTACATGCTAAATGAAGTTTAATCCATTTGTCTTCTTGCACCCTCCCTATCAGCAGAATTCTGCTGTATTATGTTTTTGGCTTGGTTATTCTTACGTTTGTTTTTTCTTTTGAAATTCTATTAGATTTTCAGCTCAATTCTCATTTAAGCACACTGGCCAACATCCATAAGATCCACCACACCTTACACAGGCTGGTAAATATACCCCCTCAACGTGTGTATAAAACGTGTATAAAACGCTAGTTTAGGCCTGGTAATATCTGTAGGCAAACATTTGCTTTTTTCCTCTGTTGGTTTCACTAGAACTTGACAGAAGACATTGGACAGGACAGCCACTCTTCAGGTTCCTTGATTTTCTATCTGTCTTTGTAAATCCATGTTTATTGGTTGTTTAATAAAATATTATTTTGCAGCTTGTTGCTCTAGAGCCATGCCTCCTAGGAAAAAGAGGAGACCCTCTGCTGGAGATGATATGTCAGCCAAGAAGAGTCGCCAAGACAGGTGTTGAAATCTCATCATTTTGGAATGTTAATCTCACCATAAATATTGATTTGATGAATAATTCCTTTTGTTTTTAACTTAAAGTATGTACAGAAAGCATGAGGCAATACAAATACGAGAAGAGGACACATTTTCAAATAAAAGATGTCTAGAATGGTTCTATGAATATGCAGGTAAGTATTTTATTGACCCTACGAGTCAAAGAAGGGAAGTCATTTACAGCTATTGCCTTACATGTGTCTCTCAAAGGTTGTGATGATGTGGTTGGTCCAGAGGGCATGGAAAAGTTCTGTGAGGACATCGGGGTTGAGCCAGAAAATGTAAGTACCTGTAAATGCAGCACATGTGTAGCATTCAGGCTTCACAGCAAAAAAGTCGTGGGTTTGACTCTGTGTCGGCCCAGTCCTTTTTGTGTTTGTATGTTTTTCCCATGCCCACAATGGTTTCCTTCAGATGCTCCAGTTGTCCTAATGATTCAAAAAGGTTAATTTTCCCTTTTTGAGGGAATTTTTTGTTTGTGGTTCTTTTGAAAGACATGTTGGCAAAGATAAGTTGTGCGAGTTTAACCGGGTGCTACGTAGTACGAGAGAAAGGTATTTTTCTGAAATGATTGAAGGCTGCAGCAACAATCTGCGTGTTCTGTTCTCAACAGTTAATAGATTAACAAACCCCCCTGTTCAAATGCCATTAGAGCTTACTTCCAAACGTAAATGCAATGAGTTTGCTAATTTTTTCAATGACAAGGTTCAAGGCATCAAAAGCGCCATTGTCTCCAATCCACAGATAACCATCCAACAGCCAGAAAGGCTCTCTGAGCTAACTCACTTTGCACCTGTAAATGATAAAACTGTCCAAGAGATAATCTCCAGTTTGAGCTCCTCCACATGCAGCCTGGATGTACTACCCACTAGATTTCTGAAGTCTGTTCTGAGCAGTCTGTTACCTTCACTCACACAGATAGTAAACATGTCCCTTCATTCTGGAATATTCCCAAAGGCCCTGAAAACTGCAGTCATCAGGCCCCTGCTAAAAAAGAGCAGTCTGGATGCCACTGTACTTAACAACTATCGTCCCATCTCAAATCTGCCATTTATGGGGAAAGTCCTTGAAAGTTGTCTACCTACAGCTTACTAGATTTCTTATAATCAACAACTCATTTGATATGTTTCAGTCCGGCTTTAGACCCCACCACAGCACTGAGACTGCTCTCGTTAAGGTTACAAACGATATCCGGCTGAACACTGACGCAGGCAAAGTCTCAATCTTAATCTTGTTAGATCTAAGTGCTGCCTTTGACACCGTCGACCATGAGATCCTCTTACAGAGACTAGAGGACTGGGTTGGCGTCACTGGCACCGCCCTAAGTTGGTTTAGGTCTTACCTTGAAGACAGGAAGTACTTTGTGGAGATTGGAAACTGTGTCTCAGATCATATGGCCCTGACCTGTGGAGTCCCACAGGGGTCGATCCTGGGACCTCTTCTGTTCAATCTCTACATGCTGCCGTTAGGTCAGTTAATACGCAGAAACAAAGTGTCCTATCACAACTATGCAGACGACACTCAGATCTATGTCTCACTGACTGCAGGAGAACATGGACCAGTGGACTCACTCCTTCACTGTATCCAACAGATCAGTGAGTGGATGCAAAACAACTTCCTTCAGCTAAACGCAGACAAAACTGAAATGATTGTCTTTGGTCCCCAGAAACAAAGAGAGAGCGTCATCTGTCACCTACAGTCTCTCTCCCTAAAACCTTCAAACAAGGTCAGAAATCTAGGGGTAATACTGGACTCAGACTTAAATTTTAATAGCCACATCAAATCAGTAACATCAGCAGCTTTTTACCATCTAAAAAACATTGCCAGGATCAAAAACATAGTGTCTAAAGCAGACTTGGAGATTCTTATCCATGCATTTGTCTCCAGTAGGTTAGACTACTGCAATGGCCTGCTCACAGGTCTGTCCAAACAGGCTATAAAACAGCTGCAGTACATTCAAAATGCAGCAGCTCGAGTCCTGACAAGAACCAGGAAGTACGACCACATTAGTCCAGTCCTCAGGTCTCTGCACTGGCTTCCTGTGGCTCAGAGAATAGACTTTAAAACAGCTCTGCTTGTGTACAAGTCTCTCCATAGCCTCGCACCAAAATATATTAGTGACATGTTAGTCCCATATGAACCAGCCCGGACTCTGAGGAGCACAGGGACTGGACTCCTGTTAGTGCCCAGAGTCAGAACTAAACATGGGGAGGCTGCTTTTCAGATTAATGCTGCTAAAATCTGGAACAGTCTTCCTGAAGATGTGAGACAGGCCTCCTCTCTGACAATGTTTAAAACCAGGTTAAAGACGGTTCTGTTTAACTGTGCATACAACTGAGGGATTTTATATTTTTATCTTTCTTTTTAATGTTCTGTGATAATTTATGATTTTAATGCTTTCTTGTTTTGTTCAGCACTTTGAATTGCCTTGTGTATGAATTGTGCTATATAAATAAACTTGCCTTGCCTATATATATATATATATATATATATATATATGTGTGTGTATATATTATATATTTCAGCCGGGTATGGCAATTTTCTTTTGTTAGAATTAGTGAGGCGTTAATCCTAAAGCAGGAGGTGGCAGCCTAGAATACCTGCTGCCTGTAATGATTCGAAGAAGTATAGATTTCCAAGCAAAGTAGCAAGAATGACATCTGGCGTTTGTAATATTACCAGTGCTGGGGAAATTGTAGAATGATTTTAATAGCTATTTCTACAATATTCTATATGTAGCTTACCCATTGTCACTGTTTTCCTTCTTGTCATCAGTGCCAACATGCGTATGGTGGTATAGCTCGTAATTTTTTTGAGATGTGTCCATTAGACTGCTTTGCTTGTGTCCAGGTGGTGATGCTTGTTCTTGCGTGGAAGTTAGATGCCCAAAGTATGGGCTATTTCACCCTCCAGGAGTGGCTGCGAGGGATGGGCTCTCTGCAGTATGTTCTTGTTTCAAATACATATGTCTGTTCTATGAATTCAAATAGTTTGAGTTACTGAAAAGACTTACTCTTTGGTCTGTACATTTCTCCTCAGGTGTGACTCCACTGAAAGGCTACGGAACTCTCTGGACTACTTGAGATCTGTCCTCAACGATAGCACTAGTTTTAAACTAATTTATAGATATGCCTTTGATTTTGCACGGGTAAGAACACTTTAGAATAACCCCAGATGTGTGTGTGTGTGTTTTACTTTTATTTTTTCTAACTCTAATAACACTCAATATTTCCATTCTCTATATTGATAAATATCATCCTTGGTGTGTTTTAATAATTATACATTTTATATTTACTGTGTTTGAGCAGGAAAAGGATCAGAGAAGTTTGGACCTAAACACAGCAAAATGCATGCTTGGTCTTCTTTTAGGAAAGACGTGGCCACTATTTCCTGTGTTTAATCAGTTTCTAGAGGTATAAAACATTTTTTTAAATAATTGACCACTATTTGCCGTATTGACTGAACATTCTGAATTGTTATTTGTAGCAATCAAAGTACAAAGTCATCAACAAAGACCAATGGTGTAATGTTTTAGAGTTCAGCAGGACAATCAACCTGGACCTAAGTAACTATGATGAAGACGGTGCCTGTAAGTACATTGCATTGAATAAGACGACCCAAATGCTGTATTCCATCCTTAAGACATTTTTATTCTGTTTTTGTTAGGGCCTGTCTTGTTGGACGAATTTGTTGAATGGTACAAAGAAAGACAAATGTCATAGTCGAACTTCCAATAATGACATGAAACGCAACTGTGACAACAAAATGAAAATATAACAAGAAAAATTAGCAATCAACCTGTCAAGGGACTGTTGCATGTGATAAGGCATAGGAGGCCTTACTTTGAGGATTTTTTTTTTTAGATATCCAGGGGTGGCGGATGCAGTGCCCTGTCTTCATAATACTGTATGTGTTAAGACGACATGACATTTTGCACATGGATGGATTCCAAACAGTATTTTTTTGGGAGTAGCACTCTTTCAACCCCGTCTGAAGTGACCATTCTTGCATTGTCTAGTCTCTTATACTGTCTTTTTAAGGTCATTTTTTGACCTGGACACAATATGAAATCAACTACTGTGCAATGAACTTTTGTGGGGATGATGCAGCCAACTTTATGAAGCACACTGTGTCAAAGGAAGCAGGTTTCTTGATACCTGTGCTGTAAAATTTTTGTGCCAGTGGTTCCTTTCAATAGTTTCTGGTCCTGCTGCTGCTATATTTTTTGTTCAGCAATGCCCTTGTGAGACCTCCTCAGCACCAAACTAAATAGTTGCTGCTTTTTTTACTCCAACTACAGGATACCGCTGACTGCTTGGTTGTGGTCGGACCAATAAATGCTTATCACAATCTACGTACCCGCGTTGTCCCAGTAAGAGTACTATTACTGTGCCTCAAATCACCGGATCCAAACGAAATGCTAATCAAGCAAATTACCACATGCTTTATTACCAAATTAAAAGCCCTGTACCAGATTGTGACAGGTTCTGCTTTTCGATAATTAATGTTTTTCTGTTATTTCTCACTTGTGTGTTTATTAGATCCAATTTATTCGCCCCAAATACTTTTCACATTTGAGCAAAGCCTCAGTAGAAATGTAAATTAACTATTAGTGGTGTACTTTCCTTTTCTCTGCAAAATAAAAATAATCATAGCTAGTGTCATCTTAAAAACAAGAGCTGCTTTGCAGTGGCATATCTGCACCATGTAGTAGAGCACAATTACAATTTGTGCTTTACTACATGGGAAAAATTAGGTACAGGGCTTTTTATTCGCAGTGATTTTAATTTCAAAACGGTACAAATTATACAAATTTACTTGCCATTCTCAAGCCTGTACATTTAAAAGGAAAAATGTGTATCTTGCACTTTAGTTCCTCACTTAGGTGGTCTGGCTGGGGAGTGGTATGAGATCAACTGACTTTATAAATGCTGGATGGTGGAAAATGATACATTTGAATTAGTAATAAGGCATATTGTGGTTAATTGGTGTGTAGAAACTTGCAGATACGCATTGCTTTTACATACACTGAGAGGTCAGGGATTATTTCAGGATAAACTTTGACTGTTGGGCTGTGTTAACTTAAGTTAACATTGAAATAGTTAGTGTCCATTTTGTCTTTGGAAATGTGGTTATTTGTTGTCTTCCTTAGTCCACGAATAGTTCAGGTCTTCGACTACAGTAGTAGCATCCAATATGGACAGTGTTAACCGACACACAAGACCAGTGATTCATTGAACCAGGAAGAGGTCTGGTAGTTAAAAAATATCTATAGGTAGATGTGTTTTAAACAATAATTATTGGACCACCATTTAGGAATACTGGGGGGGGAAAAAATGGACACAAAATTGTCATGATGCTATGCTGTTATTTTTGCCTATTGTATTGTTCTGGTAAATACATGTACATTTGTCTTTGGCTGTGGTGTGACGATGCTGAAATTTGTCAAGAAATGTTAATATTTGCATGCACGCTTCAAACCACGCCTTTTGTGAATGGATGAGTTTTTCGGAACATTTTTGGAAAACACATTTTGTTTGTACAGGAATTTTCTTTGTACTAGTGTTTTGTGCTTAATAATTTTAAATACTCATAGCCATGTTACCTCCAAAAGACATGGTTGTTAGTATTAGAACAATGTAACCTCAAGGGACGGTGTGTTGTTCCCTACTGCATCACTAGAGTCTAATTGTAAAGTCCCGACCAGCACTTATAAATCTAAATCCCCCTTATTTGCAATAATTGATAACAACTTTCTATCTTGTTGTACAATGCACTTAAACCACTTCAGTTAAAACATTTTAGGATGCCATATATTTACATTTCATAAGTATTTTCTTAAATATGATGCAGGAGGTGGAACAGTCTAGTCCCAACTGTACATATGTATGTAAAAAATATGTGTCAATATGTTTGTTTTCAGTATAACCTATGTCCATATACACAAATAAAAGCGTTTATTAACTTAATCGTTTATTTATTGAAAATGTATCATGTTTACACCAATTGTTATGAAAAGGATAAATAGGGTGATTTATTTACAGAACAGTAACAACATTGAAAACACTCAAGATAACTAAATATTAGAATGTGGAAAAATAACATTGTAAATTACAAATGTGTGACATACTTTTCTAAAAGAGAAAAAAAACGTGGTCTTATTTACAAAATATTCCTCAAAGTTGGCAGATCAGAAATGTAAAAGGACTTAAAAACATGATATATATCTATTATATGGCATTAGAATGGACGTATTGAATAGAAAAAAAACAATTTGGATGTATTTTTGAACAATTAGAATGACACTTGAGACTTCTATAATTCAATACACAACGTGAAACTAATTGTCATGTTTATTTATGGCTCACAGCTTGTAAAACCTCTTCAAATCTCCAGAATCTTAAATAACTTTTTCTGAGGTTCAACTGTGTAGACATGTCTTTTTAACAAAATGACAATAACATTGATTACCAAAAGGTGAATGAAATTTGTTTTGTATAGATTTACATTTTAATTCACTTGTATGTCCACTCCGATTCACTTGGGCATACATTGTGAATACATCTGTTTGTTGTATGTACAGTACATTATCAATATGCATTAAGGTAGTATTCATTGTTTATTTAAGTCCACATTCCAAAGCAAAAAACCTTTATTAAACGGAGCTAATATTTGGGTTGTCATAGAATGGCTCATCAACTGATTCTTCCTCAGTTGTCTTCCTCTGGACATAACCTAAACTTACTCTACTAAGACTGGACTGTGGGGATCTCCATGCAAAGTTTGGGCTCTCGTCTGGCAATGGTATGGACGGGACTGGGGGAGGAGGACCTTCTGGAAGCTCAGTCGATGTAATTGTATGTCTTTTGTTGCTGGGAATCCCATACAACATTTCTGCACGCCTCATTTCATCTAACCCAGGTGAGACTGTGATATAAGTTTGTGGTTGTGATATTTTAGTGTTGATGTTTACTTTACGTCTATACACATTGTGAACTTCAGGGGGATCAACGCTAACTGGAACTGATTCTGTAAATGTTTCATCTTCATATTCCCAGTTTTTTCTTTCAGAGGACATCGCCTTTAATGCACTGAGCCCTTTTTGTTCAACTCTGTCTTCAGGAGCAGCATTCAAAATGATGGGGGATGTGTCAAAAGTCACACTTCTGGGACTGTATGTTTTCTGAGTGATAATCGAAGATGCTTTTGACACATTTTGTTCATCCTCGCTGCTAGAGGAGTTATCAGACACACTTTCTTTTATTATTGGGGGGGTTAAAGATACAGTTGTGGGTGAAGTGTAGCCATCTTGTTGTCTCCTTACAGTGGGTAAGGGATGCTCTGAAAGATGACTACCCACGCTTGTCCATCTCAAATTTGGAGGCAATTCATTTTGTTTTGAGCGTATTAACTTCCGTTTGATATTATCCAAACTCAACTTTTTTGGTGTATGACGATTGCTTTCAACATATAATGGTTCTCTATAGAAATCCCGATTTGAAGAGAAGGAATCATAAGAAGTACTTTTCATAATTGTACGCTTGTATTCAATGCTGCGCTGATCAGTCACATCAGAAAATTTTTGTGCATACACTTTCCCATCATCACTACTTGAAGAACTTGGTGGTGGTGTGGGTGCTTTGATATGTAGACGCCTCTTAATTTGTGGTACACCTCGGCTTAAATCAGGGACCCCAACACCCACTGTGTCTTCATCATTACTACTACTTGAAGTGAGCTTCTTTTGCTTTGTGGTGATATTTAAAGACCTTTTAACATGTGGAATGCTAGTTAAGCTGACTTGAGGAGGCACTGAATCTACTTCATGCTTTGAGGATTTTCCCAATTTTGAATCATCTTCACTTTCACCTCTTGAAAAGCCTCCTTCATTTGGCTCTCTTGTTGATACAATGGGTACTCTCTCTGTTCCAATAGCAGTAAAGAAGGTATCTGGCTTTGGGGAGCTTGGAGTAGGAGATGGTGGGAGATCATTTGGCTTAGTTACATCAAGACGTCTTCGAAATCGTGAAACTCCGAGATTCATGCCTGCCCACTTTGATTGCAACTCTGGTGTAACTACTGGTGATGAACTTCCACTGGAAGTGTTGTCTCTAAATTTGTCAGTAACAACTGTATATTTTTCTAGCTCAATGCTCGGGGTAGTTTTTGTTGGACTACGAGTTAATGTTGATATCGGAGAGACTTTAATGAAATGTTTGTCTTGTGACTTGACAGATCCGTTTGGTTTAGGTGTGTCCTTTTCGTCATCACTGGAGCTTGATACGGAGTCATTCAAACTAGTTGTTATTGTCGGTCCTTTGATATCAAGACGTCTGCTGATGTAAGGTATACCAGTGCTTGTCTGACTAGGCGATCTTTGTGCTGAAATTTGGGGGCTCTTGCGTACGATTGAGCTGCTGGAGCTGACAAGGATATCACTCAATCCCCCTTCAGATGGAACAGGTAAAGGAGGAGATTGAGATTTGATTTTGAAGTCAAGACGTTTCTTTATTTGAGTATTGCCTCCGAAATCCATTACTGGCCATTGTGTTAGAGGTTCAACTCGAGATCCAAGCTTTTGAATAGTTTCATCTTCACTTTCACTACTAGACGAAGTACCCAACCTCGTTTTTGGTATTGTTCCTTTTGTTGATGGCAGCCTTTCTTGGACCCATGCCACTTCTTCATTTTGACTGTTACTGCTTGTCAAATCAAGTATTGTTGTTTTGAAATCCAAACGCCTTTTAAGTTTAGATGCGTTAACAAGATCAATTACTGGCCACTGGGATTGAGCTAGTTGCTTGTTTGTTGAGGTCACCAATTGTTGTAGATTATCTTGATTAACATGGATAGTTTGTTCCTCTTCACTGTCACTGCTGGATGAAGATTCTGGTTGTTGCACTTGAACTCTTGCATATGGTAGCTTTGATGGCCCTAGTGCCAATTTTATGCGGTCTTTGACATCTAAGCGTCGTTTGAGTTTAGGTAGTCTGACCAAATCAATCATTGGCCACCGAGAGTCAATAGTTGGTAGTTCATTGTCATTGGAGGATGCCCCAGAATCTTGTTTTGGGAATATATTACTTGCAGACGGTACTCTTTCTTGCCCCACTGTAACTATAGCGTTTTCCCTTTCTTTGAAATCTAAGCGGCGATTAAGTTTTGGTATTTTGACCAGATCTAATGATGGCCACTCGGATTGAGCTGGCTGCAGATTTTGAGATGTTACCAGCGTATTTTCCCATTTTCTTTCTATGATTTCCTTTTCATCCTCACTTTCACTAGAGGAAGAGTGTTCAAACTGCATTGTCACATTGGTAGATGTTGAGTAGGGATTTGATCGTGGTTTGATATCCAAACGGCGCTTAAGTTTTGGAACTCTCACAAGATTGATTACAGGCCACTGAGATTCACTTTTGAATGTCGAAGTTGGTTCTTTATTTGGAGTTGTTACTTGCTGAATATTTTCATAATCATAAATTTCCGAGGCCTGTTTTTGTACTTTGATACTTGGAGATGTGACCATTTGAGGACTTTTTGTTCCTTTTTCTGGTACTCTTTCTTTGATATCTAAACGGCGTCTTACTTTAGGTATTTTAAGATTGATTTCTGGCCATTGTGTATCACCATCTCCAGTAATCGTAGTTGGAGGTGCTACCTGCTGTAGGTTTGTAACATTTTCAATTTCTTTTTCATCTTCACTTTCGCTACTAGAGTAAGTTTCAAAGTGTGGTTTCTGGACATTGACTTGCGTAACCACCTTCTCTTGTGTTTGTATCATTTGTCCTCCTTTATCTCGACTGTAGGATTTGTCAACAGCAGGTATAGTTTTGATGTCAAGACGTCGTTTGACTTTAGACACTTTCACAAGGTTAACCTCTGGCCACTGTGGCTCTTGATTTGGTTTTATTGCTGCCGATGGGATCACTGCAGATGTTGTTTCATGTAGGTTTTCTTTACGGACTTCATCTTCACTCTCACTACTAGAGGAGGACCCGACCTCTGGTTTTGAAACACTAACTATTGCTGATGGCACTCTTTGTGTAGCTTGTATGCTTTCTTTTTCTTTAATGTCCAAACGTCGTTTAACACTTGGTATTTTTGCCAAGTTTATCACTGGCCACTGCGATCCTGTTGATTGTGTATTTGGTGATGTGATGATTTGTGATTTCTCCTGATGGTACTCTTCTTTGATTTCTTGTTCATCTTCACTCTCTCTGCTTGAAGTCCCTGAATCTGGTTTAGGTACATAGATCATTTCTTGAGGCTTACTTTTTGAAACCACATCTACTCTTCCCCTGATGTCTAAGCGCCTTTTTACTTTTGGTAATGTAACCAGGTTGATCATTGGCCACTGAGACTCTTGATTATGTCCTATTTCTTTTGACAGGTTGATGAGTGATGTTGCTGGCTGTACAGTTTCTTGGTTTATAGTAACTTCTACCTTTTGGTCATCCTCACTCTCACTGCTGAAGGATGAATAAGATTCTCTGAGCACATTATCTACTCCTAATGGAAGCTTTCCCTGCACATTTTCATATATATGCTCTTCGTCACTATCGCTGGATGCTGAACGGACAGCCGGTTTGACTGTTTTCAAATCTAAACGTCTCTTAACTTTTGGTAGTCTAACAAGATTGATCATTGGCCACTGAGACTCTTGAGTTGATGGCTGTGTGTTTTCTTGGTTTATAATAACTTGTATTTGTTGGTCATCTTCATTATCACTGCTGAAGGATGAATCAGATTCTGTTAACACATTATCTACCCCTGTTGGTAAATTTCCCTGCACATTTAAATATACATGCTCTTCCTCACTATCACTGGACGATGAATGGAAAGCTGGTTTGGCTGTTTTCAAATCTAAACGCCTTTTAACTTTTGGTATTTGAACCAGATCAATTCCAGGCCACTGGGTTTCTTGCCGTTTCTGAGAACTAACCCTTTGAATATTTTCATAATAGTTGTCTCTCTCTTCACTTGTTTTGTGCTCATCTTCACGACTGAAAGAGATTGTTGATTGTAGCTTTTCTTTCACATGTGTCCACTCTTGTTTTTCCTTGATTTCCAAGCGTTGTTTAACTTTGGGAATTTTTGCAAGATTTATTACTGGCAACTGACACTCCTCCGACTTCATATTTGGGGATGTCAGTTGATGTGTATTTTCTTGATACTGTTTCACCACTTTGATTTCATGTTCTTCATCACTTTCACTGCTTGAAGATGCACCAGACACATGCTTTGTACCCATGGGTTTTTGCTCAATTATTTCCTCATAGATCCTGTCATCTTCGCTGTCACTGCTCGGCAATGATTTTAAAGCTGTATTTTGCACCTTGAAATTGAGACTTCTCTTGACTTTACAGACACGCTCAAGATTAGCAACTGGCCAGGGTGATTCTTGCTCCAATTGTACCACTTTCAAATCAGGTCTTGTCTCCACCTGGACTTTTTCTTCTTTGAATTCCCCCCTGTCCTTTCCATTGTCACTACAGCTGCTGGAAGATTTACGCTGTGGTGGCAGTGGTGCTTTCCTTTTCTTGATACTTGAAAGGTTTTGCTCAATTATCGGATACGTTTGCTTTAGTTGCCATTCCTTTTCTTTTGCAATGCCTGTGCTGTATGAGTCCACATATGTCGTTTTAAATATCAGTCTCCTTTTGATAGCCGGAATATATTCAAGATCTACAACCGGCCATGTCTCCACAGTGAGATTTCTTTCTGTCATAATGTCAGTATTGGAAGAAGATTGGATTGATACTGTCTTTTCAAAAACCTCCCCCTCCTCCTCAGAGTCCGTATTGACAGTGTAATGTGTTGGCTCACTGTCACTCATAACTGAACTTGAGCTAGATGACTTAAAACTTGTATCTTTATGAATGTTTTTCAAGTTTACATTTGTCTGCTTGAATGAGCTATTTGGTGATATTGGAGATCCGCTTTGTACCGAGTCACTATACTCAAATGGTTCCCCATTGTCAAGATCTGAATGTGCAATAGTGGTATTCTCATGTGGAGACCAATCCGCAAACGGCTCAGAAACAAATCCTGGTATTTCATTTGATCTCTCAGTTGTGTTTATTTGTACATCTGGGGTTTCCTTTTGAATGTGCTCCTTAATTACTTGAGTTGTATTAGGCGTAGAGCAATTTTCTTTGAAAACGTTGTCACTTATTGAGGATTTTGAAGATTGTGATGAGAGACTGTTTCGCTCAGCTGAATTTTGGATGATTTCAAACTCAATATTCTTGGTGAAATTAGCTTGGACAGGCCCTTTAACCGCTCCATTGCTCTCCTGCACATCCCCAGCTACTGCATCATAATACTGCATGTTCCCTTCTTCTGCATACTCACTAAAAGTCACTCGTCTTTCGCGATGTGACTCAATATCGTCCACGTCCTCGCAATGTAAGTATGCATCGTTTACATACTGTTCTTGCTGGACATTAGGGACAGAGTTAGTTTGGGGTTTTTTCTTTCTAGTTTTGTTTTTTTGCCAACAAGCACAAATGTATGGTTGTAGAAAAACTCCAAGGATGAAAGCAACTATAAAAGTTATGATAACTGACAAGCTGACGGCCAAGGCAAAGTCAGATTGTGAGACTCTGGTTTCAATTTTCTGCATTTTGTTCTGAAGTGAAGGTATGATTTTGTCCGACACACTTCTAATTTTTCTGTTTTGATCATGCATTTGTACATTGTTTGGATCATGTATGTGTAAATAGTAACTTGATAATATTTGGAGTGATGTTGAAAGGCATACATATAGTCCTTCAGATGGTTCTGTGATGTTACTGATAAGAAGAGAGCCTTGTTGCTGTCCTTTAGTTGCTCGACCAATGGGAGTCCACCATACTGCGTCTACAGGACAACACAAGAATCCTATTAAACAATTAAATATGCATTCCATTGGAGTTGCCGGACTCCAGGCCAAAACAATAATCACATTTAAAAATAGAAACAATTATAATTTGGTTGCCTCTATTAATCATTTTCAAATTGAACAATCTTGCATCACACAGAGCTGCTTTCCCTTTTAAAAAGGACATGATCACGAATACAAGCAGTTGAAATGGGTGCCCTCTGTGTAGTGGCTGGGTTAATTGTCACATGGGGAAGCTCCTCGTCCTTTCTTAAAACACATTTATAGACATTGGTCATCTGGCCTCAATGGACCAATGGCTCCAATGTTTGTTATTATTGAATTTCCTGTATTTGTGTTTGTATTTTGTTTGTATTTTTTATTTGGTTGGGACAGTTTGAACGGTTTGATTCTCTGATCTATTGTTGGTAAATCAACAACTTTGTAAAGTCCTTCGAGATAACTACTGTACTGTTGTAATTTAGATCAATACAGAAATAAATGGAATTGAATTGAGAAGCCCGGTTTAGAGTCGTTGCTCCTCCACATTAATAGTAGCCATCTGAATTGGCTGATATTGTGGTCCTCTGTGTTTTATTTATTTCATTTTATTTACTTTATTCTATGTATATGGGCTTGTTCACACTAAAGGGCACAAAAGTGTGACAAAAGGCCAAAAATTAGATTTTAATAATAAGAAGATATTTTATGTTTTTCATGTTTCCAAGTACCTCCTCTGTCCATTAGAAGTTGCTAGAACATAACTGTTTTATACATTAGACAAGTTTCCTATAGCGTCCCTGTTTATTTTATGTAACGGACATGATTTTGGCTTTGTGGAAGTTCGATAGGTATTTTCAGATGTCCACATTTGATTCAGAGATTCTATTTTTTTACACAAAGTAGATGCAACGTGAAACTTTCATATTATCAACCAATTAAATGTGAAAACAGACCAGATTTGTATTTTTCTCAAGTTAATTTTTTAGAGAAAAGAGGACCGTCCTCATCACGTCCGTTACAAATTTTTCAGGGGTAATTTAATTAAATAATTATTTTTTATTTTTTCACGATTCGTTTTTATATCAAGTGATTTCCTTCTGTTGTGTCAACCATGTAAATCTTGTGGGATTTCATCTTTTACTTTTTCAGACTGAGGACATTTTATTTTCTATGTAACTGGCGTCACAGTAGAATGGTCAAATAAGAGGCTGATTTGGTCGTTTAAAATGTCGCAAAAATTTTTTTTGTCAATCTTTATTTTTGATTTTTTCCACACTATCTCTTCAATGTGTTTGTGTTTGAAATCTTTTTTCCAATCTATGAAAGTAATTTTAGTTTTTAAGTTATAACCTTTTGAAGTCCAGATACTTTAATTGTCACTTTACTGTGAACACACTCATATATAGATGGTATTTGTATTAATTATTCATAAATATATCCTAGTGTTCGATGTATCTTCTATTTGTCATTTTATTTTATTTATAGAGCTGGTAGACTCATACGTATGTCTAAATTTGTTTCTTTTGTCTCTGTGCAGCAATTGAAACTTGTTATAAAATCCATCCATCCATCCATTTTCTTCCCCTTAATCCATTTCTGGGTCAGGGGGGTGACAGTCAGAGCTGCAACCAGTACACATAGCACCAGCCCCTCACTGATCCCCCTGCAGGTGGTGAGTCCACAGGAGCTGAGATCTTTCAGTTGGGGCTTTGGGCAAAGTAGGGTTAAGTGTCTTGCCCAAGGACACAACGTCAGCAGTCATCAGTGGGAGTCGGGAAGTAGGTCTTACGGTGGGCTCGAACCCACGACCTTCAGGGCCAAAGGCCAATGCTCTACCAACTGAGCTACTGTCGCAACATTGTTATAAAATGTGCTGTATAAATAAAGTGGATCATTGCATTCACACGCAAGAATGTGAGGCCACAAGCAGAACCATAGAGCTGCTTTAACAAAAAAGTTAGCCATGTCAGAAGGATTAGCTGAATATTTTTTGTACCACATAAATCTGGATGGGAAAAATACTTATATATGAGAGAGGTAAGTTAAGTAGCACAACATTCATGTATTTTTATTCAATTAAAAAAATCAAAAAAGCATATAAGAAATGTTCATGGGCTTATCAATACACCCTCATGTCAATGTATAGATGTTTGGGACTGTTTCGTGTACGACACTAAGTGACAGAAATGAATCCTAATCTAAGTTAGTTGAAAGTAAAAAGCTACATTTGCATGACTTACCTGATTTAGAGCATGGCAGTTGCGTTGTCGAGCCTCTTTGGACAGACACTTCTTGGTGAATGTTTGAATCCTGACAATCCAGACGCTCTTTATCCAACTCCTGGAGGTTCTTCACAGACAGAGACAACGGGGAAGCACATTCAATGAACCACATCTTCAGGCTTTTGCTGTTTCCGTAGACTCTCTGTCTTTGTAGAAAAGACATTCTACAGTCACAAATCCAGGGGTTTCCTCTTATAGCCACATCTGCTCCAATGTGTTGAAGAGTCATATATGTCACAGGGTGGATAGTCGTCAACAGGTTGAAGCTCAGATCAAGATGCTAAAAGAACAGAGAAATACAAGTTGTATTCAAAATTACAATAAACACAGTAAGTGAAATATCAAATCAGGAATAATGTATGGCATAATATACCTTAAGCCTGTAAAGCTTCTCAAATATCTGTGGATGGAGACTACTGATAAGGTTATGTTGAAGATCGAGCTCTTCCAATTGTTCAAGGTGAAAGAAATCTTTCTGTTCCAGAGTGGAAATAGTATTGAAGGCAATGATAAGAACCTGTAAAGATCGCTGTTGTCCCAACCCTGTAAACAAACAAATATTAATTAGTTTAGTTTACTTTACTTTACATAGTGTGCAGCAAGGATTACACTGTTATGAAAAAAAGGATTAGGCCAAAGCAAGAAAGCTTATAAGTGCCGACTGTCATGGTGTGGATTTTGTTATTTTGTACTTTGGTTTTATTTTGGCATTGTTCTCTGTGGTTTGGTTTAGTTTGATTCTCTTTAGTTTGATTCTTGATTGTCTTCTCCGCCCTGATGTGTTTCACCTGTGTCTCTCTGTGTCTACATGTACCCTGTGCTCCTCTCCTCCCGTTGCTGGTCCATTGTATTGTCAACCTCCGTCCTGTAGTGTCTTGTCAAGTTCTGTTCCTGGTTCCTTTGTATTTTTTGAGATTTGTTTTTACGTTGGAAATTATTTTATTAAATCATTCATTTTTGCATTCCTGCGTTTGGGTCCTCCATTCATCTCACCCCACCACGTGACACCTACCTCCCTATTCTAATTACAACTTGAATTTCTGTAAGATAAAGGTTAAGCACGACCACCTGGCCTAGTACACTGCATTTCATGTTGTGTATTGATCAAATGAAGTTTAAGTTTTATGGCATTGAGCAATCTACAACAGTCTTGGCGTTACAAACACTTTACAGTTGCAAAAGCCAGGGAAGATTTATAACTTTGGGGGTCCAAGGCAATTGTCATTTAGGGGCCCCCTCTTTCTTTCTTTTCCTCCACAGAACGTTTAAACACAATTTATGATTAATACTTGGACCACATTAGTTTATATTATTTGAAAATGAACAACTGTAATTTATGGGAATGAACTAAGATCAAAAAGGCATACTTGCATTTTTAAAGCTTTGGTTGCCATGAATTTTGATATCAGTGCTGCCACTGGGAAAATCATTCTATAAGGAGTTATTGCTGTCTGTAGCATGCTGCAAAACTGTATAAACTCAGAGATATGTATCACAGAAGCACACAAACAAATGTACTATATGTACTGTATTTTACAAAAAAATGCTACAATGTCCCAGAATTCGTCATTTCAGCTGGAGAAATGTTTCTCCCATCATCTCATTACGATTTACAGCATGAATTTTTCTGCTGTCTGCTCCTTTCAACAGTCTGAGAGCAGGGAGACTGTGCTGCTCCAGTACAGCGGAGCCACATTTCTGTGAGTTGAATACCAAACAGGAGAAGACTGCTCCATGTTAACTCTGTGGCCCAGTCCATGTGATCACTGCTGAACCATGCTGCGGAAAAACATGTTTGGCTTTGACACAAGCTCAAGAGGAGGAGGTTACACTGTGAGCACCATTAGAGGTTTGTATAAGAAACGGTTGACAGTTATCAGAAGGTGTTGTCAGAATTGGGCCAAAGTACTGGAGATAAAGAAGGTGAGGAGGGTGTACGCCCAGATCCAGTATTGGAAATGTGTTTGTTTGTGTGTTTGAAATGTGTTTTCAATAATCCCAATTACAGTTAAATTGGAAAGATATGTAAATGTATCACATTATAAGTTATGTCTGTCTGTCCTCCCGTGAATAATGTATATGTTTTGGTTGGATTGACACTTCTTCTTTATCGTGTGTTGTAAATATAGGCTCAGCTTGAAACTTAGATAAGATCATTGATCAGAGAAAATAGAGCCATTAACACAATGATAAAGCCAATTATAGTAGTTTGCTGAATTATGAATATATACTAAAAACATTTATACACTCAAATATATATTATGTACTGTAATAATGTGGCTGTAAGACCTAAGCCTTACTTACTAGCCTTACTTACATGTAATCTTTTGCATACTTAAGAAAGATCAATGTCATAAGTAATTTTGATGGTTTAGGCTCTCTTCTTCGCTTTTCTGTCTAAAAAAGCTGATCTCAAGATCTGACAGAGGCCATAAACTACATGCAGGTGAAAGCTGAAAATATATTCGCTGTTATATGTTTACTGTTTTGAGAGCGAGGAACTAGATGGATGGATTTAGTTATACTTTTGTGGTTCAAAAGCAGCTTAAAAAAAAAAACAACACTAACAAAACCAAATCTCGTATTGTCATAGCTGCCACACTATTATTGATTTTAAACGCTGCCACACAGTGGCCCTTAAATATTCATAAATGACACCAGTACACCAATTGTTGGTCAAATACAGAAATATTCAATAGGGACACTTTTTTATTGGAGGTGTGTTGTGTCCAGAGACACAACACACCTCCAACAGGGATGCTTAAAAAAAGCATCCCTATTGACACAATTTGTTATGGCAGAAAAAATGACCAAACATAGATCTAGTTCAATGATTCAACAACCACTGCTAGAATTTTGTTTTACAAAAGGCTAAATGCAAAATGACCAAAACAGGTCTAAACTACAGACAAGTACAAACCAGACAACCTGTTAATAGTGTGTTGAAAATCTGTTTACACAGATTTTAAATAATGTTTGTATTTATTTTTTTATATTTTACACAGAAAATCTATTTTAAGATTAATGGATAGATTATATATATATATATACACACTTTTGTAAAACACACCTCTGCGGAGGGCGAAAAGTGTGTGTGTGTGTTTTTTTAATATACATACAGTACATAGTTTTTCTTATTGATTGAATTTATTGATTACGTTTTTAGGACTGCATTTATAACTGTTACATCGACTCACCTTGAGGGAGTTTCTGGAGCTGGTTCCTCTGCACAGACAGCAGCTGCAGGGTGGGGGCCGACAGCACACAGCTCCTTCTCAACCTGGACGTGGACTGGCCCTTTAAACCCATATCCACACAGAGAGACAGATGTGGCATACTGTTGTTCCCAAGCCATAATTTGTGAAGATTCTGATACGTTGACTGAAATATTAAAGATCTCAACTGATTATTAGACAAGTCCAGTTCAGATATCGACGTGTCAATGTTTGTCGGTGCCACGAAGAGCCCAGCCGATGAACAGTTTAGTTGTAAAGATGGCTGACAAGTGCAAAAATCTGGACAAGATTCATGCGGAGAGGAGTTCAGGTGTCCACAGGATAAGAGAAGAACAAGTACCAGTCTGAGGCCTGGTGACATGGCCATCACAATCCTGTTTAAAGTAGTTCACAGCTGCATTACGGGTTGTAATGAATAACATAAACACATCAAAATCAAGTAAATAAAGAAAGGCTCACCTGATTGAGTCTTGTGACACTGAAAACACGGGACACTCTACTCTGCCTATCCAAAGTCTGAGGTGTTTTTGCTGTCTTAGCTCCGGAAGCACCAGCCCAAAGATGTCATTCTCAGCTCCTTCTAATCATTTACACTGTGGGTTAATGTCTTACTGTCATTGTTTGACAGATAGCAACATGTTTATGATAGAGAGCCCTGCCCTTACATTCCATACTGTAATAAAAATGCATAATGTAGGAGTGCCATATGATTTTAAAGGGCCGTATAAATGCCTGGACATCCACTGAAACCAGTGATAAGAGCGTCAACACAGGAGCACTGTTTCAACATGTTTCTTTATTGAAACAAACACATTTCAACACAAGGCCATTCAGGATCTTGGTTTTCCAGTCCAAGCATAAAGTCAGTTATATTCTGAGAGCATTGTATTGATATTCTAAGAAACATCTTTGACAGTGCTGTTAAAAACTGAAAATGCAAGTAACACAAAACATATATTGCACAAATCAGAACACGCAATAAAACCTTTCAATAACGATTTAGTTTGCTGCCTCAGTACAAACACGCCTGTAGACACATCTGTTCCAGTAAAAAAACTTAAGCAACAAAAGATAAAAACAGAATAATGCTGTATTTATTACAATCCCTTAAAAATCCATTGGCACGTGCATGATAGAAAGGTGCAAAGGAAAACTTGCATTTTGTCTGCTTTCATAAAACATGATGGTCTAATGGCTATTAATATTAATATTTATTTAATTCAAACATGATAATATTTATTAAGGAAAATAAATCCATGTAATAATATAAATTATGATCGTTGCATCCTCACACTAGTCCATAACAGCTACCAGAGCAAGTACATCTCTTCATTGTTGTAGCTAAACTGGACAGTAATAAAAAAATCTTTGGGCACAACCCACGACATGAGATTAAACAGAGGAGTGTTATATGTCAATCTTCTATTCAATACAAAAAAATAATAATAAAAAGAGTGGGAGAACTTAATTTAGTGGTTTGAATACTGGATGGTGGCACATGATTAGCATCAGATTTCAGTCCAGTTTAAAAGTGAGCCTTTTTACACGGGTTATCAGACGTTTGGCAGCCCATATTAGGAAACTTCACCTGAACTCGGAACAGCGTCCCGTCCGCACACATACACAGTTTGTAGCGCTCCAGCCCCTCGTCAAAATACACGTCTCCTGCTGAGTTTGGAATTCGAGTTGCATTGAACATGACGGAGCCGTTGAGTACGATACTGTTTTCCTGCAAAGATAAGAGAAGATAAGAAATCCTTGAATCGTTCTGCAGTGGGAAAATGTCTTATTTTTATTTTTTTTATTAAACTTTATTTACACACCAGGTGAACATGTACATAGGGATAGTCAATAAGCAAGCAATACAAACAATAATAATATTAGTTCTAGAAGGGACTTTAACAGATATATAAACTAAATTTAGGTGTGTGCGTGTGTGTGGGGGGTGGGGGGTGGAGGGGTTATATTAGCATTAACCTAAATTTAGGGGAGGGGGGGTAAATAAAAGTTGCAGTGGGAAAATTTCAATGTTGCAGCGCACATACAGGACAGTAGTAAGAGCACACAGAGAGCACACAAAGTATACAATATAAGTAGCTGCTATGTTTCTTAGCTAGCTGTAAATGCTTTAATATCAATCTATCAAGAGAAACAACTTAGACAGTGAAAAAGTGTGCAAGACTACCCCAGTGAGCACCAGATCTATTGCCATGCGCAAACATTTGTGTTTATTTTTTTCAATCAATTTGGTAAAGGGTTGGACATGGAGTTTTGCGAAATAGCAGTGGACTACAGGCTGCTGGTGAAGGAGAGAATCAAGCTTTTATGGGTTTTGACGACAGGTGAAAAGGACCATGGGGCGATGGCAGATGTGATGGCTGAGGCAGGGGTTGGAGACGGTTGAAGAAACTTAGGATTCACTTGTAAATCACAAAAAAAATACTGACCGATGTTTGCATGTAGCTGGTGAAGGATTTTTATATTAAATGGAATAAATAGCACGACAACTATTTCTGTGATTTCAATTATTTAAAGATATCAACATGAAAACAACATCTCTGAAGTTTAATGTAACTTATTTGAATACAATATTTTCTAAAAAGCCATTAATCTGGATCCTTTTAAATGATTCACAGACTCTGGGTCAACACTGTAGATCCTGTAGGTCAATACATATTTCAAGAAGGATATTTAATTAAGAACAGTAAAAAAAAAATTGGCAATCATTGTTATCTATAAATATTGAAACAATATTAAGTATATAATAAATAAAGCACTTATTAACTTACCTGAAGAGATTACCTTTACACCTTTCTTAAACAACTAAAACAATTTCATAACATTTTAATTATGTTGCTTTCATTTTTCATTTAATTTTCTTTTTTGTAGAGAAACACAGAATACTCACAGCCCTGAGTTCGATGCCTCCGCCCATTTTGAACTCCACGGTGCGTCCCATGATGTTCACGCCCTCGTTACCGCGAATGATAGCCTTTCCATCTCCTTTGATGTTCAGGTCAGAGGACGCGCTGCTGGTGATCTGTATCAGATAAAACACACTGATTAGGAAGTGTTGTGGACGGCCTCATGTTACACCTGATATTGAAGCATGTTGAGCTTCCCTTTGGAACAGCACTGTTCCCCAGAGCAAAGGTTGACAGTCTGATGCTATGGACACTGACAGGTAAAATGACACAGATAACCCCTTTATTGCAGCATTGTAAATGGGTAGACTCTCTAATCCTCATTTGACCCTTTCAAACTGTTGTTTTGTAGAAATTAGATGGCAGAAGCAGGGTATGTGTAATGTGCTTTAACATGTTTTATGATGGTCACTTTACTGTCACTACTGTCACTTTATGAAATGCACTGCTAAATGTCTATAGAGGGGTCATTGTCTGAGGGCCAGAGTTTTACCAGATAGTCTCCTCGGGACAGGACCCCCAAAGAGAAAATGTAATCATATTCAGATTCATTTATTTGCAGTCGGCAGTAAAACCACATTGGAATACATCCGCAAGATTGTTTTCAAAACACTGATTGGGAAATGATCTGCAGCTCTCATGGTGAGGACATCGAGAGCCTGACACACTGCATTACAGACTATATTCTCTTCTGTGTGGATAACACTGTACCAACTAAGAAGGTGCAGTGTTTTTCTAACAACCACCCATGGGTGACCCCTGAGCTTAAAGCCCTCCTGAACCTCAAGAAAAGGGATTTCATCTCAGGGGACAGGGAGGAGCAGAAGGGGATCCAGCACGAGCTCCAGTGGAGGATCAGGAGGGCCAAGAAGGACTATGGGAAAAAGCTGGAGCAGAAGCTGGCCCAGGGAAACGCCCGCGACGTGTGGAGAGGCCTAAAGAACATCTCCGGCTTTGGACAGAGTGCCAGAGGAACAGCGGATGGAGACCAGCACCGGGCGGATGAATTTAACCAGTACTTCAACCGGTTTGATTCTCCCCCCTCTCCATCTGCCCCCCCTCCCGCCCCCACCTCTTCACACGTCCCCAGCCCAGTGGACACCGCCCAGTGGACACTGCCTCCGGCTGCCCCGGGCCCTCCTGCCCCCGCATCCCCAGCCCCCACCTCTGACAGTACACCCCGGTTCCCCCCCCCCCCTCTCCATCACACCGGACCAGGTGAGGAGTCAGCTCCAGCGCCTGAAGTTGAGGAAATTCGCAGGACCGGACGGGATCAGTCCCAGGCTGCTGAGGACCTGTGCAGACCAGCTCTCAGCTACATGTACAACCTGAGCCTCAGCCTGGAGAAGGTCCCTGTCCTGTGGAAGACCTCCTGTGTGATCCCGGTTCCAAAAACAGCACACGCCAAGGAACCGGCTCACTACAGACCAGTCGCACTGACCTCCCACCTGATGAAGACCATGGAGCGGCTCATCCTCACCCATCTCCGCTCCGTGGTCAGCCCCACCCTGGACCCGCTGCAGTTCGCCTACAGACCCAACATCGGAGTAGAGGACGCCGTCATCTACTTCCTGCAGCGGACGCTCTCCCACCTGGAGCCCGCCGGGAGCGCTGTGAGGGTCATGTTTTTCGCTTTCAATACCATCAGGCCGGCACTGCTGCAGGGGAAGATGGAGGACGCAGGAGTGGACAGTAGCCTCACTGCATGGACCATCAACTACCTCTCAGACCGACCACAGTACGTGCGGCTGCGCAGCTGTGAGTCTGAGGTGGTAGTCTGCAGCACTGGGGCCCCTCAGGGCACTGTCCTCTCACCGTTTCTCTTCACCATCTACACCTCAGACTTCACACACGACACTTACAGCTGTCACCTGCAGAAGTTCTCCGACGACTCCGCCATCGTGGGCTGTGTGTCTGAGGGGAACGATCTGGAATATCGGTCGGTTATCAAGGACTTTGTCGACTGGTGTGAGTGCAACCACTTGTGCTTGAACACCAGTAAGACCAAGGAGATGGTCATCGACTTCAGGAGAAAACTACTTTCCCACACGCTGCTGAACATCCAGGGGGAGGACATTGAGCTGGTGGACAGCTTCAAGTACCTGGGTGTTCACATTAACAATAAACTGGACTGGTCCCATAATACCAACGCCCTGCACAAGAAGGGCCAAAGTCGCCTCTTCCTTCTGAGGAGGCTGAGGTCCTTCGGAGTGAGCAGGCCTCTGCTCAGGACTTTTTATGACTCTGTGGTAGCTTCTGCCATTTACTACGCTGCCGTGTGCTGGGCCCCGGGCAGCACAGAGCGGGACAGAAACAGACTGAACAAGCTGGTCAGGAGGGCCAGCTCCACTCTGGGCTGCTCCCTGGACTCTGTGGAGGAGGTGAGGGACAGGAGGGTGCTAGCCAAAGCCACCTCCATCATGAACAATACCTCCCACCCACTGCACAGGACTGTAGAGGAGCTGAGGAGCTCCTTCAGTGGAAGACTGAGACACCCTCAGTGTAGGAAGGAGCGCTACCGCAGGGCCTTTATCCCCACCGCTGTCAGACTGTACAATAAGTCACTTTAAATGATCACTGTGTGAAAACCTGCACTACTATTGACACTGTTTCCAATTGACACTTGTCACTTTTGTTGTACATAATTATTGTCACTTTTATTGTACATATATCCTGCATGTAACATGTACATGTACTCTTGCAAAATCTGAGTGTTCTATCCATGCCAAATGTGACATGTAAATTTCTCCTCTGTGAGATAAATAAAGCACATCTTATCTTATCTTATCTTAAAAATAAATGAACAAAACAAGGTCAAAAGCACAGAAATAAATACAAAAATATCAGGAAACAATTGATCAACTAAAACAGTTTCAATATAAAGGCAAGATCAAGTGCCTTGTTTAAACTGACAACTGACTCAACTAAAACTAAAATGCATGTTTGACTAATCTTGAATGAAACTAAAAGGAAATACCCTTTCCGTGGAGGCTTTCTTCACACTGAGGACCTTCACTCCCTTGGGCAGATTGAACTCATGGTTTTCAAAGTCCGTGCTGAAATAGGTGTTTTGTGAGCGTGGGTCTGTGAAGGAAATGCCAACGTCACTGACCACAGAGGTCTTGTCCTTCTCTACACTCAGTTTGGTGGTTCCTTGTTGAAACACAACCTGGAAATAAAGACATGAAGTAAAATCATTATTAAAAGTCTGATTTGTGTACATGTTTATTCCTTATGCATGTTAAGTCCTTACTGGGTTGTTGTTTCCCACAATCACCAAGTCCTTGTCTTTGCGGCCTCCGATTGTGCTCTTGTGAAGCGGATGGACGATTCCCATGTCAGCTTTTTGTTTGAATCGAAGGAGACCAGACTCATGAAACTCCATACTATCACAGCCATTCGGACCAATACGAATCACAGTCCAAATCACCAGCGTTATCTACAAACAAAAGTAATGATTTTATAACAACATCAGTGGATTTTTTATTGCTATATTTCATGGTCCTGACATCATTGTTTAGAGTTGTCATGATAGTGATAGAATATTATTATTATATATATTTTTTTCAATGGTGGAGCGAAAGTTGCTCAGTTGGTAGAACATAGGCCTTTGAGCCTAATGGTCGTGGGTTCGATCCCCCACAAAACCCGATGGCCACCCCCCCTCCCCCGCCCCGCCCGACCCAGAAACTGATTAATAAAGGAGATGTGAATGAATTGACGTCAATCTGCTTTCATATTATTTCTTGTGTTGATTGAGATTGTTCTAGATCTATAAAAAATAAAATGTCGTGAACATTGTTTTTTGGCAGTTTACAGGCAAAAAATACTTACAATAAGGTTTATTAAGGCGAGGAGGAATAGAAGAACAATGATGCAGACAGCCATGTTTCCTTTCCGCCCCCTGAGTCCAGTTTTATGAAGACGCTCCTCTTCAATGGGGATGTATCCTGCTTTGAAGTTACTGTTGTGCTCTTTGTTCACATTCCGTCGTTCTATGGCCTTCTCCCTCATGGACTTCTTCATGGGCCCATTGGAACTTTCCTGAAGCAAAATAAAGAGGGATTGTGATGAGTAGGATGTTCAGTTAGTGATAAGGATATCTGAAGAAAATTCGAGTTCATAACATACATTCCACCGAAATACATCAATAAGTTAAACCAGACTTCAACTTACAGTACATACCATACTGTGGAAAAACGGCTGTGTATGGGTCACGTTGTGTAGATGCAAGCCAAATCACAACTACTATGCATGTTCTTACTTTATGAAGACATATTATAGGGTCTTGGGATGATATTGAAACAACTTTGTTCTAAACATGCAAATACAAAACAGGGGTTGAATCCCTGTGAACCATTAGTTATGTTTATCATTAAAAGTCATGAGCTGAAACAAATAAACAGCAGACTCAATAAATCAATCAGCAATACATGTGACTTATTCATCTCAAATTGTATTATGCTAACATAATAAACACATCTTCCTCTCTATTGCAGAGACAATTTGCAATACACAGTGTTCACCAAAATGTTTTACTCCATCCATTAGGTAGTTAAACTGATAAAGTAATAATCGGGAGGGGCTTACTGGACTGTGTGTGGTCCAGCTGAGCAGTACAAGAATGTAACTGTGTTAAATGCCCCCAGCCTGCCTGTCTACTGCCAACTAAAAATAAACTGCACTCGTTTAGCATGAAAAAAGCGAGCTATCTTCTGCTTCTTTTGTGTGAATTAGATTAAGCCTCGGGTTAAAATAAAGCTGTACATTTGTATAAAATAGACACATGGTTGATGTTATATGATGCCTATCATATGAATCTAGCAAAACGGAGGCCAGTGGTTATTAACAATGCATTAACGTGAATAGAGGAAGATCTATCGTTAGCTTCATGCTGTCAAATCTGGAATACTATACATCTACACCACTGAACAACAAATATAATGTAGTAGATCAGAACAAACTCAATCATGTAAGAAATATTGTAAATAACGGACCTGTTCCGACGCCATGTTTACCCTCCCTCTGCAGCCGAGGGATTGGGCCAGTCCATTTTAGGCTTTACGGGTAATCTTTAAACATATTCGTTAAAGTTAATAAACGCTAGATCAAAATATTAGAGACGGACACATCAGAAAGACAAACATTATAATAAACCTGTTTTGCACTTTTATTTTTCCCCCTGAAATACAAGTTTCTAATTAGAACGTTATTGTGTCATAATAGTTCAGTCCAAGATCATTTTTGGCCAATGACCGTAGTTCCCAAAATAGTAAAAGCCCATTCAAGTTTTCCATAATAAACTTGACTACTTGAGCCAGAAACAAGGTTTGAATGGAAAAAAAATAAAACAAATTAACCATTAGGTAGCTATTACTATAAAGGTAACTTTTCCACATTGTTGTGATGTTGTAGATCGTAGCCAAATGTGGAGAAAAACATACATTTCACGTACCTTTAAAATAAATCTCTCTACAACCTCTACAACCTTCCATAAATTAAGAAACACCCCATCATCTTTAGTTTCATATATTAGGCATGATTTCTTGGTCAGTTATTCACTAAAACTCATAGGAAATATCCATTGACAATAGAAGGAGTCTGAACATAATAGAGCTGCCACAGGTTACTGTCTGGTGTCCATTACAGTGTGACATTACAATTAGCCAACTTCCCCGGAAGGAAGCTGCAGATCAACAACACCACATCAGTGAGGACGAGGAGCGCTACTTTTATTTTTCAATCCCCCAACCCTTACCGCCTGGGCACTTGATTGCCACAACTGAGGCGGTGCTTGTCGAAGGAGGGGTTGGAGAAAGTTATCAAGGAGGCAGGATACTTACCCCCCTCTTCTGCCCCTCTGGTTTAACCTCTGCATGTACATTTTAAACCTCAAAAGGACTAGCTATTTTTGTTTTGATCTCGAATTGTCATGGCTGATACTTTGAGGAGACTGACTAATACCTCTTCATTCAACGTTTTACAGGACAAGCTTGAAACCTGGCACAGTGACTACCACGTAAGTTCATCATGAATTAATAATAAGCAACCTAAATCTGACCGGGCCACTTCTGCACTTTGATCTGAATGCTAATAGGTGGTGCTGATAAAGTGATTTAGTACGATACGTTAGCCTATAATATTTGCCTTGGCTAGTGGCTATAATCTGTTTCTGCTTTTATGAGTTAACGCGAGCTTGAAATGTGTAACCCACGCGTTGAGACGATTGAATATCATAATTTTTAAGTAAGATATCTTTTACTAAATCTGCTGCTTACATATTTAGCTAACAAATGCAAGTGTAGGAATGTTTTATTAGCCTTGATTTTAGCTTAAGTTTGGTTGCCATGGACGCCAGTTGCCATGACTACCGGGGACCTTTCCAAAGACGTTTAACGCGGATAGTTGTAGTTCTTTTGCTTCCGGGTTAGTTTAAAGGGCCCATACAATCTCGTGTATTTAGTGTAGTTATAACGATGGGATCTATTCATGGGTTTCAATTACAGTCTATGGTTTCAACCATAGATATATAGTCTATAGTTGCAACTAAACTTTTATGCATGTTTAATCATGTGTTTTATTAAACGCAATATTATAAACAAAACAATAAATTCATAAAGTTTTATTTGAATGATAAAATAGTTTTATCTGGATATAGAATCGATTTTAAAAATGAGATAAAGTGGTGTATCTGCTATATACATTTTAAGTTATACTAATTGATGTATTTCTTATTGATGTAATCCATTAGATATAATTGCTTCCTATACAGACAATAAAGTATACAGAAGGAATTGATAATCACTATATTATTTATTGGTGGTGTTCACATTTTTTTTAAAGGGAATGTAAACACCACTCAGAAAGTCCCTGTGCTGACTGGGATTTTATCGCAGAGCCTTCTTGCGGCAAAGAGAGTGCTAACCACTCATTCACGCTGCCATTCATATGCATACTTTATGCATTTAACAATTGTTCCTTCAGGTGCTTTCCTGTGAACAGAATTTGAACAGATGCTGTGAGCTGGTTGAGCTGACAGCTAAAATACAAGGTCAACTATTTTCTATTCTCAATCTGACAGCTGCAGAAGGTATATTATCTATTCTATAGTGCAGTAAATGTTACAAAATCCTTTTTCCAACTCTATGTTATTTTTATTACATTTAGGCGGACAATATGGAGGAGTGGATACTCTCAAATCACGCCTTCTTCCATGGCTTGGAAGCTGTTTCTCTATGGCGCGACCATCTCTTTCTGATGACACCAGCTTTCAGCTCCTGCAGGTGACAATATTAATTTCTGTATATAATGCAATTTGAAACAATACAATGAATCATGTTTTTGAATTAATCTTAGGACTCAAGAGAGAAAGACAGACAACTCAAGGAGCTGTCTCTATCTCACGACAGTACCATGCAAAAGATAGAAGATCAGCTGTGCTCTACACGGATACAATTGGACTCAGCTAGAGCAGAGTAAATTGGAAAAATCTTCTTTTATATCATATTCATATTACGTTAATGGTTTAATTCACTTTGATATTGTTTGACAGATTAGTTGAAGCTCATAATGAACTGGATGACACAAAAAACCAATCAGCGACTACTCTGCTCGCAACAGAAGATGAGATCATACAGCTCAGAGCAGAGTGAGTGACATGACTTTTACATATGGAAACAGCCGGTTAATGTATAATCCTCTGTTAATATTGGTGTGTCTATTTCCAGTTTGCGTGTGGCTCGTGATGAACTTGAAATCTACAAGAGAAAGCTCAGCACCATTGATGACTATGAGCGACAAATACGTTTACTGAGAGATGAAGTGTCATACCTCACCACAGAAAAGACCATGCAAGAAAAGTGATTTACAGACAGGAATAGACAGATGAAATTAGTAAATGTTTAACCTCACCCTAAAACAGAGATTGGGAACCTTTTTAGCCGAGAGAGCGAAAAAGGTCTCCTTTTGAAACATGTATTTCTTTGGGAGCCATACATATTTTTTTTGCTGTGAATATGTATGATTAAAAAACAAGATAAACACATTTATAGTAAGATATTAGTAATGTAATTTATGTATTCTTTCGTTGAATTACATATTTATGCTGTAGAAATTCAGTGCATAAAATGTCTTACTATGAATGCCATAGGTCCGGACCCCTGCCCTTAACCCTTGCATTTCATTCAGAAAAATAATAATCTAAACTCTAAACAGCTGAACCAAGAAATGGCCCTTTCCCCCTTCCTATTTAATTATTTAATCACAATTCCATATATTCTAGACATTTTTACAGCAGAAATTTGCAGCCTCAAAGACAAGACTTTTATCAAGTTGATGATGGTTTTTTTTTTTTACTGTTTTATTTAGGCTGGTCCACAGTCGCTCCCCCAGCCCTCTGCCCAGGCTGAGCCGCACGTCCAGTCCCATTCGGAGCGAGTCGCCGACCAGGGCGCAGCTCACACACTCGTCCCGACACGCTCGCCTCGTGTCCCGGTTCAGCGACCTGTACGCCGTGGAGAGACTGGAGGCCCAGGCCACACTGCGGCGCTACGTGGACGATATAGAAATGGTCTATAAAATCATCTTCATTGCTGCCGTGGTATGACTCTTATCAGACGTTTTGTCATGAGCACTGAAATGAACTGAATGAGTATTTTCTGGTCAATTAAGCCACCTGTATATGAGCCGCACAAGCAATATTTTAAAAGAAAGTACATATTGTCCACACATAGGCCATACTGACTTGTTTAACAGCTTAACCGTTCACCAGGCTATTTTGACGATAAACAAGTGTCTTGTACCACAAGACATAAAAAAGTTCATAGACTTTCTTCTGACAGCTCTTTCAAAATATAATTACAAATTATGGTGCATCGATGTACAAGCAAGCAGCAGGGTAAAAAAATAATTTAAAAGTAGAAAAAAGTAGCGGTTTATAGTCCAAAATATACGGTAGGTTGTATGGTGAGACATTTTTTGTGAAAAATTGTGAGAAGGGGGATAATGGGAATGGGGCAAGGACATTTTCATTTGACATACTAAAATACATGGGTAAAGGTTATTAAGAATGCCTGATAAGCTTCTATTCCTTTTATCTCGTTGTAGGAAGCCTTTAGAGTCGCGAGGCTAGCATATCGTCAGTTCAAACTGCGGATAAGAAAGTCTCTGGCTTCTACCCACTTTGGTCCTGAGAGTTTGGAGGATGCAGCTGTCGACTACATCGTTCGTAATCTGGATCTTTATGACGTACAAGCCAGCGTGAATGTAGGACCAACATCTCTGCAATATTGAAAAACACTCAGATGAAGTTTTATTCATGTTGTTTCACTCTTTAGGATGTGATCGATTCAATGAATGTGAATCCTCGCATCTCATTTCCTCCAGAGACAGACTTTGTTCTTATCAGTCCTTTGATCAGAGAGATCTGCAGAATGGCCTTCGCCATGCAGACTCTGGACCCGCCTCTGGACTTGGCCTTTGCCACTGAAGGGGAGCTGTACAACGAACTCAGGTCAGATCATGACTTTCCTGGTCCTGGTTAAGCCTTGTTATGGTCTTATCAGGACCATGTGACTAGGGTTAGGGTTTGTGGCTGGCTTTGTCCTAAGATATTTAATTTTAGTTAGATTTAGACAATATTAAGGTGGTTATGATAGTTTACAAGTAAAAGTAAAGTAGAAGAGAATCATTTTTTTGACAAATAAATTTGTTTTCATTTCATTTTAAGTAGCAATATGTATGATTTTTATGTCAAGTAATCATGAAATGACCCTATTTTGCTCTTATTGAATACTTGATAACAGTAGTTCAGCCGAGATAATTGAATTTCAAAATTAGTTTTACAACCCCTAAATCTTGTTATTGTTTTCATTTTGATGTCCTGCCCTCCACCGTTTTAACAATCCGAAAGTCCGTGATCCGGGTTGCCAGAACTCACCGAATCGAGCTCACTGGAAAAGTAACATGTGGCCGCGAGAATAAGAAAGGTCGCGTTATGATTCTAAAATCATTAACAACAAAACAAGAACAAAAATTACGATTTCTATCGAGGCCTTCGTGAAAAAGGTGTTGGTTATAGATTGTTGACTCTTGTCTATTCAACTATTATGGTCCCAGCTGGATGTGTCTGCATATCTGATAACCTGAGTCAGGGAGAGTGCAGTGCCACTTTTGGCCAGATTTTAACATACTGCTCCTTTAACTTATTTTTATTACTTGCCAGGTATCGTCGCAGCTATGACTCGGAGTTCTCTGCTCCTCTGGTCTTGTACCATGTGTGGCCAGCGCTAATGGAAGGAAACATTACATTAGTGAAGGGTGAAGCAGTTACTCGCAGAGGTGCTATGGTACGGTTCAGACTGTCATATCTCTCCATTGTTTGACACTTACTTACACAGTGGGATTCTTTGTTGCAGTGGACTAGAAGCCGCAGCAGGAGCAGGAGTGCCAGCCCATTGCGCTCCAGGTCTCTCAGTCCGTCTCGCAGCCTCGTAAGTTTCAGTAAAGTCTATTAGTCCAAAATACATTAATTGAACTGAACTTCCAATGTATTGATTTCAACCTGCATACGGAATGACCAAAGGGTATGTCACTGAAACACAACAATGCTAAGAGTGGTCAAATTTACCTTAACGTCAGAGTTGAATTGACAATAATTATACCATATTTCTTGTTTATAGGCATTTAACAGTCGAAGGAGTGTGTCTCCTGAACGCCTCAGTGCAAGCTACTTATGATCAATGATCCCTCTGACTGGCAGCTAATACACCAAGAACTGCTTCACGTCTATTTTCAACAAACATTTAACATGCCTAAACACACCCACCGCTGATTTTCTTTTTGTGGCAAAACATGTTAAATGTAAATAAAAAAAAATCAGTTTGAGTCCCCCCCAGCTTAGTGACTTGAGCCCTACGCCTGAGAACCTGCCCTGAACTTTGAAATGCTAATGTGTGCCTGGTAAATTAGATATGTTAAAGTCGGTTGCTGGAGTGTTTAATAGATCTTTATAGATGTTATGGTAATTTCTGTAACATAAGTGGTAACATTAACAGCATTAAACACATACTAATTAATACAAATTTACTAATGTACTTAAATAATAATCCGTATGGCTGTAGTTGTATGATAAAACATATTTATTTGAGAGCTTTAAATGGTGCTATAGCTCATTTAAATATTCTTTACAGTGTAGTAGTTGTTTTGTGTTGTGGAATGATATGTGTATAAACATGAGATAACGGTGCTGTTTTCTTTTTATGACTTTTTATTATTATTTTACTGTTTTTGTAACAGTGATTTATCTTATAGTTTACAACGTTGTACAATATAGCAGGAGGAAAGTATTAGAAATATACTTGGTTACTTTCTAACGTTTTAATGTGTTTGTGTGTGTTTTTAATTTCATTTCATCTTGTTACTCTTTAAAAATAAAATACACATTTGCTATTAAACCTTTTACAGTCTGTGAGTTTGTATGTAGTTATAAACCTGAACAGAAGATGGCGTAAGAGCACTAGGAACCACAATGGATAACATGTTGCAATTATAGATCCATGGTTGCAATTATAGATCCATGGTTGCAATAGAATAGATAAAGCAGTCGTGTGCTTTGAAGTCTTTAGTGATGATAAGAAAAATAATAATAATAATGCCTTACACTTCAGAGTGGGTGGTCAGATTTTATTTTATTTATTTATTTTTTTTTACTAAAAATGATCTTGATTACTGATTTGATTCTAAAAAGTAAGAAATCAAAAAATAAGAAATATTTTTCTTATTGAAAATGAAACAAAAAAACAAACCAAACATAACAGATACATGTCTTCCAACAGTTCTGGTGCAAACATGAACTTAAACCAGAGTGATGGAAGGAAAGGAACAGCTCATGGTCCACATTCATTTATTTCAAACCTCATGAAATGGCCAAGTCTTTCACATCTGTTTTTTAAAGATTAAACTGACAGGAAACCCCTCATGAAAAAGCAGTCAAGTATTACAGTACAGTATACTGCAGAAGAGTAATGCTACCAGTGGCAGACATCACAAACTGTATAAAGGAGTGGACCCTGAAGTGGACTGACCGAGTGCTGACGTCATCCTGGTGTCTGCCTATGTGGAATGAGCCCATTTGAAAATAATAGCTAACTCAGTCCTATTGTTGTCTGATTTGTATCAGAAACAAAAATAGAATAAGTCTTAATCTCATTACATGTATTATTAACCCTTTAATGTCCACTCTTTAACGAAAGCTATTATAGTAGTAGTAACAAATCATTTGTTTTTCCGTATTTCTTTTTTTAACCCCTATTTTATTAAATTATAGGCCTTTACAAAATAGTTGACTGACAGTTTGATGTGAAAAGTGCCTAAAACCAAGTAAGATGCTCCAAAGAGATATAGTTCAGTTCAAAGCTTCAAGTGGATATAGTGACTCAAAATGTGATCTTCTAAATGTTTGTTGCAAAAGGCCCTGAGTCACTACCTACGGCAATCTGGAGTTTTCCACTGAAGGCGTCTGAATTGTCAATCCTTACGGCTCATTTCAGAACTTAGAAAAAAAAAAATGTTTTAAAAATTCCAGGATCAGAAAACGCCAAAATCTATTCATTAAGCCCAAAATGGGGAACATTTCTCAATGTAACTCATCAGGAGCCAGAGCGAGTATTCCCTATTGGGCTTCATTGAGCACTGTCCATGTACATCTATATGTCCATCTATCTTCAACTGGATACATCTGCACCCAGCCCTATATCTTTTCATGGTTTTACGTCTATTACAAAACTGATGTGACTGCATATCTCTGTGTGGGTGTGCGCATGCGTGTGTATGCTTAATAGTATATGTGGTTAGGGGTGGGTTGGGTGGTGGGGGTAACAGGTCATGGACATATGGGACTGTGAAGCACTATGTGTAGCCTTTCATGTATGAAAAGCCATTTATAAATACAATTTGATTGATTGATTCATTGATTGATGGAGTCAATGGCAGGCCCTTATAATGGCCTGAAACTGAAATGGATTTGAACACGATTGCCCTAAACTTAAAGGAAATACTTCAGTTTAAGCACATCTTGTTAGTTTCATTACAAATCCATTGTGATGGGATGTAGACAAGATTATGAGATTTGTTTGGTTGTCCCATCATTTGTGGATCCGATGTACAGAACATATGTAACTCAGCCGGGTGATGTCATTTGCTTGACTCCAACAGAAGACTTTTTAGACATTAAATGCAAGACTGTGGAATAGAGTAAAGAAAGCCAATGCCATGGACAGAAGCACATGGTATAAACTTCCTGCATGAAGTTGCTACTTTCTCAGAAGCTTCTTTTTGATTGAGTATCTGTCCTTCTTGTCAGCTGGAGGTCGGCGGGTTCTCTGAAGATGCAGGGTGTTTTCGGAGAAACTCAGCATTAGTCCAAACCCCCTGTGGATTTTCACTGTAATATTGTCAAATACATGTTAACAAGGGAAACATGGTCAGGCCCAACCACTGAACCTTTGTTTGGGTCATATCACTTATCCTTGCATAATGAATCAGCTTTGACTCATAACGCTGGAATAATCTTGAGGACAACGACGTCAAAGTAATTATGCACAATTAGTTTAAGAGGATTTACTTTCGGGACTAATCATGTAAAAAAACAAATGTACTTAAGCAAGCCACAATCATGCTCATTGAATATACACAAATGTAAACAATGTTGATCCATTCATATGAATTCTTGGCAATTTATGCCAAGAATTCAACAAACCAAACGTCTATGGCAAAAAGGCCGAAAAAGCAATACTCTCATGACTTAATTAGTAGGCTAAAAGTGCAAGCGTTTGAATGTACTTAGGTAAAAAGGTAAAATATATACTTGAATTGATAGAACATATTTTTGAGACATTCTAAGTGTTGCCTTGGAAACTCATACTTTTGTTTAATGTCGTTCAATGTTCATGGTTTTATACTGTCACATATGACAAGAAACTCTGACAAATTGTTATATGAAGAAAGAATTTAGAAGCATGGCTAACCACTTCAAGTCTGTATGGACACATTAAATATATTATAAGATCAAGATAGCTCTCAGTTGTGCTAACATAAATGCATTAGGGTATTCTATATATTATAATTTTTGGAACGCACTGTACTACATTAGGAAATTTAGATTATTTGTTATTTATATTTAACCTTTATTTAACCAGGAAAATACCCATTAAGATCGAGATCTCATTTTCAAGGGAGTCCTGGCTAAGAGGTCTGCAGCACACGTCAAGGGCACTTTTATCAGAACAATAAATCATTAACAACAAAACGTGCGGTTTCCAAATATATACATGAAACAAAAGTGTTTCAAAATAAAGGATATTTCTAAATGACGCCATCTATCATGGCATCTTGGTTAGAAGGAAGTTATTCTTCTGGATAATAATAATGCATAGGCTTTATAAAGCGCATTTTTGGACCCTCAAAGATGCTGTACATGTCCTTTTTCAATCACTCCTTACGCAGTGGTGATAAACTACTACTGTTGCCACAGCTGCCCAGGGGCACACTGACACAAGCGAAGCCTCTCATGAACACACCACACTTGCCAAAGGACACAATACACATTTCACATTTAACAACCAAAGCCATCCAACTGTGGCACCTGGTGTTCCCAGGGTCTTCCATCACAGTACTAACCAGGATCTGCACTGCTTAACTTCCAAGGTCTGACAGGCTCTGGCTTTCATAAGCGCATGTAACACCTTTGTCCAGGCAGCTCGAAAACGTTTCCCTCATGACACAAGAAAAATACACACCTTCAGCTTATGGTCGTTTTTATTATTGAACAAACAGAGAAAATCCCCCAAAATGTGTTGTATTAGTCCATGTGGTTCTTCATGTTTAAACATTGCAGCTCATCACTAATAATAAAGTGCAATTTCAGTTTTACAGCCAACGTTCATAACCTTTCAAGATTTTCTCTCCCACCCAGAAGCTTCCAGTTGCCATCACAGTTAGAGAGAGTTGTAAGTACAAGTGCATTGAGTCCTACAGCAGGGGTTGCATACGTTTCAATGGAAGATCGCCCCCTCGTTTGTATTCGCTTCACGTCATCGATGATCTGTTGATTGTGGAACAGCACAGTAACTCAGCAGCGCTTACAGGCACATGTCAGGACTCCTCATCCATTAAACCAGCAGATACGCATAACATAATCATTGTTTTTTTGCATTAAACCATAATATATTCACACTCTAAATCTATGTTGATCAAATGAAAAGTGAATTTAAACCGTTACATTATCGACATGTGCCTGTGAGCAGAACCCTTTGCAATGAGCAGTAAAGATCTTTAAAAAAATATGTTCCTATTTCCAGGAGTGTTTTCCTCTAAGTTATATAGTATATTATGTACAGTTTCCTTTACAAAGAAAATAAGTTTTCGTTGAAAGTATTGGATCAGGTTTGGCACATAACCCGTCACAGACTCGAGAACAGAAATAAGTACAGTGACACAAACCCAACATAATCATAATATCGACAATGAGATGATTCAAACAGGAATGTAAAACAGGCTCTGAAATAAGACCACTGCAAACAAAAACAAAAAATCAAGAATGTTGTTGTTGCAAAAAGGGGGAAAGCACAATATTGTTCAGTGCAAGTAGAAAGTATACCATCATAATGTCAAGATGAACTATTGCATTAATTATTCTAACAATATTCAGACATGTATTAGCTGAAACATGCTTCGAAATGAGTTGGTTTGGGTTCAAGGTTTGCACTAAAATGCGTTTGGTCAGCTCTGCTTTGTCTGGTCAGTGGATTTCTGCAAGTTTAATGGCAGAAATCATAGGACGAAATACAAGTCATACCAAAGGAATTCATATGAAATAAATGTTAAGATTTACAATGTAATGTTGAGAAAAAAAAGGTCAGGAATCACTGAAAATCCTTTTAAAAATGCATCTTCAAAACGTCTGATATATTGCCCACTTAAAAACCTCCTGGTATCTTGTTTTTTTTATAGCTATAAAACAGCATCATCATCATCATCTTGTCCCTTTGGGCAGAGCTGAAACAATATAGAGTGCGGATCAATTTTTCACGATTTGGATCACATACATTTGCAGTGGCCTCTTATTTTAGACATTGTACAATGGCAGCAAGCTTAAACCGGGGGAAACAAAAGGTAAATTTCAAAATGTCACTTCTAGACATTTGCAGATGTACATGATAAAGACAAATCTAATCTGTAGTTTAACCCCATGAGCAAAGACCACTGTGAAATCCTTCCAAAAGAAATAAAACAATAAATCATACATTGAACCCACACTGGTCAAGTGGGGAACTATATGGTGGTGGTGAAGGGCCATTCACACTTGTTGGTTTGGTTTATTTTAACTGTACATGTTCTGCTTCGATTGAGGGAAAATATGCTTTGTGTAAGTTATTTTATATCTCTAGAAACAGACCAACAACCTTGTGTTCAGTCTTTTCTTGTGTGACAGAAGTGCGACACATTTATAGCTCATTCAAGGCCATTTTGATATGAGGAAAATCATATATATGAACCAACACGTAACAAATAGTTTTAATACCAGTGTAGGTTCATACTTTGAGCCAAAAGTGTTTCATTTATCTAATCCACTAATTACCTCAGTTCAAGTGAGTGTGGCACTACCGTTTTCCCAGAGTAAAGACCTATAGAAAATGTTTGTATTAGATTTAAATCAGTCAAGTCTCCGGTTGCGATAAAAAGAAAAAGGCAGGAAGTGATTCCGAATTCCTAAACGTGAGACAAATTGAAAGACAATTTGTGCATAAGAAGTTATTAAAAGTTATAGAATTCTCGTATATGACAGAAAGCTGCGGCTGCTATATACCTCTACATGTGCAACCAGGAAGTAACATAATCAACTTAAGTCAAATATTGTATGTATCCATCTTAACGAGGTTTAATGGAAACCCTGAATGCTTAAAATCAGTCACGTCGGCTTGAACTTCTTGAATAGGGGCGTGTGTCGTATGCACCATGCTCTAATGAAGTCATTCCAATCACAATCACACCTTCAATCCTCCGGTCTGTGACGCATGAAGCTCCAAAGCACTGATTACTGATGCACACCACCTGCTGGGGTTCAGCTAGAAACGGTACAAATTGTGTATTATGTAGGACTGCTTATGTTTGTGTCTGCCTTCATCTAAATATGTGTAGTGTTTTTGATTACGAAATGCTATATAAAAGCCACCTGAAAAAACTGGCTCTGATTGATTAATCTACTTGAAAATAGTAAACTTTAAATATTGAGGGAATCAAGTCCATTGAATTTGTTATCAAGAATAATTCCACTTTAAAACTTCTGTTCAGGAAAGGTCAAAATATGATTTATACATGTTTTGACACATAAAAAAAAAATCTAGACTTAAAATATTGTATACTGTCACTAAGGTGTTAAAGGGATAGAATGAGGAAGTTTCATTTGCTTTTAAAATGAAACCAAGGACCATGTGACCAGCAAGTGTGAACGTGCCCGTTGTCTACCCTGAATCATATCAAATTATAAATCAAGCATTATCATGTGTATCTTTTATTTAAACGTGTAGAATTTCCTGACCAGGTTACGATACACTGTGTGAATTGTTTTGTTTTTCCCCAGTTATAAATAAAGCTCTAAAAGGAGATCCATTATATAGTTTTCTTAACAATTGGTGTATGGTTTACACTTGTACCTCAACATTACGACAAATGGTTACTTATACCTTCATCAACAGTCAGTCACTTTACATTAATAAATATATTAAATAAATAGGGGTATATTTTTGTAGTGTGTGAGATCCGTAGACTGTAAATATTGAGATCAGAAATCCTCATGCGCCATTGTTTTTATAGGTAGGTTTCTTCGGTAACCCCTTGTTGAGTGGTCTTCATAAAAAAACATAATAGCCCTAATGAAAGATCAGGACCATGTACAATACTGTGCAAAAGTTTTAGTCAGGTCTAAATGATATTTCTTGTACTTGCAAATGTGAGCTATAAAAGCAACAATTTATTCTATGATTGTACTTTGTCAGTCAGACCTGTACTACTACTTGTTGTGAGTCCAAATGTTGCCTCACTATAATTTTGATGAACTGAGCAGCGCCAATTTGTTGGATCATCTTCTTCGTTAACTCCCACAACATTACTGCTAAATAAGAAAAACAAGATCTAAAATATTGTCTTATTGAACTATTGTGAGTTGCCAGCACTAGTTCATCATGTGTGCCGAATAGTTAAGTACATTTAGGCAGCAGAACAATTCCACTGTGCTAAGTCTTATGAAAACAATTCTTCCATCTCTGCAGTCAATGCCCACTCCTCAAACTCAGAATTGTAATGCATAAATGCTTCATTCTGATGTTGTCTCACATTACCTTCCTCATACTTCTTTCTAAAACTTTAGCACAGTGCTATTAAAAAAAAACCATAGCGTAGTAAGAGCTTCAGTGGTCTTTGTGGATTTTTGCCGAGGGCAGGGGTTTGTAATTATAAAGTGCAATCCAGATGCAGGTGACTAAAGACGCATTGAACAAATTCCACAACATCCAGGGTTGACGTAAGGTTTGACACCCATTCCTTCAGACTGACACAGTGGAAGTGGAGTGGGTCTATTAAACTAAATGTATAATAGAAAAATCCTATTCAGTCTGTGCCTCTGTAGTCACTCCCGGGACTGGTAGAAGAGAATGTAACCGGACTCAGAGTTTTTGGAGATGTCTGACGTGAGCCCATAAAACTCCTCTATGGCCTGTGCGTCGATTTTCTGCAAGAAAAGATTCAGAGTTAGGAATATTGTTATATTACTACGCACAAATATAAAAGAAGGGTTGTATTAGATTGGTACAAAAGCGCTAAAATGCCAACAATTGACATTCAAAAAGGAAAATTTAATTTCCAAGAAATATTTGTAATTTTATTAGGGCTGTCATAATTATTGCGTTAACTCATGTCAATTAAATTTTTCCTTAACGCGCAAAAAAAAATTAACGCATCAACGCATGTCCGAATGACCCGCCCATTTATCCATAATATCACTCAGAATGCTGCGTGTGAGATGCATCAGAGCAGGTAGGCCCTCTGGGAATTCAAGTTTTAAAAGAATACGCGCGTGACTGTTGTTTGCTATGAACTGAAGTCCGCCTCCTCCACGGCCGCTCTGGCTGTGAGCCGCTAACAACAACACGGCTGTGAGCGAATGGCGCCGCGGTAACATGGTCATATAAGACCATACACGCCTCACCATTTCTGTGCGATTAATCAACTAAAAAATGTTTATCGTTTGACAGACCTAAATTTTATACGAGTCAGCTGCCACAACCTATATTAACAGAAGCAGAATTTTTCAGAGATGTGATGTGAAACAGACATAAGGTGGAGCGCTTCAACTTTGTAAGAAATAGAGGACGAGTAAAAAAAAAAAAAAAAACAAATTATTCTGTTTTGGATGCCCCCTGGGAGGTACATCCCAGCGGGTGGAGACCCCCAGGAAGACCCAGGGCCTGTTGGAGGGGCTATGTCTCAGCTGGCCAGAGACACATAGCGAGCTGGAAGAAGTTTGTGTAGATAGGAAATCATGGCCGTCTCTGTTTAGACTGCTGCCAGGCAACGGGTAAAGCAATAGAAAATGGATGGTTTGGCTCAAAAACCAAATTACATGCACTAATACTGCGAGAGCTAGTTAATGTATTGCATCGCCCGGTTTAATTTAGAAAACCCCTAAAAAAGATGTGTACAGGTTTTGTTGCTGGTTCCTATACTCAGATATTATACGTGCTACATGGCAGGTTGAAGAGCGTTGGTAGTTGCCTGGCCTGCCAGACACTCCTCCTTTCTGTTCAAAAGAAGAACCGTCTGGACACCTCTTCCTAGCCTATCATTTCACGATTTTACCCACATCGGTCCAATCACGCACCGAGAGGCGGGACTTCCTTTCACCTAGAGGCGGAAGCAAACAACGGAATTGAGTTGCTAATAACTCCTCGTATCTTTAAGTTTTTGTTACAAAATCGACAGCAGTCGTTTACATTTGCACTAGCTGACATGCCGCCATCCCTTGTTTTGTGTTTACTGAAACGGCTTGGGTGCCGCTAGTTGCTGCGTCATATCCTGTGTGCATCTAATTGGTTGATGCAGTCTGTCAACCACGCCCACCGGGAATTCGCTGAGGTCAAGCTCGTTCCCAGACTATATGTCTTTGAAAAAGCATATCGTTTGGCAGGCCAGGCAACGTTGGTAGCTGGAGGGCAGGTGGATTTAATTAAAACACAGTTAAAAGTGAAGATTGCTGTAACAGTGACGCACCTCCACAATGTCATCGTCGAACAGCAGCCAGAAGCCATGACTCTTCACTATGGTGATGTAATGACCCCGGTTTGGACCACTGGGAACAAACAACAACAATTAATTCAAATGCACTGTCCATCACGGCTCTGCCTGTGAGGAGAGTCACAACCTACGTTTGGACCTTTACTCTTATTAGGAGGAGAATAGTCAGAATCAGAACCCTTTTGTTGCTATTGTAAGTAAGGGGGGATATGCTTTGGCTCGCGGTGCAAACAAGTGATGCGAGTAAAAAGACAGATAAAAAAGGGTATGCATGAAAAAATATTAAGTATAGTATAAGTACACACAAAAGACATTTAGCAGTGCAGTTAAAGTGACAAAGCATAAAGTGACAGTCATAGGGGGCAGGGTTCAGTGACCAGCTAAGACATGTTCATGAGTCCGGCAGAAGAGGGGAGGAAACTGTTATGGCGGGAGGTCTTGTTCCGAGAGGACCGTAGCCTCCTGCCTGAGGGGAGTGAATAGTCCATGTGCAGGGGGAAAGGGGTCAGCAGTGATAGACAAGCCCGCCCTCGAGCTCGGGCAACGTACCCGACAGTGGTGATGAGAGGTACGAAAGATAGAGATAAACCAGTATTGGCTATAAAAATCCCACACACAGCCCGACTTGAGCAAACAAAACTTTTATTGTTATGTTTTGGTGTTAAACTGTTTGTTTAACAGCTTTGTTGCCATGAATGTTAGCTCACCTGCCGCAGTGCACCACCACCGCCACCAGGTCGTACATGCGGTCCAGGTTGACAGCGTCTGAGGAGGTGTTGAAGAGGCGCAGCTCCAGAGGGAAAACCACGCGGTACGAGAGCTTTGTGTATCTGTGCAGCTGCTCCATGTACTTAAACCTCTTCAGATGCAGCGCCAGGATCATGGGCAACTTCTTCACACGCATCCTGAGAATACAGATTTGAGAGACTTTATGTAACTTATTTTCACAATAATGATGGAGTAATGCCAAAATGCCAGCACAACAGTAATTAAGAAAGAAAGAGTACTGTGATCAAGCAATAAGTTGGTAATTTTTGGTAATTTTTTTCAATATGGGAGTGGAGCTTCTGGTCTGTCAGGGCAACACAAATTCTTTATGGCGGAATTTTTCAGAAGGCCATTGTCTCTAGGCTGAATACATGCACATAAATAAATTATTATTATTTTTTTGTACCTATGCAAGGTACTGTGATAACGCAATTTCCCTTGAGGTTCAATAAAGTCTGTCTAAGTCTAGTAAAAAACACAAAACCTACATACAAAAATAAGATAACCATTTCTCAGTGCTGGGCCTATGACTAGTTCCATTCAGATTGATACCATAAGTAACCCAGGATTAGTCAAAACTAAAAAACAAAATCATTCAAGAGCCTTGGATCACGTTTTTAACTGGAATAGGCCTGGTCTACCATTTCATTAATGGCGCATTTTTACGAAGGGAGAAAAGTGAGACTAAAACGCTAGACTTAATTAAATCTAGCACTGACCGTTTCTGTGCCTCCTGTTTGCTGCAGCACATCTCACAGTAGTACTTGTATTCACTGCACAGCGTCTCTGTGTTACTGAAGTCCCTGGAAGAGAGGAAACCACAGGAGCCACACATCACTCACCTCCCATCAGGTGCACGACAAAGTTTGTTTAGCGCTAAGTAGTACCTGAGACAGTGAGTGATCGATGTGTTTTGCTCTACATCCACAGACAGGTCCAGGAAATCCTCGTCTTTACTGCTCACCTGATGGACGCAAAACACCAGAATTGTAGTTATGTTAACAATATCCTAACCTAAATCCTAGAACTCGCTACGAATGCTGAAAAAGAAGTGTTTAGTTTACTAATAGAAACTATGGAGCAACCAAAGAGCCAATCGTGAGCAGGGCTGGTCTGCCCCTGCTTGTGCTATTCAATAGGGCTACCAGAAGCCAAATGTGGGGATAATTTAGGGGTTCATTAAGGGATTAAGAGTCATATCTAGATTTAAAACAACTCTAAATAAAAATGCGGTGACTGAGCAGCTCAAATTGCCAGACAATTTCACAAATAAAGAAACCCAGCGGTGAGAAGCTGATGGCCTTGAGCCTACAGCCTTACTAATCTTTTTTTAAACACACAACAATTTACTGACTCAGGAGGTGAATCCAGCACCCACACATCTCCACATGCAAAGACTATGTGGTTTTATACAAACAGCAACTACGGTTGTTCAGGGCCACCCGCCCCCCCCTCATTATCTGAGAACAAACGTTCCCATCTCCTTGACGCATACAGCAGCTGTAGGGATTCCACTTATTGACGCAAGAATACTCACACGTGAACAAAACATGCCATTATCAATGAATGCAATTGCTTAAAGCCCAACGCACACCGAAACGCCTTGACGCGCGGCAAAAGAGCCGCCTCCTTTATTTTCTATGAGAGAACGCACACCAAGGTTGCAGTGACGCGCGGCGACGCTGGACCGGGCGCCACGATTCAGTTTTGTTGAATCCAGACGCGGCGCCGCGGCTGAAACTGTCCCTCCAAGCACCCGTAGTTTTCTTCTTCTGCGCTTCTTATCACGTAGCTGTGAGCGCGGTCTCAAATTTACACACTTGTCGGCGCTATTGCTCAAGTAAACCGGTCACAATGGACGAGGAAAGCTTGATAACCCAAGTACAGCGTTACCCAGAGCTAGTTATTAGCCTGTTTAAAAAATGGGTCCAAATAGTCTTTTCTTGTAATATTTGCCAGCATAATTTCACGTAAATACTTTGTTTCCTCCCCCAAAATATTAGTAGAAACTTCCAAACGTCACTCACCCATTTCATCTGCGATCAGCTGGAAAAGGACGCTAGCCAAGGCGTTCCGGTGTAATTTGACACATGTCATGAACGCGCGTCAAATGACGCGCCGCGAGGCGCTGCGTTTCGGTGTGCGGTGAGCTTAAGACTTTTATTAGAATTAAATTCTAATAAAATGATCTAGCCCATTCCCTGACAAGAATGAAGTATGAACATAAGAATGATTAAAAACATAAAATACATACCTAATCTGAATCGCAACCCTTTGTTACAATAAAAGTGGATTCAAATCATATAATTTTAAAACCATCGTTAATATGAACTTCATGATCATGTTGATTGCCCCAGGTATTAGAGAACACTTTTTTGCCATTACCATAGATACAAGGTAACTTACAAGGTGTTTTTTTCCCCTCGAAAACAAAACCTGTACCAACATTAATTCAAATGTGTTTAAATTTCCACTATTGAGTGTTGTCCATTTATTTATTGAAAGTCTCCACACGTACCGTCTCGCAGTTGAGGCACCGCGTCTCGTTGGTCAGCGTGCCCTGGAAGATGTCGTGGACCCAGGTGGGCTCGGTCTTATTCTCAGAGTCAGGTTCCGTTGTCGTGGTGATGGCTGTGCCATTGTTCTTAAGGCGTCCATTTTGCTTCTCCTGCTTCTTCTCCTCCTGCAGGATGTCCGCCACCGTGTTGAGGAGGTAGTTTAGGAACTCGTGGGCGTCCTGCTGCATGTAGTTATCAAACAAATCTGTGGGGAAAAGATTAACAGACATGACTTTTGAACTACAACTTTCTTTTATCTATTTATTCATAAATCAGGGACAAGTCATTTAAACACATGCGGTGATGATAGAGGAAAAACGACAAACACCAATGGGCCCTCCAACCATCACTATCCGTTCACTCACTCATTACATTCATATTGATTGTAATTATTTTTAGTGGTAGGGGAACCAGAAGCATCTGGAAGAAACCACTGCACCACTGCAAGTCCAGTCTTTAAAGGTCCCATATTACGCTTTTTGACTTTTCTCTTCTTTGAACATGATTACAGCTATTTGGCCTTCATACACACGCCCAGAGTAGTTTTTCCATTGATTCCTTCAAGCTTTAGTTAGAGACCAATCTTTCTCTTTCATTCTTGAGAGGCAGCGAAACGCCTGGGTTACATCTATGAAGATTTCAACATTGATGACAAATATGACACGCATAAGCGACTTTTATTTGTTTAAAATTTTTCTTAAATAACGTTTGTAGACTTGGGCCAGGGCACGCTTGTAAAGGCGCAGGCGCACGCACACACCACTTTGCATCAGAGCAATGTGAACAAGTGTGAGATGTGTCTTTCACTAAACAACGCGATCCGTACTCCAGCTGTTAGCTACAGTAGCAGAGCGTAAACAGGAAGAGAAACGGAAACTTAACTTGGACAATGAGGTCATAGCTGAAGTTACTATTAGCGCCACCAGCTGGACCGATCGTTGTACTACAAGGAAGATAATACCGGTATGTGCAAGATAATTTTCTGTTCAAGATGATTATTCCAATTTCACACATTTACCAGGCACTTCCCAGTTCAAATAATTGCTTCCATGAGTTTCTTTTGAAAATTAGACTAATATTCTCTGCACTTAAAACACAATTGAATTGTTAAGCCTGGATGACCTACGTCTTGGACATGAGCCACTAGACTCAAGGATAAGACGAAGGACTGGATTGAGATTGTGGATAGAGTCTAGAAGAATTATAGCAAGTCACAAAAGATTGACAGTGTCTTGCAAAAGTATTCACCCCTTTTTACCTATTTTGTTACATTACAGCCTTTAGTTCAATGTTGTTTTAATCTGAATTTCATGTGATGGATCAAAAAACAATAGTCTAAGTTGGCGAAGTGAATTGAGAAAAATATATACATAAAACTATTTTTCAAAACTTTTCCATAAAAAAACTGGAAATTGGCATGTGCATATGTATTCAGCCCCTTTGTTATGAAGCCCATAAAAAGCTCTGGTGCAACCAATCACCTTCAGAAGTAACATAAATAGTGAAATAATGTCCACCTGTGTGCAATCTAAGTGTCACATGATCTGTCAGTACATATACACACCTTTTATGAAAGGCCTCAGAGGCTGCAACCCCTAAGCAAGAGGCACCACTAACCAAACACTGCCATGAAGACCAAGGAACTCTCCAAACAAGTAAGGGACAGTGTTGTTGAGAAGTAAAAGTCAGGGTTAGGTTATATAAAAATATCCAAATCTTTAATGATCCCCAGGAGTACCATCAAATCTATCATAACCAAATGTAAAGAACATGGCACAACAGCAAACCTGCCAAGAGACGGTCGCCCACCAAAACTCACGGACCGGGCAAGGAGGGCATTAATCAGAGAGGCAGCACAGAGACCTAAGGTAACCCTGGAGGAGCTGCAGAGTTCCACTGCAGAGACTGGAGTACATAGGACGGCAATAACCCGTACGCTCCATAGGGTTGGGCTTTATGGCAGAGTGGCCAGAAGAAAGCCATTACTTTCAGCAAAAAACAAAATGGCACGTTTTGAGTTTGTGAAAAGGCATGTGAGAGACTCCCAAAATGTATGGAAGAAGGTGCTCTGGTCTGATGAGACTAAAATTTAACCTTTCGGCCATTAAGGAAAACACTCTGGCGCAAACCCAACACATCACATCACCCAAAGAACACCATCCCCACAGTGAAACATGGTGGCGGTGAATCATGCTGTGGGGATGTTTTTCAGCAGCCGGGACTGGGAAACTGGTCAGAGTTGAGGGAAAGATGGATGGTGCTAAATACAGGGATATTCTTGAGCAAAACCTGTACCACTGTGCGTGATTTGAGGCTAGGTTCAGAGGTTCACCTTCCAGCAGGACAATGACCCCAAACACACTGCTAAAGCAACACTTCAGTAGTTTAAGGGGAAACATGAAAATGTGTTGGAATGCCCTAGTCAAAGCCCAGACCTCAATCCAATAGAAAATCTGTGGTCAGACTTAAAGATTGCTGTTCACAAGCACAAACCATCCAACTTGAAGGAGCTGGAGCAGTTTTGCAAGGAGGAATGGGCAAACATCCCAGTGGTAAGATGTGGCAAGCTCAGAGAGACTTATCCAAAGCGACTTGGAGCTGCGATTGATGCAAAAGGTGGCTCTACAAAGTATTGGCTTTAGGGGGGTGAATAGTTATGCACATTGACCTTTTCTGTTATTTTGTCCTATTTGTTGTTTGCTTCACAATAAAAAAAAGACAACATCTTCAAAGTTGTGGGCATGTTCTGTAAGTTAAATGATTCAAATCCTCAAACAATCCATGTTAATTCCAGGTTTTGAGGCAACAAAATGCCACTTTTGCAAGGCACTGTATCTATCAGAAAAAGCTACCAGGTCAGGTAATGATAAACCAATACCTTTTGTCTATTAAGACGAGTAGACAGCACATTTTACTTTTCTTTTAATTCAACTTTGACTTATTTGCTTGCACGCTTAGAATAATTTGTGCCATTAAAGTCTGTGTCGTAAATCCTACACCCCGACAGCACTGCAGTGTTGAAGGACCTCCATGTAAAAAGTGAAAGTGGAGAAGAAGAGACAACGAGAGAGGAGGAGGCAGCCGAGCAGAGCCGCAAACCAAACACAGAGATCATTGTCCAGTCGAATAAAGAGCTGCTTCAAAACCAGAAAGTACAAATATAGTCTTTGTCAAATCCACGGCACGAGTGACCTTACCACCAACACACACTGCCCTTCACCCCCAAATGCACTATACCCACATAATACAACTAAACATTAAACCAAACACATCAATCTGTTGTGTTGCAAATCCTTTTCAAAACACAACAAATTAACTTAAAATTGGTCATAAAATTGGCCCAATTCATTCCTAACTTTAAACAGACGGGTAAACAGTGGAGAACGCCACTTTCATGTTCATGTTATTTTACATAAAAATATTTTTAAAAGTCAACAACATCCTGTATAAATGTTCTTCAAACAATTCCATTATTGCAGCTGCCATGACTCCACACAAACCGTACGTGTGCATGAGAGGAATGTACTCCAGAAAAATTTGGAGCATTTTCATTGAAATTCCTATGCTGACAAAAGTTATGCTGTTCTTTGTTGAACTGTGCCGGACAGGTGTGTGATGCAATGAGAAAGAAGTCAGTACTACTTGAATGCTTTGCAGCTGTGACAATACATGGGACTAATACATGGCGATTAGTATTGGCAACAATTTCTCAGCGAAAAATAATAAAAATACAGGAGTGGGGCAAAAACGTCAACAACTAAAAAACTAAAGTCCGAATATAAAGAAACAAGCGCTGCAGAAATGACAGCACCTTATAAAAATAAATAAATACTTTTGCGTTTCATAAATTTGTTTGAGTCTTGTTTAATTAACATTTTGGGAACAAATCAGACCACATCAAGTAGTCTCCATCAGAAAACATTTTATCTTTTACATCCCGAGAGCCGTCTTTACCGTTCTCTTTGCGCAGTCGTGATATGAACTTTTTGGGTGGTATGACCCCCACTTTCTTCTTCTGCGTGGCGATGGAGTGGAACAGGTCTGCCAGGCATGTGAGCAGGTTCTCCTTCTTCTTCTGCTGGGCTTTGTACGCCAGGACGTTCTCCCGGAAAGGTCGACAAAAGTAAAGCGCCTGCAGCACCGAGTTACAGTAGCATGTGTTTCCAAACTGAGGAAAGGCAAAGATACAAAACAAATTACTATAATAGAAACCAGGGATGGGAATTTTTTTTTTTTGCGGGGCTTGGTACATTGTGGACTGCTGGACCAAATAAAAAATAAAAAATGTATTTGCTTCTCTTCTGTGAATATGTTTGTTGTTTGTAACCCACATGAGTTAGCGGCTCAGTCCCTGCCCCGTCCCTGTCCCGTCCCTGTCATTTTATTTTGGCGGGCCCATTTCCCTTAAACCTGTCCCTTTAAACCTGGAACATCCGCCTACTCAGCCCCGCTGCTATTCAAGCTGCTCCTGCTGTGGCGTTGTCATTTTGAGTCATTGAGACAAAATACAGCCTCCATTCTGCATTCTAATCAAGCCAAACGCTGTTACGGGCGTATTTCTTGTGATCCCGTTACCGGTGAGTCAATCTGCTCTTTTGGTTTTGTGTGTTAAAGTAATCATCCGTATCATAGCGTTGACATGCATTCCGTCGCATCCCTGCAGATTGCTTTGGTTCTGTCATCTTCCCAGAACACTCATAAGCCTTTTGTAACCACCTCTCACCGGTGAGTGCCTTTTATTAGTTGTCTCTGCGTTTTATGTTGTGTTATGCACCGCAATTGTCCATGTAGCACCGATGCTGATATTAGCATACACACAGACATGCGTGCAGTCACGGTCAGCGCACTTATTCGCGTCTCTTTAAGTTCTTGGTTGAGCCAAGTTTAATTCTACTTAAACCGAACTGTACGGTACACTTTGCACATAATGTCAAAGTCTTTTGTTTTATTGTAGATGGCCATTAATGCCCTTTTCCCCAACTTTTTTGAATGAATTGCCTAAGCGGCTATATGACTTTTGAATTGGAATTCTTATTTGAAAATTACCTTTTTTATTGCGCAATACGATTTGATTCAATTGAAAATGCATTTATGTATTTTGTAAATTAGAAATTAACTTAGCTGTCTTGCTAATTACTGAAGCTTCATTTGAAAATGTATTTTGATTGTCCAATTATCATGTATCATCTCTAAGATGACAATGTTATTGAGATTTGTTGAGATTATTGTTTTTGCTGTTGCATATCGCATAGTTGCTGCTAAAGCTAAATTATGTTTTATTTATTTGTCTAATTGAATGTTTTGGTTGGCCTTATACAGGTCAGGTTTTTTTCCACCCACCCTGAACACTTCCCTTGTCCAACCACTTGATGGCGAGCTACCTACCCCTCCTCCTACCTGCACTGTGGTAGGAACAAACGAACCTTATTTTTTCCTTCCTTTGGATTACATGGATTTAAACTGAGAAAAACTGAACTCTTGAGATGAACTGAACGTGAACTTGAACTCAGGACTATTTTTGTTTTCCTTGTATATTTGTTTTTTACATACATGTTTTTTTGTGTCTATTATTGATATTTGATATAACTTGTTATACTATCAGATCGAGATGGAGGAGGCCGACAAAGAGAAAACCGCTTTTGTGTGCCCTTTAGGGTTCTACGAGTTTAACCGAATGCCGCAGGGGGTGACCAATGCCCCAAGCACATTCCAACGACTGATGGAGAGATGTATGGGGGAGCTTCACTTAAAGGAAGTCCTGGTTTTTATTGATGACATTATCATCTTTGCCCCAACTCTCGAGGAACACGAAAAGCGATTAATGAAAGTTTTAAACCGTCTGAAGGAATTCGGATTGAAATTGTCTGTGGAGAAATGCATGTTCTTTCAAACATCTGTTAAATATCTTGGACATATCGTCTCTCAAGAGGGTATTAGAACAGATCCAGAGAAGGTCAAGACGTTGACTACGTGGCCAGTTCCCAATAATCTGAAAGAACTGCGTTCATTTCTTGGTTTTGCCGGATATTATCGGAGGTTTGTCCAAGGTTATTCATCCATTGTAAAGCCACTTCATGACCTCACCTCAGGATATCCGCCATCACAGAAAAAGTTCAAATCACAGATCCAACCTAATACTTACCTTAATCCCAAAGAGCCGTTTGGGGGTCGTTGGTCAGAAGAGTGCCAAAACGCTTTTGAAACAATCATTGCCAAACTCAGCACCTCTCCTGTCTTAGCTTTTGCTGATCCACAAAAGCCATACACACTCCACACCGACGCATGTGCCATCGGCCTTGGTGCCATTCTCTACCAAGAACATGATGGAGTAAACAGAGTTGTGGCGTATGCCAGCCGTGGTCTGTCTCGGAGTGAAGCGAACTACCCTGCCCATAAACTTGAGTTTTTGGCCCTCAAGTGGGCAGTTTGTGAAAAATTCCACGACTACTTGTATGGATCACAATTCACTGTAGTCACGGACAGTAATCCGCTAACTTACCTCTTGTCATCTGCAAAGCTCGATGCCACCAGCTACCGATGGTTGTCCGCCCTGTCAACATTTCACTTCAAAATAATCTACAGGGCTGGCCAGCAGAATGCGGACGCTGATGGGTTGTCCCGCAGACCCCAGGGCGAGCTGTCTGACGATCACCAATCACGAAAAGAACAAGAACGCATCATGAGATTCGCCCAGCAACACTTTGACAACACTGCTTACATTCCACTCGACCAGCCTACCGTTGAAGCAGTCTCTGACCGTCACCTGGTGTACAGTCCAGATGCCAGCCACGATCATGCCCTTCTATTGTCTCTGACCGCCCATGTGGACAGTGTCCCAGATAGTTTTGTGGATGACGCACAGTTCACCTCTTCATTACTCCCCTCCCTGTCAGCCACTGAAGTTGCTTCCAAGCAGCGAGCTGACCCAGTACTCCAGCATGTCATTGCCCAGCTTGAGCGTGGGGAGACGCCACCACCTTTGCTGAGAGAACAACTTCCAAACCTGCCCCTGTTTCTGAGAGAAGTCAATAAATTGGAGCTCCGCAACAACCTTCTTGTCAGGAGGAGACAGGTGGGAAGTGAACTCATGTACCAGCTTGTCCTGCCAGAGGAGTATAGAGATGACGTCTTTCATGAGCTTCACAATAAAATGGGCCATCTAGGCATTGAGAGAACACTGGACTTGATCCGTTCCCGCTTTTACTGGCCAAAAATGTCCATTGATGTTGCCAATAAAGTCAAGGCTTGTGAGCGATGTGTGCGTAGAAAATCTTTGCCTGAACATGCCGCACCCCTTGTTAGCATCCAGACGTCTTTCCCTCTTGAGCTTATCTGTATGGATTTTCTGTCAGTGGAACCAGACGGACGGACAAAAGACATTTTGGTTATGACGGATCACTTTACAAAGTATGCTATAGCTGTGCCAACTCCGAACCAAAAAGCCACCACTGTTGCTAAATGTCTTTGGGAGAACTTCCTTGTACACTACGGTATCCCAGACAGGCTACATAGTGACCAAGGCACTGATTTTGAATCGAAAGTCATCCAAGGACTTTGTCGAATGGCTGGAATTCATAAGACCCGAACCACTCCCTATCATCCCAGAGGAAACCCGGTGGAGCGTTTCAATAGAACATTGCTGGACATGCTAGGAACATTAACAGAACAAGAGAAACATCACTGGAAAGACTTTGTAAAACCACTCGTTCACGCTTATAATTGCACAAAGAATGACGTTACAGGATTTTCTCCGTATGAGCTAATGTTTGGCCGCCAACCCAGACTTCCCGTCGACCTCGCTTTTGGACTCCCACTGAATGACGACAACCCTGACACTCATTCAAAGTATGTCCAAAAACTAAAGTCTCAACTTGAAGAGAGTTATCAACTGGCCATTGAAAATCCTCGGAAAGTTATGGAACGGAACAAGCTCCGCTTTGATCGACATGTGACCCCATCTGTGCTGAGTATTGGTGACCGAGTCCTGGTGAGGAATGTGCGTCTCAGGGGTAAGCACAAGTTAGCTGATAAATGGGAACCCCATGTGTATATAGTAGTGAAGAAAGCCGGTAGTCTTCCCGTTTACACAGTCAAACCAGAAGGGAAAGATAAGCCTTTGCGAACTCTGCATAGAGACCTTCTCCTTCCCTGTGGGTACCTACCTGTTCAGGAGAAAGACCTACCCGTGAAAAAAAGAGAAAAGCTACTTACCTTGCCGCCTTCCGATTCTGATCCAGTTTCTGATGATGAGGATGTTTTGATTGACTGTGTTCCATCTCCGATCGAACCTTTCAGATTTTCACAAATACTTGACCTTCCAACTGTACCACAGTCTGTTAACATTCTTCCTTTGCCAATCACCCCAACACATGGTGATGAAGGTGTTTTTACAGTTGACACTCCAGTTGTTGCCAAAGAAACTCCAGCTATGGATGCAGTGGACCAAGATGTCTCATCTGACCCAATACCTGCTGAACCTGTCGATTCTGTTGAAGACTCCAGTTTGGAAAGGAGTACCTCTCCTCTTTCAGACCCAGTCAGCAGTGCCTCTGGACCCAGTTCACCTGTGAGTTCGGACTTGGCAAGTCCTGAACCGGTGCGTCGTTCAGCCCGCTCACGGCATCCACCTGACCGCCTACAATATTCACGACCGGGTCAGCCATTTCTAAAGAGCATCCAAAGTCTGTTGCACAGTCTGAGTTCTGCTTTTACCTTCGCTCTTCAGGAGGATGAGGATATGGATCTTTCCCCCAGTCAGCCAGTTGTCCACTGCCAGCCTGGTCCATGGCCGAGGACGTACATGGGATCACGGGGGGAAGATGTAACCCACATGAGTTAGCGGCTCAGTCCCTGCCCCGTCCCTGTCCCGTCCCTGTCATTTTATTTTGGCGGGCCCATTTCCCTTAAACCTGTCCCTTTAAACCTGGAACATCCGCCTACTCAGCCCCGCTGCTATTCAAGCTGCTCCTGCTGTGGCGTTGTCATTTTGAGTCATTGAGACAAAATACAGCCTCCATTCTGCATTCTAATCAAGCCAAACGCTGTTACGGGCGTATTTCTTGTGATCCCGTTACCGGTGAGTCAATCTGCTCTTTTGGTTTTGTGTGTTAAAGTAATCATCCGTATCATAGCGTTGACATGCATTCCGTCGCATCCCTGCAGATTGCTTTGGTTCTGTCATCTTCCCAGAACACTCATAAGCCTTTTGTAACCACCTCTCACCGGTGAGTGCCTTTTATTAGTTGTCTCTGCGTTTTATGTTGTGTTATGCACCGCAATTGTCCATGTAGCACCGATGCTGATATTAGCATACACACAGACATGCGTGCAGTCACGGTCAGCGCACTTATTCGCGTCTCTTTAAGTTCTTGGTTGAGCCAAGTTTAATTCTACTTAAACCGAACTGTACGGTACACTTTGCACATAATGTCAAAGTCTTTTGTTTTATTGTAGATGGCCATTAATGCCCTTTTCCCCAACTTTTTTGAATGAATTGCCTAAGCGGCTATATGACTTTTGAATTGGAATTCTTATTTGAAAATTACCTTTTTTATTGCGCAATACGATTTGATTCAATTGAAAATGCATTTATGTATTTTGTAAATTAGAAATTAACTTAGCTGTCTTGCTAATTACTGAAGCTTCATTTGAAAATGTATTTTGATTGTCCAATTATCATGTATCATCTCTAAGATGACAATGTTATTGAGATTTGTTGAGATTATTGTTTTTGCTGTTGCATATCGCATAGTTGCTGCTAAAGCTAAATTATGTTTTATTTATTTGTCTAATTGAATGTTTTGGTTGGCCTTATACAGGTCAGGTTTTTTTCCACCCACCCTGAACACTTCCCTTGTCCAACCACTTGATGGCGAGCTACCTACCCCTCCTCCTACCTGCACTGTGGTAGGAACAAACGAACCTTATTTTTTCCTTCCTTTGGATTACATGGATTTAAACTGAGAAACTGAACTCTTGAGATGAACTGAACGTGAACTTGAACTCAGGACTATTTTTGTTTTCCTTGTATATTTGTTTTTTACATACATGTTTTTTTGTGTCTATTATTGATATTTGATATAACTTGTTATTAATATATACCTCTTAAAAGAAAAGAATACCTACCTTAAAAATACACAAGTACTTGAATATCTATATTTTTGTTGTCTTGTTTTAGTCACACCCTTGGCTCCGTGGCCGGACCTATTTCTGGTAGAGCCTAAGTATATTGGCCGCAGTCGGCGCCTAGCCTTTAATAGCGTTACATGTTGCAGAAGGAAACCTGACGAAATACAACTGCAGGTTTGTGTGGATTGTATATTTTAAATGTTTTTAGACTTAAATTCTTGCTTCTTACCCAAAGTTGAACTAAAGCGAAAAGAAAGGCTAAGTATTGGGACAGATGAGGTCTAAAAATGCCATTGTCAGACTGAATACAATGAAGTAACCACTGATGTGAATTTTATGCTTCAGCAAAAGCAGCACATCGTGTCCAGGGCTGTTTTGTACGAGTTGTGACAGACGGGAAGCACGGCTGTTTGTTTTGAAAAATGACACCGCTGTTTTCTGGAAATGACCCAGTGTAGATGCATGAGGGGATTAGGGGACGCTTACATTGACCAATCCGAAGTAGTGCTCATTGATGGGAAACTGCTCTGGGCCGATGTCTTTCTCCAGAGCAGAGGCATTGGTGCCCTGGGACAAAACAGAAAAACACCATTTACTCAGGGTGAAAAAAAATATCTGTTTGTCATGGTGGGTTACAGAACATTCAAATGTTGTTTTAATAAGGTCCAACAAGATAAAAAGCACATTCTTTTAACATAACAAACTTACGTCTTGTTATTATAGTTTAACGTAAACTGTTTCACACATTTACTCCGAGTTCCTGACACAATCACTACTTTCAAGTTTAAATGATAAAAACTGTAAACATTCAATCAAGTTAAATCACAAGGAGCTAGAGTTCAAAGAGTTAGGGTCAGAAAGTTATGGAAAAAATACATTATAAAGTTTGGATTTTCATGACGAAAATAAGTGACTTAGTCAACGCTGATAATACAATTCTAGTGAAAGAAATGCAGTCTCAATTTATTTCATGTAGTTTATTATGCTCGCTTAAAGTGAAAAAAAGAGTTATGGATTATGACCTCTGTTATAAAATCCTTTTCAAATACAAATACCATACAATTACAATTAACGTGCATGCACTCAAAAATGATGACAGATTTAAGTTCAAGTATTTCTCCATTTGAACAGAAATGAAGAAAGACTGTAAGCCGAAGCTTTTTCCTGCATTTTGGAGGCTGTGGCTCATAGTAAGGTGAAGCCTAAATTTTAATTGTTTTTCTTGTGGCGCCAAATCTTTTTGAAAAGTAACAGTAGACAACAGAATTGATGAGTTTAATCAAGCAGATTAAAGTTTAAGTTTAAAAGTCCCCACATATAATATCTTTGTGTAAATATCTCATATAAGGCTTGGTTGTTCGTACAGACATGCAAGTGAAAAGAGACCTGTATATGTTGCTCCTTATTTTTCTGATTTCTCTGGAAAATTTAGAACAGTCAATGACTCGCTTCTTACTCTTACTACCCACAGTAAAAAGAAGACATGATGATCGCTTTTGAGCTAATTTTTTCAATATTACAATGTGGGATAGGTGCGGCTTTTATTTCCGTGTGGCTTATAAAAGTACAAAATCCAATTTCTTTCTATAAAATTGGAGCCTACGGTTACTAATCAGGTGCGGCGTATAGTCCGGAAATTACGCGTATATCTCAACATTTGGGGCCTGGCTGGTCAGAAAAAAAAAGGTTGACCAAATATTTAGTCTACAAAAATTTAGTCTACAAAAAAGAAAAAAATTATCAGTTAATCTAAATAATTATTACAAAATGTGCTACAGCTTTATTATGTTCCTTTCAATCTCTTCATAATACAATATTTTAAATATCATGGTTCACTTTTACCATTTCAACAAAAGCGGGAGCATAAGAGGAAATATTATGCACAATCTGAATATTTTTTTTTAGCCCATCCTGTCGACTAGTATATAACTTAATATTATTTTTTGTGCAAGTGAAGCTCACAAATGGCTGACTCTTATTCTTTTTTTTATGTAAACCAACTCAATATGTAATGTAGCATGATCTCTTCTTGCAAAACCACAACACAACGCACCGCATCTGCCCGTCAGTGAAGCAGGAGGGCCTCAGGTTAAAGCCTAGTAGTAAGCTCATGCCACTGAAGCTTGGGTTTCCTACTTCTCCCCTGTCCCTGAACATGACATTAGCACAGATTAGTGCAGATCCGTGCTCTCTAGTTGATGTCCCATTACGCAACAACAAAAACAGCAGCTTGACACCAGTCACTCACTAAAAATCAACAAAGTACACTGCTTCTACGAGTCTGCAAGATACGACCCTCTTTAAATGCCACACTGTTCCAATTACAATAGATGAGAGGATGCATAATGAGCGTGCGAAGTTATGAAAAAGGTGGTATAATTTAGTCTTTGCACAAATTACAACCGGTCTGGGACGAGGAATATTCACATAACCTCCACGATGCAAGCATTCACAATGTGGCTGCAGGTAAAAATAACAGCGGCTCACTTACCATATTACAAATGGATGCGATGTTTCGGACAGTCATTTAGTTTACAGTGTCCCTCTCACCGCCATCTTCATAAAATAAACATGGTGTAAAGGGATGGAAAGGCAGCGTTTAGAAATGAAGTTAATTTGCAGCCGAGGCAGCAGTAGCAGGCCACACTGACTGCAACAACCCCAGGCGAGAGCAGCAAAAGGCGAACGCACAGAGCACCATCCACGCCGACTGGCACGGAGCACTGGAGGGTTGTCAATGCAGGAACAGAGGCATCTTCCTCGGGTAAGAATGATCATAGAAAACTGCAGGTTAAACAGTCAAAACATGAGTAGCTAATGCACAGTCGAAGTTACAGGAAGCAGTTTGTTAGCAACAAAATGCTAACTAGTATGCTGGGCGATGAAGCGCTATAGTCCCGCCTACTACAGTATAAGGAGCCGTGTGATTGGTTCATTAAGCAAATGTTTTGATTGAGAGATTTGGATGACCATTCACAAGCCTGAATAGTGAAGCTTCGTTGAACCGCAAGAAATCAGCTGAAACTACAGAAGCAAGGAATGATGGGGAATGTAGTATATTTACAAGATTTGACCAAAGACCAAAACAATAAATGTGAAGTTGTTCAAGAATGGGAAAATGCATTAACTTTACATTTCAAATACGAAATATATTCAAAGATCATTTTATTTTAGATTCAGAGTAACGGAACATTGAGTATGCAAATTTAATTTAACCTTATGTAAAACATTTAGGCTGTAACTGCGAGTGAATCAAATATTAGAAGCTCAAACACTCAAACATGAATAACGCAAAAAGTCTTCAATCTTTATGTGTAAAAATTGGTTACTCTCCAAACCCATGCCTGAAGCTGCCAAAAGACACGTGCCAGACACTCTCAAGTTGTTAACCGTATAGAACCTATTCGTTCTTTGTTTGCTGGGTTCAGTTTAGTGGCACTAAACCCTAACCCTGGGCCTATGTTTTTTTCTTTTTGGAACCAGTTCCAAGAATATGTTATTTATCTGCAAACTTGTACAATAAACAACAATAACTTAATTTGGTTAAGGGCATTTGTTTGTTAATTTTATTGTGCAAACCACAAACCCTGAAGCACAAAGCCCTGGGAAACTGTGACCCATCTGCACCTTTTCCCACGGAGGTTAAACCACTGGGGATACTACCATTGGCTGCCCTACTGAGCGTTTAGAGCAGTTTTATGTTAGCTATGTTTACAATGTGCCTACCAGTGTGTTGTAGCAGAGCTGAAGATCTTGACCCGAGCCCTGGTGGGCCTGGTGGGTTCGGTCTGGGTCGGGCAGAATTTCTGGGTCATGTCAACATTCTTGAAAAAAGACTGCTGCTCTTCGCACAAAATCATATCACCATCACGTCAGTCCCTGACAAATATATTTATGATGTTTATCGCTCAGTGACCCCCGTTCACTCCAATTGCTGTGTGAGGCAGTGTCAACAGCTTGTATTCAGTTAAAAGCTGCTTTAAATGTATTTTTAGCTCTACTACTTTCATTTTCTTCACCACATCCTGTTGGGGTCGGCACTAATATAATTTAAAAATACAATTATGTACACAACCTTTGGAAAACAAAACTTATTCTAAACTAATGAAACAATCACCTAAAATATATGTGGAAATGTGTTCTTTTGTTATTTCTGAAGCCAAAACAATGGGATTATTCAGACTGAACCCCTTTGCTATTATTCTCAATTACTCAAGTGCCCTCCCCAATGTCCCGATACAAACAAAAACAGCAGAAGTCGACTGGGAGGAGGCCATGGTAGTTATCTGTACTGAGTGCTGAGCTCTGTGGGGCACCCTATGCCCCCTGGACACTTCTATTCACCTCTGCCTTTCTTCTTGCTTATACAACAAATTCCTGACCACTATCTCTGTCAAATTTACAGCTGAAACAGAACAGGACAACAACATTATGATTGGTGAACTTCAAAAGAGGTTGGAAAGGGTATTTGGAGATTTAATGATAATACAGTTTAGTTGGTCTGTTGTTGCCTATGGGAGGAAGATAGTACTTCTCATAAGTTCTTGTTATGTGTTGGGTTTCTGTTTTGCTCTCAACAGCCTTGATTGTGAAGAAAATGTTGACATGTTTTGGAGCTTGTAGGCACTTAATACAAAGCATGCCCCCACAATTACTTTCTATTTTAGTTCAGGTTTGCTAAAAATGGACCCGCTCTGCACAAAATCCAACCTACCACCTTTTTGCTCCCCACTCAGCTTGGCCTTTCGCATTATCGCAGTAATTTAGCCAAATGATGAAATATAACCATAAAACTCCTGGAAATGTGAAAGCTCAAGGTACTCCAAATATAATAATAATCTGTAAATGTGTGTGGCAATCTTTTGGGCTGTCGTAAGTCCAGCCAAGAGAACTCTCTTGTGCCCTTATTTTCATAATTTGAGCAGGATTTCTATAAATGTTTTATTATTTATTACTTTGAGAGTAAATCATAGAAAAGTATAACTACGGCTGTGACACCGACTTTCCTTTCACCATTGTCTGTGTCTTTGAGGAAGATTTAATTTAAAAGACAAAGTAAAGTGCACTGCAGTCTCACGTATTTCAGACAAATACATTCTTTGCAATCCCATTGAACTGCTTGTTTTATGTTGTCAGTCTTGTCAGAACAATCACTTGCTGGAATACTAAAAGCATTTCCCATCAGTTCTACCGCTACAAAGTCAGCTCACTCTGAATCACAAAACATTTTCATAGCCATCACCTCTTGTGATGATGCATCTCGACGGCTGGTGTCTCGCTGAAAGTCTAAAATGGACTTGAAAACAACAAATATTATACCTTGACTGGAAACACAGAGAAAGTTGCATAATAATGTCCTTCAGAGTGTTTTGTCCTTACATTTCTCTGAATTTAGAAAGGGTTATAGTCACTCTCATAACTTAGAACTTGTACTTATATATGAAAGCCAGATCCCTTCAGACCTCTGAAGCTGTGCAGGGCAGGGCCTGGTTAGTACTAAAATGGGAGATCTCTGGGAACACCAGGTGCCACAGTGGAGGGGCTGCGGCTGTAAAGTGCCAAAATGCTGTTGCGTCCTTAGGCAAGAGACTCCACCCACATTGCCTAGAATGAGTCTGGTGTGTGTGTGTGTGTGTGCGTGAAGGACTGGTGGTGATCGGAGGGACATACTGGTTGCCTCGCTTCTGGCAGTGTGCCCCAGGGCAGCTGTGGCTACAATTTATCACCAGTGTATGGAGCAAAAGAATAATGACATGTGTTGTGTCTCTGAGTGTCCTGAAAAGCATTACAGTATATCAAACCAATGCATTATTATTATTATTAACATATTTTATCATTAATTAATTGTTTCTGTGTCTTCATCCAGAGTCAACATGCAAAAAGTAACAATGAGTATGATTCCACTTGACAGTACAGAGACATAATGTACTCCACAGTAGAAGTATTATTCATGAAGAGTCTGGAAGTGTGTATTCCTCACCTTAATAGGGCCAAGAGAACACCAAACACAGCCTGACAAAAGCTAATGTAATCAAAGGAACGGGGAAATGAGTTGCCCACTGAAGAGCTTTGGCCAATTCTGAGCACAGAACGTTCTGGTGGGACTCATGTGGAGGTTTATGGTGGACGAGCTCCCGTAAGCACCACAGCAGGGCATGCTGGGTAAGGGCACTAAGGGAGAGATGCAGGACGTCTGCATGGGAAATCAGTGCTAATGACAAGACGTTAAGAAAGAATTGGTAAAAATGTTGTCTCTACCCAGTCCTCTATGCTTGGAGTCACTCAAGAGATTAAATATATATGTACATATATATATATATGTATTTTCCATTTATTTGATTGGAACAGTGTACGCCAATATTGAGATAGTTTTCCTCCCACAGTCACACTCATTCACCCTGAACTACATTGGACATGTTTTTAGTGGTTTTTGGAAACCGAAGCAGACACAGAGCACACTCCACCGGTATCAAACTCAGCACCTTCTAGAGATGGGAAAACAATTGAGCAAGCTCAAACACAACAAATAAATGATAAAGATTTGATATATAAATATATTATGAAACGGTTTTTTTATTATTTGTATCCACCATCGATTCTCCTGTATTTCATTATACAAATGATCAAGGGTCTCATGCATAAAACACACCTACTGTACGTATGTATAATAATTACATACAACACATTTCATGTTATTCAAGTAGGATTTTCATATCAAATTATTTCAATAATAACAAGTTATAATGGATTAGTCAAAAAACTTGGAGCAAGTTTGTGTAAGTTTTTCTGTTGTCATGAGTGACTTTACATAAACAATGAAGCAGCTCTAAATCATCAGGAACACAAGATTCACTTACATTGTAATTAGGACATAGTCAGAAAAACTAGGCCAGGGACAATTTTTCCACCAAAACACCCACATGACTACTTCCTCCTTTTCAGTCGACGAACACAAATGATACATTATTGTCATTACTTGGAAACTAGTCCAAGACTATTACCATTTTACACTCCCACATAATAACAATCTGCACTGAATGGGTTGAGAATGAGCAAGCACAATCATATCAAGAATCATGTATTGATATAGGCCTAAATCTATTTCATATTGTTTGGATAATACTGGTCCTCTCTCCATCTAAAGCTCTGACCTAGTTTTGATCAGCACCAAACATACAAGAAGACTTTGTTGAGTCATGTTTGAACTTTATATAAATAGACTTGTATTGAATGATCCCATCGGTTAAAGGCATTCATGTTGGCGGTACGCTTTTTCTTTGGTTTTCCTTTACAACGTTGACTTCCGTCATATATTTTTTCCTTTATGTTTGTGTGCGTATGTGACACAGAAAACAATCCCTCACACAATTAGATAATTTCATGCAATTGTAAATACATTAAGCACAATGGATCCTGCATTAGTTGGTGATGGTTGTGTTTTGTTTTGATAATGGGGTACCTTGTGAAAATCAATATTTCCATTTCTGTTTCTGATTGTATTTATAGGGTTTTCTCAAACATGGGTAG